GAGCCTCCAGGGACCTAACTCTAGCTAGGGTTACTATTCCGGAGTAATATATCCCACGCCTAGTCATAAGAGAGCTTATAGAGGGCGAAATAGCACTTCCCTCCTAGCCTTCTAAGAAATTCAAGATATTAATTAAAGAACTATAGAGCTAAGACTAATAATATTAATACTTTATAGTAAAGGCTCAGGGAATCACCGGCAAATATAAGAGATATATAATAGACTCCTAAGACTTATTATATTATAAGGGATAACTAATTATCCTAGACTAAGGAGCTATAAAGATAGAGATCCTTCGCCGATACTATAATAACCCGAGAGCAGGTTATATAGGGTCCTAAAAGATACTTAACCTTATTTCGAGGAAGTTTTACTAATAAGGCATCGCGGAAGATATCCGAGAGTATATTAAAAGCTACCCGATATACTAAGGTATTAGAGTTCCGAGGCATAGACCCTACGGGAAACTCTAGTCCCTATTACTATTATTATACCTATTCTAAGAGATTAGCCTCGATTTTATAATTAAGCTTCTACTAAGTACTTAAAGTAATAGTAATAATTATAACGCGATTCTTATTATTATATATAGGATAACTAAGTTCGCGCTATTTATACTAATAATAAAGAAACTAAGAGCTATAGAGCTCATAGCTCTCCTATATAAGTATATAGAAAGCTAATTTAATATACTAAAAGGGATAATTAGCGACTAAGATAAGCTAATTACTAATAAATTCTAGGTAGACCTTATAAAAAAATAGGCGATCTATCGCCGATTATTAACCGTATATTATTTGCAGATAGATAATTAAATAGAATATACTTATTAAATACTTAAGAAATATCTAAGAGTATATATAAGAGACTCGCCTAAAAGATAGGCGATATAACTCCTAGATATTACCTTCGCCTATAATAATAATAAATACTTAACTATTAGGGTCTCCTTAATAAAAGCATTATTTAACTACTACCCGAGATATATAAAATATATCCTAATAAAGATAGAGATAAATATATAAGGCATCGCCGAATACTTAATAATACTAGGCCGCATATAGACCTAAGCATAGGTATACTAAGAGAAGGCTTTAAAATCCTAGGTAAAATACTATAACTTAAGGCATAAGCTATAGACCTATTCTTAGGGATAAATTATTAGAGTATTAATAAAGAACTAGAGATTTAAATACCCTAAGCTAGCCCCGAGATTTATAAAAGCTAAGGTCCTTAATAAATATAGCAAGTAGGCCTATGCCTTAGAGCTACTAAAGAAGTACTAGCATATATATAATATATTCTATATATTACTTATAGAGCCATAGAATAATTATAAGGCTATTAGTAATACTACGTAAGAGTAGCTAGAGCTTAAGGATAAGCCTAATAAGTAAGAGGTAAAAAAAGTAATCTTATATAAAGATATAAGAGATAAGACTTTCTACCTTATTAAGTAGAAGGGTTAGCTAATAGAATATAATACCTAGGAACTAAAAGAATATTTAGAAAATATATAAGTAATAATAAAGAAATACCTTAAAGTCACGAGGAAAGATTATAAGAAATAAGATAAGGCATAGCTAGATATATGCTAAAAGCACTATAATAAAAAAAGTCTTATTAATCTAAATATAAAATAAAAAACTTAAATATAAAAATAAAATAAAATAAAACTATGCCGGGTTATTAATAAAGATAAGAGATTACTCGCCGAGGCATCGCAATATAGGCGCAGAATAATATAAATAAGGGCTAAGTCAAAAAATAAGGCCATAATAGCAGAAGACCCAGGGAATACAAAGAACCGACACATCGGCAATAAAACGCAATAAGCTCTCAAGGGTTATTATTAGCACTACTACGACCACCACCACGACTACTATAACCTCCGCCACGAGCAATTTAGCTACGAGTCTTACGGGCCCTCTTAGGGGGTCTACTTAGCGAAAGATTAAGAGCCTTATCATTATTATTACTACTATTAATAAGACGAGCATGCTTATGGCCACTAAGAGTCAATAAAGGGTCAACGGGGCCTTAGAGATAAGGACCCTAGCTAACAAAGGAAATAAAATAAATAAGACCAGGGTTACTATCATCGATAGCCTAATTAACGATATTATATAGCTCGCCGAGACCACCCATAATATCATAGTTATTACCCTTAACCTCGATATTAATTCTCGGGTTATTTTTAGCGCTATCTAGGCAATTAATCGCCTTAAGTAATAACTAAGTAAAAATATTATTACGAATATAGATAGGGGTAGTAATAGCGATATAACTAGTTATCTTAGAAAGGTTTATCTAGGCTCTAGCCTATACGTAGAATATTAGCCGATACTTAGGCGAAAGGAAGATAAAACTTATACCTTAGAGGCAAAGTAGGGATAATAGCTCTTAGTTAGAGGTAAGCTCTTATATCTAGATATAAGATAACTAGAGCGCATCCTTAGACTTCTATAACATAGGGTCATAAAGGCGATCAATAACCTTCCGCTAAGTATATACTATATCCTTAACGGCATAATTAGCGCGCTAAATCTAATAGTAAGTATATAAAGAAGGGTTAGTAATAATATTATCGCAAAGATTATAAATATTATTCTACGAGGCCTAGGTAATACCCTAAAGCTTATAGGGAATCTATAAAGTATTAGTAATAACTTAGAGAATATAATAAAAAGAGAGGAAAAAAAACTTATAGAGCTATACTTCTTCTTATTATAGGCATATAATAAGTAATAATTTAGCGACTAATTAATAATATAAGAGATTTAAGGGTTCTTATCTATATATTCTAGGCAATATATATAAGGAACCTCACTTAGATCTATCTTCTAGAAATTAATAGTAGTATTATATATAAACTTCAAGAGCATAGCAGAATAAATAGCTAAGAAAGATATCGCCGAAAGCTTCGCGACGGGTAAATAAATAAGTAATATAAGAATAAGAGAGAAAACTAAAGAATCATATACGATTCAGGAAGATAAGACTAATAGGGATCGCAGAGGCTACGGCGATATTATTATAATAAGCAGCAGAATTATTATTATAAGGAAAAAGAAAATAAAAGAAAGAAGATTATTATAAAATAAAAAAACTTTAATTATAATAGTAATAGCTATATTTAAGCCGCTAATGCTAAATAGCTAGCAACGCGAGGCAATTACTAACCTAACGGCGACTAATTAACCACAAAAGAAAATAATAAATCTACGACAAAAATCATAATTATCACAAAGGGAAAGCGCAAAAGAGGCAGCGAATAATCAGCGATATATCATAAAGAGTTATTAAAGCTCGAGATTAATTAAAAGATAGCTATATTTAGATATCTTTAGTATTAAACAAAAGAATAAGATAATTAGCTAGATAAGCTTAAGGGACTAAGCTCTCTAGAGAGGGAGCAATTATAAGAGTATTCGGGTCATACCGGCTATCGCCGGCAGGTCAAGAAATCCTCGGATCATTACATAGGTCTCAGGCTATGCAAAACCTTTCTCGCCGAAGGCTCGCAGAGACTTTAGCAAATTAAAGTTATATTAATATATAGAACCTACCTTTTCATCTCTAATATCATCCTAATCGTGCCTATCAGGCCCATACCTTTACAAATTATAACATAATTAAGTAGCATACCAATTAAGCCAATAGACCCGCAAAAGATCAACCAGTTCAGGCATAATATGCCAGAACTATGCCATACTTCTATCTATAAGGCTTTTCAGGGGTCACATAACCACGCACATAACCCACCTCCTTATAATTACTCCCCTTCTCATAGCAGCGCGACCCAAGCTATAACCCTATAGACCAATCAGAGCCCCCGGATCATTACGCCTATCTAACCACATGACCCCGCTACAGGGTCAAAAGCAATACCAATAGAGGTTAACCCCTAAGGCTAGCCGCAGCAGGCAACTATATACCGCCTTATAAGCCTAATATAAGCTTATTCATTTCTCGCCGAGCCTTTGCCGACGTCACGGGCTATTTCATAGTTAGCCACCTATACGCGCAACAGGAATTAAACCCACGACCTTTTGCCAGAAGACCCACATTATGCCTAAACAATTATAACATAATTAGGTAGCATGCCAATTAAGCCAATAGACCCGCAAAAGATCAACCAGTTCAGGCATAACGTGCCGGAACTATGCCACACCTCTATCTATAAGGCTTTTCAGGGGTCATATAACCACGCATATAACCCACCTCCTTACAGCTAAATGCCTATATAAAAAAACCTTAGGTTAGCTAACCCCCGATTATAATATATAGTAGGGAATATTATATAGATTTTTTTAATTTTAAGATATAACTTAATATTTTATTAATAAAGAATTTTAAAGAATTAAATTAATTATTTATTAAGGATAGGCTATAGATATAGCCTTACGGATAAGATTAATAAAAAGGGGACCTTATATTATAACCTAAGATAACTTAGTTAATAGCTAGCTTATATAATATAAAAAGGGGAAATATTAAGTTAATTAATAAAAGATTACTTAGCTTACTTAATAATCCTATTAATTTATAGATTACTAGGATTATAAAATAATCCTTATAATCTAATAGAAATATTAAGTATATAAAATATATTTATTATACTTTCTTATATAGTAACTATCTTAGCTATTAATATAACTTAGTTATACTTAATACTATTAAGTATATTACTAGACGTAATATTATATTACTCTTTAAGGCTATGTAATATAATCTAATGCTAATATAAACTAGTACGACCGGTTTATCCCTTAGTAAATACCTTCTTGTTATAAATCCCTCTTTTAGCTATATAGTTTAATATATTTTATTTCTTTAATAAACTACTGCGCTTAGGCAGCTCGGATTAGCTATTAATAAGTATTAATTTCTAAAATAAATAATTAATATATTTTTAATACTCTCTTTTAAATAGCAATACTCTTTATTAAAGGTATAACTAATAGGCTATATTATGTAGCTATAAAGGAAATAACTTCTTAATTTCTATTATTTAATATATAAATAATCGATCTATCTAAATTCTTCGCTAACTCGACGCATCGCTGGTCTATAAACCTGGTGTAAAGGTGCGCCGCACAGAGATTAATCGCTGATGAAAAAGCAAACCCCCCAAGCCAGGAAAAAGCGAATTGGGCTGTATGGTTATTGGCTTCTGGTGTCCCAGGAAAGGGTCCCCACGTAGCAACGTACCACAGAGAGTCCCTCAGAGGTTGTTGGAAGATATGGTAGACGGATTGGTGCACCAAGTAGAGCGGGAATGAGATCTTTCCCAGGTATTGTATTGGCGTAGAATTAAGTGGGCGTTGGAGATGGGCCGACTTGCTGATTGCGTAGACAACAAGGACTGAGCCAGTTGTCCTCCAGCACTGGCTTATAGTGTCCCAGTCGTTCTCCCAGCGCGAAGATTCGACAAGCTCTAAGATTCGGTATCCTGGTGGCAAAGAGCCATGGTCATTAAGACAGACTAACCAAACTCCAAGAATGAAGGAGAGGTACGTTCGGATGGTGGTGAAGCTGATGAGTGATGGCTTTGTCCGTTGCCCTAGCAGGGAATACTGAGGCAGTTTTGCCTCCTCGCTCATGGCCTCGGGGTTTGACCAAACGTGCACCTCCGCCAGATAGAGGCCCGCCAAGAAGGCGAATACATCCCACAGACCAAAATAGAACCAGTAGGCCACCAAAGTTCCTAGTGCCAAACGCCGAAGGTGTGGCCGCCAGAACGCAAGCCCCAGCACCGCAAGGTAAACAATGTAGGAACCGCGGAATTCAAGTGCCATGGTCCAGAGTTGCGTGTTGAGGCCAATATGAGTTGGAAATGAGATAATGTTCATATTGTCGAGCATGTAGCTAAAGACAAAGGTGACGTGCGACCAAGGCGCAGTCCAAGGTCGCCGGCCCAGGACAAGGTCGCCAAAGTCCCATTGATAAACATTGCAAAAGAAGAGAAGTTGCGAAATGGTGGCAATGCAGAAGACGGGGAGATATATGCGCAAGACACGGCGAGTGGCGGCCGAAGAAAGGCGGCGTAGAAATTCAGATCTATTGTTGTCTCGTAGTTGTAGAAGATTGATGGACATGGCATAGCCAGAAATGACAAAAAACAGCGGCACCATGGCCTGCGATGCAAAGATGAGGCGAATGGGAGGTAGCTGAATGAGCCTCCGGTTTGCCTCGGCGGGTTCGGCCCAGTACGACCGGAAGCCGGAGGTCATGAAACCACCGTTTATGACGCTGCCCAGGAAATAGTGGTCTGTGGTGACGACAGCTGCGGCGATGCCACGAAGGCCATCGAGCCAGGTAGTGCGGTCCATGACAGCTAGCGATTGTTGGAAAGAAATTGTCCTGACGTAGCGGACCTGGACCATTCTTGACGTTTTCTGAGGCTGGTCCCCTTTAAGAGAACGCTTCAAACACAAACTATTGCTTTGTAGTACAGAGCCAAAAACGGAGGGTCCGGGGAGTTGTGGTCGCCCGGGGCCTTCGCACTTGAGATTCTCAGATTCATTTATTCCACCATTTTGCAGATACCCCTAGCACTCTGTGGCGTTGTGGGCTTAATGACCCGATTTTCAGCATATTAAGCACCCCACTACCTTAGCCTTGAGTTGTATTTCGGAGACTGGAATATTCATGTAGTTGCCCTCCATAGTTGTTGCGCCTCCACTTGGTGACAAGGTTTATCGGTATATTAATAACGGCATATTAGTAACGGCATATTAATAACGGTAGGGTATATAGTCGAAAAATTCACCGTACAGCCGAAAAGCCTACATCTGCTGCAACTATAGCGACATGCTAAACCACGCATTTATAGCGCACCTGTCAACGGCTCACTACGCAATGATATCGGATGATTATCACTCTGTGCCGCTATTTGGATGCTTCGTATCGATGTTCGTAATTATTAAATGAGCAATTACATAGGAAAATCCCTAATACTATTTCTTTCTATATCACTCGCTGGCACTGCATGATGCTAGCAGCTTTCCAAAGAGACCTACTGCTTTTACAGTTCTTAGTTTCTTTTTCTAAGTCCCCAAACACTTTCAATTCGAATTACGACGCATGATTTTGTGATATGGCTCTGACATTTGGTCCTCAACCTCCTGGTGGTTTTCGCCACTCCTTCCAATATGCCCGAGGTCAATTTTTGGTTCTACGAGGGCTAAGAATGAGCTTATGCGTTGTGGCTACTATGCTGATACTTGTTTGGCTTGGCATAGGCTTGCCAAGTAACATCACGCAATACCATGTTGCCAAATACCCCTCAACATTGCTTCCAAGTTCTGTAGGCACTAGTCAAGGCAGATTCCCACGCAAAATCTGGCAGACTTGGAAGCACGCGCCGCCCTCTTTTTCGAGAGAGGAACTAGAACGTGCACGAACATGGACTGAAAAGAACCCTGAATGGAGATGGGAGGTTTTGACTGATGCCAATGAACTGGAATATGTCGAACGCCACTTTGGGCCCCACGGATTCAACAGACCAGACATTGTCGAGTTTTTCAGGACTGTTTCGATCACAATCATCAAAGCAGATCTATTACGTTATCTCGTCATGTACGTTGAAGGAGGGCTATATACCGACATAGACGTGGAGGCTCGGAAGTCTATACCTGAGTTTATCCCGAAAACTTTCGACGAAGCAGAAATCGACATGGTTATCGGGATCGAGACCGACGAGCCTAAGTTTAAGGATCATCCCATGCTCGGAGCTGTTGCGCGAAACTTTTGCCAGTGGACTTTCATGTGCAAGCCGCAACTGCCTTTTCTGATCAAGTTGGTTGACAATGCCATGGCCAGGCTTCACGACCTCGCCAAACAGCAAGGTGTTCCTATTCCCGAAGTACGCTTGTACTTTAACCAAGTGATAAGATGCACTGGTCCTGAGGTATTCACCGATGTTATCATACAATACATGAATGAGCAGAGGATTCAAGGGCCGCCCATCACCTGGAATAACTTTCATCACATGGATGAGGCAATACTAGTCGGTCGTATACTAGTACTACCAGTCAAGGCATTTGCGGCGGGGCAAACCCATTCGAGGTCGGGTGCAACTCACGAGATACCCACAGCACTTGTGAAGCATCACTATTCCGTATCAAACTGGAAGTCTCAACATTCAAGATATAAGCATCCTGTGTACGGCGAATTGGATGAATGTTGCTTCGACGAAGCCTGCGTGGATCAATGGGATAGAAACGTGAAGGCATATGAGAATTTTCAGAACAAAGGCAATCTCAACTAGCTACATCGGAAAGCAGTTCATAACTATAGGAAAGACCTTCAATCACTCTACTGTTTTATCTTAAAAGCCTATCGAACTTTGCACTCTACTCTTCTTATACTCATCCGACGCCCCCTGGCAAAGGTAGTGATCTATAACCAAATCCAAATCCCTCGCCTCAATATCCAATCACCCTGGCGCTGCGTCATCGACTCCAAAGCTCAACCAAATCTCATCATCCAAAAACACATGACTCCTATCATGAAGATCACCAGTAGAGTTCATGAAGTAAACCATACTTCCTGTCCATATAACCCCACTATTCATCTCGCCATGATAGATAAGCTTCTTACTTACACTCATCATCTTATAAGGCGGAGTAGCAGCATAGGCGACCAGACGTCTCTCATACCTGGTGAAAGGATAAACCGGGGTATCATGGCGGCGATGTACCATGCCTATCAATACTGTATTATTGTCGTGAGGCTCGCATTTCCCACGATCGCAGAGCGTCAAGATGAGTATCGGTGTCGATTGGTGCACGTTGTTTGTCATCATGATATCTTGCACGCATGTCTTCTCTGTGCTGTGCCAGGTCTTTGATTTAGCCCAATGAGGGTACGGTGCCTCGACCGCTGGCTCCGGTTCCATGTTGATATGTTCCACTGGCTCACGGCTAGTTATCCACCGGAACACTCGACAGGGCTGAGGGAGGGCTCAGCATCGTCTTTGATAAAAGGTGACTGAAAGGGCGCTCAATTCTTCTCGCGCTCTACTGAAGCCTGACGACGTAATCCTGTCGGTTGCTTGAATTGGATGGGTGGTAGTTTCCGTGCACAGTCGCCCATTGCTGTTGCTAGCTCTGGCACAGAAGCACGCGCGTCTACTAAAAACATGCCTTGACACAGGTTTTGTCGTTGATCTGCATGGCAAATATGAGTAGTGGCGCACCCTCACGTGTTCAAAATAGCTTCATATCCTCAGGTCCGATGTACTTGTTTACATCGGGCTCGTGCTTGCAGTCATGTTCTGGCCCGACGTAGTCCTCAACTAGCAGCTTGAACCATTCGCCAGCCGTGAGCACTGGTCATTGAGCTTCGTCATAAGTGAGGTTGACGAACATGGCAACTTGGCGTGAGACCTCGTATTTGATGCCGTTGATTTCCTTTTTGAGAGGAGGCATCCTTGCTATCATGAGGAAGTGGTGTCTGACTCCGCGTGGCAACTCGAGAAGCGTTGGGTTAATGATTTTGTGCCCGTCTTCTCGACGTTGAATGCGTTGTAGATGCCCATAGGTTCTCGTATACTGGTGAGAATTCAATAATCATCGCTCTTTCTGCCTAGAGCTTTGTTCTCGGGATGAACAGAGACTTGTTTGACTATCAAAGGCTGCTTTGGTACGTCGATAAGAGCAGTAGTGATACTGGTCGAAAAGGCGATAAAGATCAGAAACATGAACGTACTAATGGTAGCTACGGCTACCAAGCGCCTTCTACGGGAGCCCATAGTGATGGTGTGACCGACTGCCAGTAGTGACCCGATCGGAAGAGAAAGATTTGATACTTACTGGTCTTAAATTGATTCATTTATTTCTACCTTTAAGAAGGCCACCCTCGCCCGGTGAGTGTAATTATCCGAGGCATGAGATGACAGCTCCCGAGTGCTCGGGGCTGGATTATGCGTAACATTGATAGGTAGGCGCAGTGGATTGTATCGGGTAATAAATAAGTACTTCAATAGAATGTCCTAGTAGATTTACTTTGGTCCGGCAAAGTAGTTCTAGAACATCCTAGCTAAGCAAACCTCGAGAAACTAATCTAGATGTACAATCTCTTGCCGCAGTCCATTGACCCGCCAAATTGTCCCTGCAAAATGGTTTTTTGTTCTGGAAATCCAATACTCACCATACTCTTTTATTTGGAGCTATAATTGACCTTAAGCGGCACATACTGGCCGCCGACATAACCCTTTGACATTTTTGCCCACGCATGAAGTAAATCTTGGCGGAATCCCTCGAACGACGTCCTCTTACGGACATATGTTTCGATCATTGCGGAAGACTTCTGAATCCCATCCTCGTAGGCATCTTCGACGCTGCTGGCAAGGCTCTTTGCGTCTGAACCAACACGGCATCTTGGTGGAAGAAAAGCGAGAGCCCCGATGTTGGGTGTTTCGGTTATGAATGTAGTCACGCCACATGCTGCGGCTTCGAGGGGGGTTATGCCCAACGTTTCATATCTCGAGGGGCATAGAAAGATGGCTTTCAAGCGAACCAAAGCAAATAAAGTATATAGATGGTCTTTAGGGAGGCGTGGGAGGACGAGGAAATTGTTTCGTTTGTCCGCTGGTACAGAAGCCAACAATGCTTGGCGACGAGTGGAATTGTTCTCGGGATCCCCAACCACCAAAAGCCTAGCAGGCTGACCTCGAGCAATGAGGATAAGGCAGGTTTCGACGAGTAGATCGACATTCTTGAAATAGTCAAGTCGTGCAACTGCTGTGAAGAGAAGGATTGACGAGCTTTCAACAAATTCCTTTATTTGTTGGGAGAGATCCACGCGTTCTCGGCACCTTGGGACCCCAATTGGTGGTCGTAATACTTGGAATCGTGAGGGGTCTAATCCTTCATGTTCGAGTATTTGTTGTTGAAGCCTCGAGTGGACCAGAACCGTTCCCCGCTTGTCCATAAGGAGGCGCCGATGGCCTTGTGTCTGTTGACGAAAGAGAACCGTGACCTTTTCAGGGTCACCACCGAATGCGAGCTGAGCAGCTTTGAGCGAAAATTGCCCGACAAAATGCGAGACAAGAGGACCATGGTGGGTAACACAGAACGTGGAGCCCGTGGGGTGGTACGGAAGGAGGGTGTCGGTCTGGTAGTATACAATGGGAGCTGACATGTGATTCGTGTGGTTCAAGCTCAGATCGAAGGCTCCCTTCAATGCTGAGGCGATCATTATGCAGCTCATCCGGAAGTGAAAGTGGATTGTTACCACCGAGATACCATTCCAGCGACCTTCAGCGTGGTAGTATGCCGTGGTCAGGGCTTCATCTCGGCGATAGAGGACAATTCCCGAGAGAATGCCGGCTTCAGAAAGAACTTTCAATACAGAGAAGGTGAAGGAACTTGAGCCGACTTGTGCTGCACTGTGCTCGGCGGCGGGAAAATACTTCTGGTTAAGCACCACAATGCCTGGGGCCAAAGTCGACTCCATCAGTACACCTGGCTGCCGCTCTGGTAAGCTCGACACTACATATACTGCAGTGAAGGAGGTTCTGCTGTGCTAGATATATGATTTCTGCACGTCATTTCCAGTGGAAATAAGCCGACGTCTACTTCAAGTCCCTGTTTAATATACCGGATAACTACAGCCCAGTCAATGGATCGCGCTTGGTTCACATAACACTTGGGGAATCGATCCCAACTCAACCTTTTGCATAATGATAGTAAGAAGGGGTTCAGGTTATTGGGTGTATATCTACAGACTAGACAAGACCTATCTCTTCTTTCCCCTCTTAGTCTCGGGTCTTTATTTTTCTAGGATCGGAGTTCACAATATGCATGCAATTACTTGCCTTGCAGTTCTACATATATAACAGGAATGTTACATCTCGTCCCAGTTGGTGCAAGGTTTATCGGCAGATTAACACCAAGTAGCTGAGGGCCGATCGGTCGAACCATCATCATCATACCCGTGGACTCCTCCCCGACCCTGTTAATCCTTACTACACTGATGCAAGAATCATCCGTTCCGTTCAACAGAAATTCTAAGGTTATAGTTTTGAGCCATGCTATCAGTTTGTACCGATGCTTTGGAAATGAAGTAAATTAAACTAACCGGAGGCTTGGCACGCGCTTCGCGGTGACTTTTTTGTGATTTTAGATATTTTCTCCATCAACTGTATTTTATATAGAATCAGTACATTCCCAATCTTACTCAGTAATAGTAGAGTCAACAATCTTGTTTGTTTAAGAAACCCGCTGTTTCCTTCAAATAAAATTCTATCCATAAACGAAAAGCTATCAACATGAACAATTACTACCTACGCTTTGTAATAGGCATTGTCAGCATGTCAGGATTGCTTTTACTATCTTTGATACCATGGCCACGGCCGCCCCCTCTCTTTACTGGCTTATCGGCGCTTATTTTGGAAATTATTTCCACTTTTTATAAAATCGAGTACTTACTCATGGTCTGGCGATGGATCAAGTACAAACCTACGAAGGCTGCCACCAAAGACAATGAGTTACCCTTTATCAGCGTGGTTATACCAGTGTTTAACGAATCCGAATTCATTCACAACTCTATCGAATCTATTGTGCTCTCGGACTATCCAAAAGACAAGATTGAGCTCGTCATCATTGACGACGGCTCTACAGATGATACATGGCAGCATGTGAACCAAGCTGTGAAAGCAATTCCTCAGTGTGGGATATCATATCGGCTTTTGCAGCACCCAGCCAACCTGGGCAAAAGGCAAGCCATTCAATCAGGCTTCAGTACAGCACTCGGCAGTATCATCATATCTGTCGACTCAGACAGCGTTCTAGAGAAGGGTGCGCTTCACAGAATCGTCAGCCCTTTGATGCAGGACCCTGCAATCGGTGCAGTGGCAGGACATCTGGCAGTCTTGAATGTGTCAAGTCCCAATACTTTGTCAACCAAAGGTTTCTTGCCGCGACTTCTCGATATCCTCTACGAGCATATCGGCAATCTACCGCGCGCTGCACTGACAGCTGAAGGCTTTGTCACTATTCTTCCTGGCGCTTTCTCAGCTTTTCGAGTAAATGCCGTCCGGGACCACGTTGACAACCTGTGTACAAGCACCTTTCTTGGTTCGCCTCTGAAACACGGAGAGGACATGGAGTTGGCACATCATATCCTCAAAGACGGATGGAAGACGGTTTACCAGAGCAACGCGGTTGTTCACACAACGGCTCCTGAAACTTTACAGAAAGCATTCCTGATGTTTTCCCGCTGGGAACGTACCATGTATACATTTCTCTGCATGGGATATCCAGCTTTGACGGCTCAGGAAGCCCTAAAGCTGGGACTTTTATTTCGACTAAAAGAGCCGCAGCTTTCCCCCTACATGCCAGACAAAGAAAAGCAAGAAGACGGGGCTGTCATCATGCGAGACAGAGTTGGAAGCATATATCCGTTTATGAACGTCACTTGCATCTGGTTAAGAGGCCCTTTGATGATCTTAATCACCATCACTTTAACCAGAAATCTCATCTTCTATCCCAGACTTGCACTTTGGACCTTGTTAGAAGTTTCAATACTCACAGTTTGGAGGAGCTTCTTGTTGGTCGCGGATGCTATCCAAGAAGAGCAGGCAAATAGTTTCACTGATGTCGGTGGGCTACAGATCTATCACAAGAGAAGCAGATTGCTATGGCGATTGGTTAATTCATGGCTTGCTGGGATACTTCAGATGGCGGTTCTGAGTTGGGCTTCAATTTTAGGTCTCCTCACATTAAAAAGCCAGCATTGGTGGACTAGGTAGAAATTTTTGTTAGACCGTAGGGTTAAGCTATGAAATACAACTACTTTATGTGACAGTTGTATTTTTGTGTTAGCAGCAAGCTATGATGCTATTGATGTGACCAAAAATGTGTCCTCTGTGATCGTAGAAGCCTAGTGCAATATAGATAGTGACAGTTGTACAACCCCTCTTTTTTGACCGTGTTGTCTACCTGGCAAAGTTGAAGACATAGACATGAACAATTAGATAAATCGAGGGCTCGTGGCCTATTCAAACTTTCGGGCTATTTCCTGTACCTGTGGGGGCCTCCAACCCGGCCTGTTGTTCCCTAGTCAGCAGCCCCCTTGTTGTAGGATCACACAGGGGGGCGGGCCGACTAAGAAGCCCGCACCGGTGAGTACACAAGACAAGTCGGGATATTCAATGTAAGATGTGAACTTTTGGTTAATGTGGGTAATTTAGTGTCTGCCTCAGCTGGTAGCAACGACACACTGGCTGGCTTACGGGCTGGGTTTGCTCTTTGATAGACTGAACTGTACCTGAATTATTTAAAGCTATTGATTTGCTTATCTGTTTGGACATATGTTGTATATGGATCAGCAGTATTTTGGACACGACATATCGACATACAGGCTGAATGTTTTACGATACAGTTAATTGCCTCTACGTAACAGGAAGAAGCAAATCATCTGACGCTTAGCTAATAGTCATTTTGCTGGCGCACCGATAAACTCGCAGGCTCGGCCACTTACGAAGTAGCCATTCTCTTCCGACCAGCATGATACATACCTACAGGAGTCCCATTGAAGGACCTACCTAGCTCCCTTCAAACGCTGCGGTGACTTATGTCTTGTACGGCTCACCTTGGGCTAGAAATGCCAGACCCGGCCCATTAGCCACTACAGCGCAAAGAGACAAGTCATCGATAGATTCCATGCACTTGAGGTGGGAGAGGCTGCAGCCAACAACGTCAGGGCCTGGGCAAAGTTTGTTTCATCGTCGGCTTATTTTACACATTAGTCACTAGGCTTGACATGTCACCGCACCAACGGAATTGACGGGTCTCGGTATTAGCCCCGGGTTTCAAGCCGAGTACCAGTTTCCAATATCCTCTGATCGGAGCATTTAACGAAATCCGTTTTTGCCATTGGGATACTGGGCTCTTTACGAGCCAGAGCAACACACAGACAGCAAGAAGACAAGCCAACTGGCAAGTCCTCTAACAATAGTCCATGCTAATCATACAGATTTACATCTGGAATATCTAGGGCTGTTTTACTGAATGACGGACTTATCGGCTTAAATATAATCTCGGGTCTCTATTATCAAGCTTAATAGCCCGAAATATGCCGAATGACATAATTGCCAGGTAGAACACCCCCACTCTAATTCTTCAACTAGCAACTAGGGTCAGTACTTAAATACTTGTACCTGGAGTAGGGTTCACCTTGTTTTCACATTATACCTGCAGTTAGTGGCACAGAGAGGTGGCCAACCGTTCTGGTATCTTCAGTGGTCCGATCATTCCGCTTGGTTGTTTCAATTCGCAGCAACACTTCCAAGCCATGTCGGGTCCGCGGCTGATTTTCAAAGGCATCTTCGTCTTCCTCGGGGCGTTTTTCGTCATTGGCTAGTAAGACACTTGAAATCACGAACTGCACTGTATCTGATGTTCCTAAGCTTGCGACCCGACTCATTTCGAGGGCTTCGAGGACGCACTTCAGAAAAGCTCATAACGCATAGTAAGCTCAACTGTATCCAACTGGAAAACAGCGAAAGGTCCCTACTGACACCAACAGGACGCTGTGTTACGCCACGTACCGTTGCCCTCACATATGATGACAATCCGACTGAAGAGATATATGACTTGTTGGCGCTTTTAAAACGTTACAACGCAACTGCGACATTCTTCCACAATGGTCCTAACCATATTAATAAATGGAAGCTTGACACATATATCTCTGATATTTACGCAGCTGGTCATCAGATGGGGCTACACACGTCAGTTCATGTCATGAATCGCATTTCTTATTGAACTAATTCCTCACATAGGTGGGACCATGTAAACATGGACCAGGTAGGGCCGAAAGAAACGTTAGATAATCTTGTACGCTGCTGATATGTCATTGTTTCATTTTGGGCATAGACTGACATGTCGTAGGAAATGTTGAATGCATGGCTGCAGGAGAAAATCAATGTACGATCAAGCTTCGTCCGACCGCCGTTTGGCGAATGTGAAGTGGAATGTAGGAAATCCCTGGTACGCAACGGTTACACTCTTGTCATGTGGACTTTAGACCCATTGGACTGGGTCTTCGCAGCAGATGACAAAGTTCATTCCAGTACTGATATCATCAACGCTTGGAAAGATAGCCAAGTTGGGATGCACAATGATAGTTACCAGGGGCCGATAGTCTTGATGCATGGCCGGCTTCACAACAGCATCGCGGTCCTGACACCCACTTTGTTGGAATTCTTTACGTCTGAGAATTTCCGGTTCGTATCTGTTGCCGAATGTTTGGGGTTCTCTAGGGAGCAATGGTACAATACAGTGTAGGAAGTGTCGTTTTGGAATCATATATTAGCCAGAAATCTCTTCTTGTTGGACGTTGGAACAGAATATTGTAGGTCTCACAGATAGATGTATAAACAGCAAGTACGGCGACTGAGCTCCCTCTGTCTAGCACGTGTATACTCTCTCATGCTCTTTTCTCATTCGGCTATTCCGGCTGGAGGTTTCACTGTCGCAACAGCAAGTCTTGCATTGTGACTGGCTGGCATGGTTGTGAACTATTAACTAGTAGTGGAACGAGTACTGTAGTTCGTTAGGTTTCATGAACGAATTGAAAAATGCCATCAGTACAAGGCCTGGAAAGGAACATTACCGCCGAAATATCCGCCGCTTCAAGGGTCGGATTACTCGTTTGCTTGTTTTTGGCATTCCGGCCCGGGCCATTCGGGGTAGTAGAAAGTCTGCATCTGTGGTTGGCAGGACCCCCAGTTCCGCCGTGCAAGTTTGGCATTTTACGACAGCGTTACTGTAGCATTTGCACCCTTGCCGCGATGACGTTGGCAAGGTGGCTGCGGCGGATCGACTCACCGCATTTTTGTTTCGTCGCTAGGGCCAGCAATGTTATTCAAGTTTTCAAGGGACGGGGAGCCGGGCTTTAGCGAGTAACTTAGACTTAGCGAGCATAGCACTAGAAACCTTGCATCTGATGGAGATAGTTTCATCGAGTTCGTGATTACCGGCCCGAAATGAGATCAAAAGTTCCTACACCACGGCAATCTAGGCATTCTAGCCGCTGTATTCATGCTAGACATCTCGAACACGGCGTTGCGAGATAGACGATTTCTTCCAGCGCCACTTATTGTGATTTCTGATGGACTTCTTGCGCTACAGGCAGCAAGGCCAGCCACGAGCCTCCCGTAGCAACTTCTACTATGTCTCTACTAGGCCAAAAGCTAAAATGTTTCTTAAGAGCACAGGAGGCTAATAATATGGCTATAGATGGATTCGCGCGCAAGAACTTACCGGCCTCCAGCCCGTATGTGTCTAAGCGATAACCTAGCTCAAATCGAGCAACCCGGTTTCAAGTTGCCTCCTAGTCACCCTTTCGGCCTTTGGGCACTTGATAAACCTGCCCGCAATGTAGGCCCAGAGCCATGGTGGGTCGATTTCTAACCCTTGCCATCTACCATATGCTCCGCCTCAAAACGACCCCATCAGGCAAAGGCTTTTTTTTTTTTCCTTTTTTTCACAAGGCGTCGCAATCATCGGCAAAGACCATGAGCCATAAGTACTCTTTACAAAGCGCTTTTCGACGTCCGGACCAGGGTCGTTAGGCCTAGTGTGACCGCTGTGTCAGGCCAGAGAACACAGCGAAGCGGGCCATTGGGAGTCAAGCTATCGTGCCAAGAAACGCATAATCCTTTTCTATATGTCTCAGCTCGAATTGTAATAAGCTCAGCAGGGACAATTGTACTCTGTGCCGAGAATTTCCAATCAATTTGTCACATGCGGAGCTGGCACGACTTCACCAGATTTCACGTCAAGGCGATGTAGGTGGTAACTTTATTATCTAAGTAGCTAAAGCTAACAGCTAAAAATAAGGCATCTGCCCCCTCACAATATCTAGCTACTAGTAAAGAGCATTCCGCCCCTCGTTTCTCAACCAACATCTCCATGCCCCGCACCCACGTCGGTCTTAGCCAATAGATACCGCATCAACAAATTTCTGTCCACTATGGTCCCTTCAAGACTCCGAGGATGCTGCGATAGCTGTACCAGGAGCAAGCTCAAGTGCAGCGGTGAAAGACCCTCGTGCCAAAGATGCCAGCTACGGGGTCAAGACTGCATATACAGCAAAGCTCGGCGTGCTGGGCGTCCACGGGTCAAGCAGAACAAGTCACATCATCCACCGAATACAGTCTCTATTGGCCAAGAGCCGCCATTGACTGTAGTCAGCCCTGGAAATCATGCCGTCAATAGAGTTCACAGTTCGGATAGCGAGCAATCTCTTCTCCCCACTCGGGAACCCGCCCTGCCTCCCGCAGACTCACACAATACCGCTTCGTCAATGCAAGATGGCTGGAATCAAGAGCCGGCGGACCCCAGTCTAGAATTTTGTCAGGCTTCAAACATCCCCGACATCGACGACATGATGCTGCACGATCTACTATGGACCAACACAGAAGGATTTAATTCGGTTCCCTCTGGAAACGTGGGACTGGACTGGAATCGTGGAAACACTTCATCCAACCGAGCCCCCCCAGGCGCTGATCTACAGCATGGCATGTCTACCGACCGGCCAGCCAGCAAGGCTTCAGCACACCCAGCAGAGCGGTTCCCTGATACAGTTCAAAAGACGACTCATTCTAGGCCTCCATCCACACAAACCCAGGCTGAAATAAACGCAATCATTGCCAGTATCACAAATATTGCTGAACAATCAACAATATCTCATCATATCCGAGAGGAATTATGCACAAGCTCGTGGCCACAGTTACTAAGCAAGGCCCAGCTGCTCATGTCTATCGCCGGCGTTCAGGGATCCGAGAGCCCAGCCTCCCTCCGTCTGGATGCAGTTCTACACGTTGCATGGGCTGCTGAGCACGTTCAATGGTGCGTTTCGAGATGCGCCACTTGCATGTCTCAGGAAATGGAGATATTTGGCATACTTGCTTTGATATATGATTGGATTGCGAAATGCATTGCGTATGCCCTAGAGGATTCACTCGCTACTCAAAATCATCAGCTTATCATCGGGGACTTGGTTCTAACGGGACATAAAAGCACGATCAGCATTCATGAGTTGATCAAACATCGCATTATCAGGGCAAGACATGTGATGGGGAATATAAAAAGTCGCATTACGAACATAGGACAACGCGATCCTGACAAGCTTGATCGAGCTGTCCAGCTTATATTTCAGAGGGTTGACAGTCGATTAGAAGCCCTGTCGGGAATGATGGAACTTTTAGCGAGCGAACATTACTATAGTGCGTAAAGGTCGAGTTATATGTAGGTTCTTGCTGGTGTATATAGAACTCCTTTATCTACCGGATTCGCGGGGTCAGCTCTTCCAAGTTGCAGCGACCACGCGACCAGTTACACAATGATTTCAAATATTTGTAGCGTCGTGGTGTATTCGAGAACACTTTTACGGAGTATTACACGTCGGATTTTGCACAATATTACGGTACTTGGGGTTTTCGAGCCATAGAGAACGGCACATATCAAAGCGCCGATCGTCATCATCGCTGTTAACGTCGAGAAAATCGGTGTTAGACTCTACGCGCGCACACAGGCCAACAAAGCCACCCACTGTGGAAAATTAAGTTACCCGCCGGGGTCTAAACCAGGGCCTGGTTCCGTTGGTTCCGGGACCCCGGCTTCTGTAAGCTCTCCCGGGTTCCTCTGTCGACCAAAGTACCTGACCCCAGCAATTGCCTGGGCGGTAGACACTCGGATGCATTGCGTTTGCTGCTTTGCTAGCATCATCTGGGCCGAATCTCATATGGCTCAGCCCTCCGTGGCCTGCCAACGCAATCATCTCCTTTTCAGCAATAACACCTGAGATTTGACTTTATCCATGCAATCAAGGTATATCATATCCCCGATGCACGTCATCGCCATTGCTCGACCAACCGCGACGCCTCACGTGCACCGCTCTCAATTCTAACCCCTATCCCTGAACACGCAACCCCTCCTTGGCATCATCTGACCTTCTATTGGGTAATCTGTCTGTGTTGTATCCGCCTAGGTCGCGTTGAAGCGGACAACTTATTCCAGGACTAACCTTACTGTGGTAGTTACTGGGGTGTTACCCGTAAAACTGCTCAATCTCTGCGTTTTTCCAGGCCCCTGCAAAACCCTACTACAATTCGGCGATAAGTTGGTTATGGGTTGATATGGTCTGATACTCTCATAGATCATTCTTAGCCATACCCCGTACCCCATACAAGGGCCCGAATCGACTTAAGGTTTACCGAGACGCCATATGAAAGATAGTAGAGGAGTCATCGGAAATTAGGACGCGCGTGAAGCATGAACAGCGTTGTATTTTGTGCCGTTGATGATTGTACGCTGGCCACAGAGCAGCCCACGTTAGCGATAGTCTCAAGCAACTGAGCCATTTTTACCTTGACCATAGTGACCTGAGAAGCTGATCTCCTGACGCCTTACCCAGTCACGATACATTTCAATTTGTAGGGGTAGAGGAAATAGAGTTTGAACTGCGGGACCCGGGACGGTCCTTTCTCTATCCCCGTGCTTCAGCCTTCGGCATCTGGTAACGGCATAACTATGGCTGGCTGCCACCAGAGGATGCAAGGCCACAATTAAACCTTTACCAAGTTACCTCGTTGGGAAAGAGTAGTCGCCAGAGGGGGTGCCCCATCGTCGGGTGTGGAAATAGATTATCGTCTCGCGGTCTGTCACCTTACCTCCAGGGTCACGCCACGCCAGCAGTGGAGTAGACGTTTCATCTTAGAAAGGCTACCGTCCTCACTCCCTATTTTCACATGAAGTCGGGAAGACTCATTGAGTAGTTTCATCGCACCTCAAATTTAAGACCCCAAAACTCAATACCAAGGCACGGCCAGATGTATGTGGCGATATAGCAGCATTTCCTATACCTAATTATCGACACAAAGAATTACCAAAAGACTTTATTAGAAAGCTTTAAAAAACGACATGTAAGTAGAACAAAGAAAGTTAAATGGCCTATTTAATAATGATTTTAGATATATACGGTATACAGCAAGCAACAGCTGTACTGAGAACACAGCAACACGCAACGTGGCAATTTGGGCAAAAAGAAAATATTCGCCTCGTACCTATCGAACAAACGATTGTACGGTCACATGGAGGTCGAATGGCAAAGAGAGTCGACTGGCACTCCCTGTCCTTGCCAGAGTGGCACCTCCTTTGCGAAACTCCTTGAGATCAGTCTGGAGAGAGGTGCTTCTTTGAGTGTTCTCATGAGTCTCGATGCACAAATCAGCTCACTGTTGCTATCTGTCCGTGCATGCAATCAATGTTCAAACGATGCGCTGTTGATTAAGGATGCATTCTCCACTTTAAAAAATATTTTAGTTCTTTTAGAGGCGGAAGAAAGCGTTTATATTCCAACATCAACTACTCAAGACGGCGATGGCAGACCAAGCTCTCAGGGTCCATCCCTCGGTCAGTCTAAGGCCAGTCAATCAGCGTCTCTGAGAGAAACATTTACATTCGGAAACATTGTCCTCGATGACCATGAGAGCACAATGATAGCGAAACGGCTTATCCGAGATAGTGCTTTGAGAATTGGACGGAGTCTCCGCTGGATCAATGTGAAGTGCAGGACGATTTATCAGCTAGAGCACTTCAACCAGGAAATAAAACCGACTATAGATCGCGTAAAAATAATTATAGCTAGAACTGCTTAGACATAAATAACAGTTAAAATCAGGTATTATACTAGTAAAGAATAATAGCATTCGGATCCTTGACTTTGTTTTTACTCTTTATATTCTTGCCAATAACCCACAACACTGGACCTTCTCTGGCACGTAGGGTTATGATCATGGGTAGTTATTTCTGTCCGCATTGTATAGATAAATACAAACAAACAGATCAGTCGCGACACCACCAGCTCTGGACTTGGCCTTGGGGTGAATTTAGCAAAGAACAAAGAGCGACTAAGATGTATCCCCGACCAAGATGATCTCGCTCAGCACACGCCGTGCAAGAGCAAGATTACTACTTCATCTAATCGTAGCACACCCAAGCCAGATCTTCTACTTACTTGAGGGCTGTGACAACTATGCCAACAAAACCGTAAACTTACGAAACATGGAGAAGGGTAGTATAGATATCTCACTAGCATTTACACAAATGGCATCTATGTTCTATTCCGCTCCAGCAAGATTCAACAACGCCAGAGAACACATTTGATCCAATACGAGCTGTTCCTTAACTTGCGATACGCCGGCACCAATAGCTCCCTTATGATTCGGAAATCGGTGGATTCTTGGGATTTTGCTTCCATCTTTACGCGTTAGCATCATGATGAGTTCGGCTTTACCCTTGACCGCGAAATTCTGGTCGATGATATCCGCGTTAGAGCTCTTGGGAACACGAGGGGCCAGAGCTTTGAAACCATTTCCTAGGCGCTTAAGTCGGTCTCTACTAACCTGGTATCTCCGAAAAAGAGCGTGAAGAAGATAAATCTCTACACGGCGGGTGTCTGGAATGATGTCAACGTGTATAGGCTTGACGATCTCGCTTCTGGCGATATTGTTCCGGGGCCTTTGTTCATCTTAGATCAGACTTAGACGATTTTGGTATAGCCTGGTTGGTCCGTAACTGTCCTGCCTCGCCATCTTGTTTTGGAGAAGGCCTTGTAGTCCATATTTAAGACTAGAGAAGAGGACGAAAGCTTTATTAATCCCATCCAACTATCTATTTTTAGCCACCGTTTTACGAGTATCGCCGAGCAGATGGGCCGATTACTCGAGAAAACCTCGGTTTCAATCAATATTAAGGAACGATTGGACTATTTATGTGCCATATTCTCGCCAATTGGCGGCCTCGTTGCAAATGCTCCCTATATCCCTTGCCATCTAGGAGCCATGAGCTTTGCCGTTGCCTATTAGGCTGAGTTGTAGGGGAACCGTCTCCGTCTAGGCGACGTGCTAGTCTCTAACTATCCCGCCGCCGGCGGTTCTTATCTTCTAGACGTCAACGTAATTATACCTGTTATTGATGAGCAGACCAACGAGGTTCTGTTCTGGGTCGCTTCTCGTGCTTATTATGTAGATATTGGCGGTATCTGCGCCGGTTCTATGCCGCCCTATCTAAAAGAGATCTGGCAGGAGGGCGCATCTTTTACTTCATTTAAGCTCATCGAGCAAGGGAGGTTCAACGAAGACGAGCTCCGCGAACTGATGCTTGAGAAGCCTGCTAGATACCCTGGCTGTACTGGTACTAGAACTTGGAGTGATAACGTTAGTGATCTTAAGGCCTAAGCTGTGGCTAACCTTAAAGGAATCCGGTTGATCGAGGATTGTATTAAAGAATATGGTCTGAGCACTGTTTAAGTGAGTTAAAGTAATTTACCTATGGAAGCTTAGCTAATCGCATTCCTATAGAAATACATGAATGGCATCTAGGCCAACGCCGAAAAGATTGTTCGCAGCCTTCTTCGCAAAGTCCACGACGAATTTAGCGGCCTTCCCCTAGAAGCCGTGGATTACCCAGCGTTGGAGGTGCGTTCAATACCCCCGACGGCTCGACTGAGCGTTTTTCTGAGAATTATCTGCTAACTTTTCCATCACAGGTCAAGCCTTTGCCAATGAAGACTGCAGGCTTCGAGGTGCCAGGAAGATGGAAACATTGAGAGTTCAAAATGGGAAGCTTAGGGTAACTCTTAAGGCGTCGGAAGCTCTGATTGTCTTCCTGTGAGGGTTATCGATGGAAAACGTTAGTTCGTATATCTGACATGAACTTACTCCCTGAAATCTTCATGAACAAACGCTTCTTCCCAGTCAAAGCACCCGATGACTTCCGCCTGGTCTAATTTGTGAGGGTCGCCTAGAAGGGCAAAAATGACAAAGAAAGGAAAGGAATCATTGTCCATCACTTTCTAAACAGACTATTCGAGTGTCCGAGTGTACCAGGTGCTGGAACTGGGCTACGGTGCTAGATGCAGGTCTGACACAGCAGATCTTCGTGCCTTAGTGTATAATGAGAATGGGTGTTCGGCAGATTGACCCGAGGGGCCAGCCGACCTTGCTCGACTATATAGACTATCTACCTAGGTAATTACTACAGTCCCGTGCATTATAAAGCTAAATTTTCTAGAATTATTTAAAACTAATTTCTCAAAGCGAGAAAAATGTCACCTAGACCCACGGCCGCCGCTGCAAATAGGTGCTAACCCTGACCCGAAATGCACCACTGATCTCTCTGTCTCGTCCGTGCTCGAAACCTCCGGCTCCGTTTCTCTTGTTCGATTGCTGTTACTGCATCAGCGACGAACTTAACACGCCGATTGTGGCTGTTGCGTCTGGCATGAAGCTTCCGGTGGATATTAAGGTTATCCCTACGGTTGAAATCGCCTTTACCACAGAACTCGCATAAGAAACGGTTGGGGCCCTCGCCGTGAAATCTGCATAACCTGTTAGCCTTTTGACAATGGTAAAGCTTATAAGACATCTTAAAATTACGATTGCTTATGTCTCTTGAGGTGCTCTTTGCGCCGGAATGCCCTATCGCAGCCTGGGTAGTCACAACTGCTCCATACCGGTTTCGCGGAGATAGGGACGGGCTCGATGGCTCGCTTCCCAGGGCTTCGGGCCTGAATAGACGGAATCTCAGCCGTCTTGTGAATCTCTTCCGTCACTATCTGCCGAGGTCGAGCTTGCTCTAGTGAATCTGCGTCGCGGATACAATGGGAATCGTAGATATAATAGGGGTACTCTGGCTGGCGGTCGATATCGAAAATATCGTCATTACTCTGTAGGAAGGGGCTGCTACTGGTACGGGACCAGGGTGAATGAACGCTAGTGTCCTTGAAACCTGAAGACACCTGGGTGGGTGTCATGACGAAGGAGGTAGCGTCAATAACAGCCCCGTGAGAGATGGCGAATGTTTCAGGGCGAGATGTCGCTAGAGGATCCATAGAGGGTTTGTGTGCCATGCTAATCTCTCTATAGTCGAAGTCTATAAGCTCTTGCTTCGTGGGTTTGTTTGGAGGGCCGTTGGGGAAAGGCATCTGCTCCGGCTTCGTGCTGATAGCGTCAAGCATGACGTTGCCCGCTCCCTCTTGAGAAGACACATCAACGCGGTAAGAGAAAGTGTAGGATGCGTCAGGTTCTAAAGCCGAAAACTCATGGGGCGTTGAAACTCGAGATGTAGGAATGAAAGGGCCGTAAGAGGAGGAGGCAGAAGAGAAGCTCGTTGAATCAAAAGGGTACGACATGGAATGACTGGGGAGACCAAAGCATTCCATATCAAATAGGAAATCTGACTTGAATTGATGAGCCATTGTGAAGGGAGACGATGAGCTTAATAAAAAAAGTAAAGGGTACAAGGTTAATAAGCAATGGGAAGCAAGAATTTTAAAGAGGCGTTCCAACAAAGGTTGAAAGGAATATAAGTAAAATGCTACACACGCAAACTGTTGTAAACCTCGAGGGCACTTTTGTCGACAAAGTGAGGGCTCACCACCTTGAAGATATAATGTCAGGATGGAATGAATAGCGGAGGTAGGTTTGACGAGACCGAGGCAATTAAGCAGTGAATCCACTCTTAACACCTTACCAAAGTCAAAGTACCATTCAAAGGGAGCGACATAGAGATACATGGTCTGCCTAGTGGGTTGATCAGAATGGCCCGCGGAGATTAAGCTCTCACCTCAGGTTACCGGAGAGGTAGTATCAAACCCCGCAACTTTTTCAATCAGTGGGGCTAGAATTGTCATTTGAAAAAGAAAGGTAGCATTACTCGGTATGCTTGTCATTTCAGACGACTCTCGCTTCGGTGAGCAGAGCGAGTTTGACATCTAAACGCCACCTTGATCAAACCACCGGGAAGTCTTCAGTTGAATACGGTCAATTACGCAGGGCAGTTCGAATCCAAGCTCCACTTTGGGTTAATTACTGCTCGGATAACCTGACGTTTTGGATGGGTTGATGTCTTGATGGGTGAAGCTAGACCAGAGCAAGAAGCTTGACAGTGTCCCTGCATGAAATGGGGGGCTAGATCTGAATCAAACCTCCTCCCGGGACATTTTGTGACACTAGGAAAAGGAGAGAGCCTATCAAAATGGATGCCCGAGCGCGAGCCTACAGGAGAGAACTGATGGATGCGTGTGGTGCCCGTTGGGCTTGGGTGCCACATGGTTCTATGCCTAGGCCGCCTTTGGTTGCGCTCCAGGGAATGTGACATGACCTCTAAACAGATGGGTGACATCGAATTATTGACTAAAACGTGGTGCCCAGATGACGAGGCCATCTCGCTACGAGTATCCAAGAGCTGCTAGCCCAACCCCCTAGACCATGACAGGGTTGGCTTGGGCGAAGTGTTATTCATCGTCGGGGCCTTGTCCTCTGCCCAAACTACCTTGCAAGATCGCGCCCGTGCCAATGGTAACGGTCCCAAGCAAAATTTGACAGAATTCCCGTGTCTGTGTTATGCGCTCTCTTGAGATGAGGTGACTCCGCAGACGCTGCTCGGCCCAACGCCTCACCGTCGACTCCGCAGATGCCACGCCCAGGACGTTCGTGAGCTAACTAAACTTAGAACTTAATTCGACATTTACGATAGTGGCGGTACAGTTAAACATTTCCAGGGTTCGTCTGAGCTCGTTTCGTCATCAACTTGGGCAGCAATGCCCTGGTTCGGGGATAGTTGAGGCACCTTGTACGAGTGTGGCTGTTGCCTCAACTCTTCGCTCACTTGGGATGATCATTAAGCGTCTTTCTCTTGTTTTCACCGGCATCTACCTTACTGAAGACATAATCCTTGACAAGGCATCTAAAGCCATGAAGATCCATTTTGGCTTCAAGGCAGTGTGAATATACCCTCACTCAATGATTTCCTCGTTTACTGGAAGAAACCTTGGTCTGACTGAACCATACTTATTGGATCTGTCTCCCAGTACACGCATGTACTCCGCCGAGTCAGAACGCTGTGATGTCATGAAGCGTTACAAAGCCAAGGAAGAGAATCTGCTAGCCAGACAAATACGCATGACACTGGACATGACCAGGATCTAAACCGGATGTCTTTCGAGGCCAGAGTGTCAAGCACCATGTTGAGACACTGGCAGAAAAAGCCCGAGAGGCTAACTCTGCTGGCGCATTCGCCGACTGAGAGCCCAATAGCCAAGCCATGAACCCTCAGCTCGACGCGTTGGTGGAAGTCCTGACCGGGCCGGCGAAACTTTGACGGGAAAAGTTCTAGAGAATTCATTCTTCTCTCGGCCAGGGCGTAGACTACATCCAGAGTTTCTCCACAGCATGCCATGTTACATTGCAAGATGATCATCAACCCAGGCCGAGACACTCCTGCATGCCTGAGCCAACCAATTCTGGCATGATTTTGGAGACAAAAGGAATCGGCTCAACGGATGTCGGATGCAGCACTTGTTCGGATACCACACCCGACAGCTTTCTCCATCCGCCTATCGCCGTGCTCCGAAAGGTGTTGACGACGCTCCACATTCACGGAGGTTTAAATAAACTCCCCGATGCGTGTCATTCGGCCCTTGCATTAGTTTCTTGGATAAAGCGTGGCTTCTCAGCTCGTTTTTTTTTATTAAGAGAGACGATGGGCCTCTTTGGGATTTCCGGTAACGGCTTGCGCGGGGTAGGGAGTGGGTTGGCTGCGGCTGAGTTTATTACGAGAAAGATGTCGGCCGGATCCGAGCGAGGCTCAAAGAGGAAGTGTAATAAGGAAAGGAAACTTACGAGATATTGGGTACAGCCTTCATTCGAGCACAAACTCCAGTTGTGTAGAACCTTCAGCTGTGTTACGGCTGTGTTATTTCTGTCGAGTTGCTCTGAAGCCCCTGTCTCATGTTGACTTATAGACTTGGAGGGACAATAACCAACAAACGCATCATCGCATTACTAGCTAGCTATCTGCTTGCAAGCCTCCACCTTCGTCACTTCTCTTAGTTGTTCCATTTTGTTTCTGTACCGTGTTCTGCAGAGTACTACCTTATGAACTAGGAAGAACCCAGTCACGCGAAAAGCCGACTACGGCGCCAGAATGTACGTACGCGACATGCTAGGAGATGAGGAACACGAATATAGACACCAGGGCTGCTGCTTGCCCCCCAGACCTTCTGTACGGCGACTAACTCTTTTTTAAGACTTGCATCTTTGAGCTCTGGCCTGTGTGCTTTATAGAGCATGGTTTGTGACCTGACTCGAGCTATGAAGACGGGCTTGTCCCCTCTGATAAGAGTTTCCTCGATAAAGGTGTCTGTGGTCGAATATTGGGGTCTCGTCGTGATGATTTGGAAAATTGGCTGCGCCGTCACCTCCTGAGTCTCGTGCTTTATGTCCGACGCTGGGACCCATCTCGCTGACCAAGGTTAGGTTGCGTACGGAGTACTGATGGTCTAGATCTCACAGCCACATGGGGCTACTCCGAGCGGGTCCACGACTGATTTACCATCCGGCAAGGTCAATGATGGCGGAGGTTGAGAGTGTGCAACAATGAGTGTAGCCAGAAGAGATTGAATTAAAGCTGCTCCTTCTATCTAATGAATGATGAAGGTCCGTCTCTTATACTTGTGTTCATCCGGCCCATCTTTCAGGCAGCAGCAGGCTGTTGCCTGCGATCTGGCGTTTAAGCTGACCGTGAAGCTGTTCAAGATGGTCGTGATCCTTGCCCCACTTCTAACAGCAAGTTCTTCGGACTTGTTTATAGGAGAATAATCCCCAAGCTAAATACTACCAGTACTAAATGAGATATACTCAAAGAGAAAACATAATTACCCCCAGAGGTAATAGCCAGACTCTGTTGGTCAGGGCTAGTCCAGGAAATCTTTCTAACCATCGAATCATCAAAGCCATCAGTACTAGAATGTTCCTTTCCGCCCTTTCCCAGCGCCGTACGCCCAGAGGGCGCGGTAATAAGTTGATCCGTTACACTCTCCCTCGTAGTCCAGCGAGCATCCGCATTACGCGTCAGCGTCAATGGAGAGACCCCCAGCGCGCAGGTACAACATACGAGCGCAACAGTATTGGTAGCTTCTTCAGGCGGAGGTGTGGGAAATGCCAATGGAGTAACCGAAGTTGAACCCACGAAAACAGAACGGGAATGATCCACGGGCTGTCCATCCTCCGATGCTCCGTCGGATGTTTCAGTTGCCCCCCGGCTACTACATGTGGGATACGCGGAGTCCATGTCTGGGGGGGCCGGATTCGTTCCTGCGACGTGAAAGGGGTTACTCTCAGATACGAGAGTAAACACGGGAGTGTATGGGGTAGATATTCTCCCATCTGAAGACAACGACAAATCCAATATTTCTGATGCACTTGTTTTCGGTAAAGTACGGGAAGGGGGAGGAGACGTGAGCGAACCTGAAAACGCGGTGGAAGTCGAGATATCCAGCGTAGCTCTCGACTCAAACACATCCGATCGACTACCTTTTGTTGCCATTGAAAGGGCATCAGTGCTTTGAAAATCCCCAGAAGTCATCAGATTATGACTAGATGTTTGTTCACCAGACATGGTGGCGGAATCTTCCGCGGTGGTAGACACCTTATGTGTTGCGGAGTGTTCTCTTGCGGAGGCATCTCTTGTCAACTCGCTGGTGGACGCCAAATCCTCAGTGGCCATCGTATTCGTCGCCGCCGTCAGCGTCTCGCTGTCACTACTCGCTTTTTCGGTAGTAGAGATATCCGTTGAGCTTGTATGAGACCTTGCTCTGTTACTCGCACTCGGACTATCATCTGTCGTGGAGCCACCGGTCGTTGAAGCTGGTACTTCGGTTGTTGACCCATTATCCGCTGTTGTCGTCGAGTTAGATAGGCCTTGCGTCGTCGCCGTCGTCTTCGCATCGTCGCTACTGCTCTTCTCGGTAAAAACTACCGTTGAGCTTGTTTGAGACCCTTGACCCTCATTCGAACTAGTTGTATCGTCTGTCATGATACTCGAAACCAGGCCCTCTGTTGTCGAGTCATCATCCATCATTGTCGTCGAGGATGATGGGTCTTCTGTCGTCGTCGTCAACGCCGTCGTGATGTCACTACTTGTTTTGTCGGTAAAGACAGCCTCTGAGCTTGTTTGAGACCCTAGGTCCTCACTTGTTGAGGTATCATCTGTTGTGAAAATACTGGTTGTTGAAGTGAGGTCCCCGGTCGTTGAATTATCATCGGTGGTGATGGCGGTGCTCTCAGGAGAAGGGCTCGTCGATGTTTCCGATGTTGTGCAGGTCGTCGACACATCCGGAACCTCGCCACACACATTGTCAAATTGCAAGACGATGCATTGTTGGTCGCATGCCACGCCTTGTGGCACGATAACGATGTATTCTTCGGCTTCTTCAACGTATAACCTCTACGACCTGTCTAGACTAGCTCGTCGGCCGAACGAACAGACACAGGCGTTCTCGAGCAAGTTGCCTCGGATGTCGCAGCTTGCCTGAGTACCGCACTGGTTGGCGGTGGGATCGCACGTCGGGCAGTCATTGTTGGCCTGATGGGACTCATTAGGTTAGTTGACCTTATTCTCCCTCTCGCTCTGTTCGTGAAGTAGTGCAAACATACTTGTCGTCCCAGTAGGAGGGACTCTTCATCATGTGCAGTAGCCAGCCCTGCGAAGGAGATCACGCACAGCGACAAGATTGTTGCACTCGGCTTCATAGTCAGCATGCAATAGACAAGTATGAAGATAAATATTCAAGCAAATCAAGCCCAAGAAATGGAAGCGTTTTATACGAACAGGTGGAAGGCCGACTCAGCTGTGCGTTAATAGACGTCGGTCGATTAAAGCCATTGAACAGCTGAGCATGAGATATCTGCACACCGATGCTAAATGAGTTCAAGACTATTGAAACCTCTTCGGATCCAGGGTTAAAGACATAATACGTTAGTAGCTAGCAGATAATAAGATAGCCGCATACCGATGCTAGATAACTCTCCACGAGACATCCGATTCCCAATGTCGAGCTGAGCAGGCGGGGGGGTATATGTACACGTTTCCGGGATTAAAGATCAAGCAAGCAATAATTCTTGAGACAAGGAGTCAGAGTTGCGCCGACCAAGCTTCGACCCAGAACCGGGGCAGAGGTTCACGTGTGGTCCGTGGAGTCGACCTGCTGCTCCTGAGGCGCCCTGCGGGTTGATGCTGGAGACATTAGAGGGCGATTTAGCAGCTGATCTGACACCTTGACTACTTAATGTTTCCTATAGACAGGCCCGGTTCCCCGTGCTTGGTCTTCCAAGCACACCGAAATTGCGGGAATCAAGCACGAAAATAGACCCGACTATAGGCCCCCTCAAGGACTCATGCCGCCGTTATTCCCGCCTGACGTTGGTGTCGCATCGCTGGCTTGGGCGGCCGACCGCGGAGCTGGCCGTTGGATGGATGACTCAGGTGAATCCTGGTTCAGCCATGTCTCAAAAGACGCGCGTCGGGAGTGCCCAGTAGTAATACCATCGCCTAGCTATCATGTCGGAACTGAGGATGCTTTGGTTAATCTCCCATGTTTCGGGGAGCTGGGAGAACACCGAGTTAGCGAGGAGGTGCCTCAGATATCTTAGAGCAATAGGAAGCACTCACGTTATCTCGATTCCATTGGGTCTCAGTCTCACACCCACCACCTAATTCGTTTCATAGTTCCCACAACCGGGCCCCGACGGTAGGTCTCACTCGCTGAGACCACTGGACACAACCGCTGGTTCAAATGGGTACAGAGCTTACATGGAGACCGCGGAGCGAGGCGGCTGCCCCGTCCGCAGGGCAGCGTTCTGGCCGCCTTGGGTTTTTCTCCTGCGAGGGCTTTACCCAAGGATACGTGTCTCACTATTCATATATCCGATGCAGCGGCTATCAAAGCAATTCTGGTGGCCATCAGCGGATAGTGATTACTCCTACGAAATCTCTTGGGCCGACGATGGAAGTTACTTGGTTTTAGTCGATTTTCAGGGGGATTCATCGAGCCCCTGGATCGACATTTTCCAAACTGCTGGTTCAAGCCTACAGCCATCATTAAAGCTTATCGATTGAACGTACCAGCTTCTAGGTTATGGGCTTAAGAAAGGCAAGATCAAGCACCACCCATCCAAGCCAACCCTTACGTTCGGAGTTGGAAGAGCTATATACCTCTGGACGTTTCACTTAGGTATGCATCAAAGGATATTTAATAATGACGGGATGCTGAGGCTAATGCCAAAAAGTGAGTCCGGAGATTTCCAAAGGTTGCCATTCTATCCTGGAGTTTCATACGGTTCAGTCACAGTCTCCTTTTCTCAATGTGGCGAATTTCTCGTAATACACGACAGCAAGAAGGGGCGACCCGAAACCCTACGAGTTCCTCCAAATTTCGATGCAGCCGCAAGTCAAATCAAACGAAGGAGAACCCCAGAGCTTTGTCAGCCAGCAAGGAAGACCAAGCCACTACAGTCAGTTGAATGCAGCGACGAAGCAACTGAGACCGGTTTGAGTCACCATCTGCCCTCTATGGATGGCTCAAGGGCTATGGTCAAGTCTACAAAGACTATCGTTCGCAAAAACGTCAACCCATATTCCCAAGTCGAGATAATCCAGATGAATAGCTCTAGCAACGAGCAGGTGACACCAATTTCACAGGTTCCGACATACATCCGGGCAACGAATTTCTCGGTCACTGTTCATACTACAGTCAATAATGGTGACGAGAACTTCCTTAACATCATCTTGAACAAGACATCGACGGAGGGGACAAGCACGCCGGATCGTAGGTCAGGCGATCTGCCAGTAGTTGTGAGAAAAAACGCACGGTCTCTTGCTGTCCAAAGGGGAGATTTTCCCGGGGAGATACCTAGACTTAAAGGGAAACAGGCGGGCCAGAGAGAATAACAGAAGTAGATAAGGGGTGCCTTTCGGCTATATCAATGTGTTGCTCTTCTGCAAGAGCCATTAGGTTTAGATTCTCAGAAAACAAAGACAAACTCGTCGTTCATCAAGTCGGTCAAATCATCAAATGCGTGCGAGCCCACACGACGTCCCGTCTCATCCGGTGCATTATCAACCTGCTGCTCCTCCATCGTCTTCAGTCTCCGAAGTCGATCCGCCTCCTCTAGTGAGTGCAAGCTATAATCTTGAATGATAGCGTCTTTGCCTGCCAGCACGCGACGACGACTATGGTCACGGTTGAGGTGAGCAAGGTAGACGCTCGTGATTCCGACGAGGACTATTATGGTGCAATACAGTATCAGATTCCAATACAGACCCCGAAAATACTCGGGGGCCTCCGAGGGTCTGTACAACAGAGGGCCAATGATGTTGCCAAGGGATTGACCAATGAACAGGGCAGACGAGTTGCATTTGCCTTTGGTGTCGCCAGCGGTATTAGAAGAAGACCAAGAGTAGATCAAGGGGACTGAAACCTGAGTTAGTTCTGTCATGATTGAGCAGCAGAGTAGCAGACACACCTATGCCTGGGAATACCGAGATCATATAGTAGCCAAATAGCAAGGTCGCCTTGCGGTCATCCGAATGCGGCGTTGATAACATGATCATACAACCCGCGATAGGGAACAAGGTTAGAAAAGCAATAACTGGGCCCTTCTTGTGATACTTGGTCGCCACGAATGAGCCACCCACGGTAGAGACAAGTTGTACCAAACCAAAAGGGGCATTGAACAGAATAGCCTGGAACGAGTCAAAGCCGAATGACCGGACGAGCAGTGGGCCGAAGGAGGCGACGCCACCAGAAGGAACCCTGGAGCTGGATTAAAAACAAGACGCAAGTTTGGGCCAGATGGCACGCACGAGATGCTGAAGATGAGGGCAAACCACAACCAAGTCTTAAGATCTCGGATCGTCTCCCACAAGTGGTCCCATCGCCACCTGCGCGACATGACGCCGGTCTGATTCATTCTCAGTCGCTCGATCGCGATGAGCTTGTCATGCTTGCTGAGGAACTTGGCCTCTGCCGGAGAGTCGGGCATGTATGCAAACAGGACGAACGAGAACAGAACGGTAGCAATGCCGAAGAAGATGAAGATGGTCTAGAATAAGTATTGAGTTATCCGCCCGCTCGGAAGGGCCATGTGAGTTTGTTCTGCGCACCTGGTAAGGTCTGAGACCGAATTGAAACTGGGCAAGCCACCACGTAATCAAACTCCCAAACTACAACCCATCAGCACAAGAGCGTAGCAGATTATCCAAAAGGCAAAACATACCAGATTTGTGAATCCATTCATAGCATACCAGTAAGACATTCGTAGAGGTTGCTCCCGACGGCGCCAAAACATCTGTGTGATGGCTATAAAGCTCGGGGCAATACTGGCCTCGAAAGCACCCAGCCAGAAGCGAGCGAGAAGCAAGGTCTTGAAGGTATGTGCCGCAGCCATCAGGGTGAGGGTGAGCCCCCAAAGAATAACCATGAGGCTGGTGAACCTACCAATCGGCAACTTCACAAGCAACCATGCCAAGGGAAACTGCGCTATGAGTTGGGCAACATAGACGATGGAGCCTAACCAGGAGAACTGGTCGCCCTTGAGACCCGTGTCCTCGATGATGCCAAATATGGATGCATAAGCCATTGTCGCCTTGTCAAGGCCTGCGTATTGAAGTCAGTCAAGTGTGACATGAACGTGGCAAGGAGCAGCCATGTCACCTTGCAAAAAGTAGACAGCTAGCATCAGGGGAAGAACAACAAGATCAATTCGCCGTAGCACGCGAGCGTCATCTTCAGGGGTCACTTTGATGCGGCGTTCGGGCGATATCCCAAGCGCCCGCATCACCTTTGCCGTAGCATGTCCATCGCGCTGTCCGTGGTCGGAAGCTTGGACGGCAGTCTCGTCGCGTTCCCCAGGCTCGAGCAGGGGATGTTGGTCGTAATCCTCTTCAGTGGTACGCCCAGAGCGGCCCACGCAGTCTGGTAGAGGCATGATGGATGAAGCTGTCCGTCGACGTGTCTTCTTCCTAAATGCTGAAGCAAGGTCGATCAAGTGAATCAAGGGATGATGATGACGGCGATCTTTACCACTCGAGGCAAGGGGGTGACCTGATTAGATAAGGAGAGACACACGCCGCAATTGGCTGGAGGCATTTGGTTATAGGGTAGGTGATAGCTCTCACAACCGTGGAGTTAGCAACAAGACAAAGACGCAGAAAACAGCACTGGAGGGGATTCTACAGTATTTTACTATGTTTATAATGGCTTACGCTATGGCTTTGAGCATCTCATTAAGTAATTTGTATTCGCTCTCTCACACTAACCTCACTAACCTGTTAGCACATTTGGACTTTGTATTCACGGTAAGCTTCCCACTACAGCTACAAGAATGCAGTTTCACCAGCCCTTTGCCAACAATTCTCAACACTTTGGCAGATAAAATTACGGGACAACATCTTTTCTCGGCCTGAAATGGGATCGGTGTTTGCGATACTTTGTTAAGTGCTGGTAAGATGACAAGATCACAGGGGAGCGTCGTCACGTGAGCGTGACAGGGATAAAATAGGGAGAGTTTCCGAATTAGGTCCAGAGTCGCAATGTCTATCATAATGCATCTCTTTCAAATGAGGGATATGCTGGCGCATAAAATAAGCTTTGCCGGTATCTTATACTAAAACCTTGTTATACGCAAAGAGAAAGATATTAATTTGAAAGCTCCTTCGCGAAGCTTTCTGTTTTGGCCACGAGACAATGTCGATTATGCCCCTAATAGGTGAGACCGAAGCCGGCGTAGCGCGATATATCGAGTCAACGTTATTTTAACAACAGATATAAATAATAACGAGCTATGCTTATATCCGCTGCTAAGAGTAGTGCCAGATTGAGAATAGCGCGTCCTAATAGGTATCTAAGCAGAAATAGATGTCGACTTTCATTTTGATAGACGTTGCGACTCTGGACCTTAATCCCCAGCTGTTGCACAACGGGAAAGGTGACTTGCAGTACGATAGACCACAACTTGATTTCTCTCGAGTGCACCTACGTGATGGTTAATGCCCTGCTCTCACTGCGAGAGCTAGGTGTTTGCGTGGGACTGCCAATGAGCACCAAGCAGGGATCTAGGCCAATCATGATTAGTCTCTCCTTTTGCTGACCAAAGATGAGATAAGGAATTACCACGGCCTGGTGTTAATTGCTAGAGTCTTAGATAGTGTTCTAATTAGGGGCCTGCTCTGGAAGTCAAGGGGCACAAGCATGGGTGTTCAGAACTGTGACGGAGCAGATTACGAGTTGTTCAAAATCTCTTCAAATAAAATTCTAGGTGACGATTTTGTCGATATTCCAAGTTCACCATCAGGGATATATGAGAAATACTAAGGAATCTCTTGCTTTCACTTGAACTGGGACCAACTTAAAAATTAAAGATCAGACTTTTCGCGGGGTGTTGTAGCCTCATTGATGTCTCAAGGTTAAAGTACTAAGCTTGTGTCGATCATCTATCAAAGAGCCAGTCAGCCCGTCCCGCGTTGTTCCTTGTCTCCTGAAGCTAATTCAGTGATCACCAAAGGCCATACCGGACAAGGCATCTTGCGTAACTAGACAGGGACACGCGTTTCCTGATGTGTGTCAGATTTGAGACACGAAACGCGTCCCATAAAGAGTAAGCTGCGAGTGTGTCTGCGCGTCCACGTGACAAAGCACTGGGCTGTGAACAATGCAGGGTCTATTTTCAACAGACCAACGAGCACGCTCGGGTTGAAATTATGCTTAATAAGAGGCTCTTCTACCTATCACGCCACAAGTAAGATAGGAATCGTGGGGCAAATCTGTGGGGTTCTTACGACATGCCTTCATGACGAGCCACAATGACGCGCTTCCATCAGTCTCATCAGCACTTCCAACAAGGTCGAGCGAACTACCTGGGGGTACAAGAACCGAACCAAATGGGAAAGCAGTGAGGCGGGCAAGCGGAGAACCGGACAAGACTCGGCGCAAATCTGTGCCTTGAGTTGGACACATTATCAGCCAAGAACTGCCAAGTCGCGCTGTAACCTCTTAGATGACACCAAGATCATCTGCCAAGATCTCCGCCAAGATCTACAGATAGAGAATCACCTGAGACCGGACCTTGTTATGGCTGACTTGGACCTTTAGGAGGTTGAATCTGGGATGTTTCCAATGTCTTGGACAGCTGTTTTTGATCGTCTAACTGTCCTCGAGGTGGCGAGACCGGAGGAGAGTGGTTGTGACCGGGGTTGAAGGGCAAGAATGAACCGTCCTACCGCAGCTTGCGACGCGTTTCTTACTCTTGTGGCCATTCTGAAACCTATTGATCTTCTTTCTTTTTTTAGCCAGGAGAAAGCCTCTTGTTCCAAGACTGGCGCTTGAAGAACCAAAATAGAAGCATTGTAAACTAACCTTGCATGCAAACGTTGCTATTCGTCGGCGAAATAGACGCGGCCTCTCTCCTTCGCAGGGCGGAAAGATGGGCGGCCGGGTCGCCAAGACTTGGCGGACACACAGAACACTCGGCAGTGGCGGCTTGCAATCAGGCCGCGAGTACGGAGTACTGTATAGCCTTGGCATCAGGGCAATGCCTGCAATGAGACGAGCGGTAATATGCCTCATCTACATGGTGATACTTGATCGACTCCTTACCTGTCTCACTTTGGTAAATCACTCTCCTGCTGACTTGTCCCAAGCTTGACACTGGTCTGGCACTGCGAGCCGGAGCGAGGCTGACGATGTCTCGTGCGCGATTTCTTTTTTATTTATTTTCCTGGGCATCGCCCTCAGTCTCTTGGCGATCTCTTCTGTCTGTCATTGTCACTCTTATTGGAACCGGGGCAAACTTTGTCAAGAGGTGTATGCATCCAACTTCTTCTCTTTTCAACATTGCCAAGGTGCCAATGTTCATTTTTCTTTTTGCTTTTTCATCCAGACCCACCGAAAGATGCCTGTTCTCAACTTGAGCGAGCTCAACATTGTGCTTGGCGTTCTTGGTATGTGACCGTGCATCTTGGCGAGGTCTCTTTCTGACGTTGTTGCAGGCGCCTTCACCGTCTTGTATGGCATCGTATCTGTCAAGATCAAGCAAGCATGGTATCTTGGCGAAGCCCGTAAGTACAGTACCCATCTATCCGCGTTTTGTCCCTTACTAACCATCGCAAATCGATCAGTCCCTGCCGTCATTGTGGGCATCATCCTGGGCCCGCTTGCCGCCAAATTTCTCGATAGCGAACGATGGGGTTCTGCCGAGGCTGGGCAGACCAATGCCATAACGCTCGTGAGTCTGCTTTACCCCTGAGTGGCTTGCAGCGCCCAGAGCCTTGGCTGACTCGCGTGCAGGGCGTTGCACGCGTCATGATCGGCGTACAACTGGTTATTGCGGGCTACCAGCTGCCTGCCAAGTACAACTGGGTGCGCCGCAAGGAGATGGCCATGTGTCTTCTGCCCATCATGACAATGATGTGGCTGTGCACGTCGGCGTGTGTACTTGCGACGGTCCCTAAACTCACCTTCCTTGCCGCTCTCGTCATTGGAAGCTGCGTAACCTGTACCGATCCCATTCTTTCACAGGCTATCGCCAAGGGGCCATTTACCGACAAATATGTTGCCCGCCCGCTGAGGGAGATTATCTCATCAGAGGCGGGAGCCAATGACGGCTTTGGATTTCCCTTCCTTATGTTGGCTACGTACCTCATCCGACATGCTGATATCGACGGTGCTGGCACCGAGAATCAGGGACATGAGGCACGATCCGAGGCTGTTGGCCGGCTCGGCGGGGGCCCTGGGGAGGCGATCAAGCAGTGGGTTATTGAGACCTGGCTGTATATTGTCCTCTTGTCAGTTGCCTACGGTATCGTCGTGGGATTCGCCGCCTGCAAAGGAATTCGGTTTGCGCTGAAGCGGTAAGTCACCTCCCCATCCCTTCCCGCCAAGAACCCTGATCTAATGTGGTCTTTCAAGGAAACTTATCGACAACGAGTCGTACGTCCTTTTCCCGGCAGCACTCGGGCTCTTCCTCGTCGGCACCTGTGGTGCCATAGGCACAGACGACTTGCTGGCCTGTTTCGTCGCTGGTAGCGCCCTCAACTGGGACGGTCACTTCTTAGAGGAGACGATCCAGCGGCACGATGAGGTTAACTCGTGTATCGACGTGCTCCTCAATTTTGGTGGTTTTATGTACATCGGCACCATCATCCCTTGGTCAGAATTCCATGATCCAGATGGCACAGGCTTGACCTACCCCCGGCTTATTGCCCTTGGCTTCCTTGTCCTTGTTCTCCGTCGAATCCCAGCCATCATGGTCATGTACAAGGCCATGCCGGCGGTTTGTCAGAACTGGAAAGAAGCGCTCTTTATGGGCTACTTTGGTCCTATTGGTGCCGGTGCCGTCTTCTATGTCGAGCATGCGAGGCATCAATTTCCTCATCTTGGGGAAGGTGACGAGGAGGAGAGTAACCTCGTCAGGGCCATGGGTCCCACCGTTTACTGGCTGGTATTCTTCTCCATCGTGGTCCATGGGCTTTCCATCCCAGCTTTGAGCATCTTGTACCACTACATGGGCGTGCAGCCTATTCAGGATGCGAATGACGTTGTCGAGGTCCGGAGAGCCTCACTGCAGATCCCACGGCCCGTTAACTCGGTGCAGATGGACGACAACGTCTTCCTTACGTACAACAGCTTTAGTATCCCAGCATACAGTGAGGGCTTGCCGGTGGAGGAGGATAGACGGCACGACGGTATGCACAACATTGAGTTGACGGATAGCGCTCAGGAGCGAGAGGAGGAGGAAAAGGAGAAGAGAAGACGGAGGAGGACAATTCGGTACATGGTCTAGCCTTCAGTAGATGTAATGCAATCTTTAGTTTACGAGTTAATGAGAAGTTGAGTCCATATCTGGCTTCATTGAATGGTAATTACCATGGCGCTTTTCTGTTTGACATCATCACACAACCTATAGAGCAGGTAATGAAATATGCTGAAACTGTGAGCCTTGGTTTAATGATCCGAAGGGAAGCCATAAACCGCAGCGGCGTAATATGTGGTTATTAATATATGGAGGGATTAACACCCAATATGGAGAGGTGTTGGAGTTCTCATCTAGGTTTATACTCATTTCTAGCATGACATAAAGCCAAAGCCAAAGAGGCCTGATCCGGAGCTGAGGTTACATACGCTATATGACTACCAATAGAAGAAATCTTCGGAAGGCGCCAGCTGGTAATCAGATATAGCTAATCCAGAGGAAGCGTTTGTCAGCTAGGATGCCAATAAAGCGACAGCGGAACATACCGGTAGAACAGTCCAGGAAAGGATACTTGTGGGCAAACTCCTGACTAAGCTTCCATCCCAAAAAGTTATCGATGCCCAGAAAGTGGGCTACGTCAGTTCCTGGGTAACTCTCAGGTGATGGAAGCGAGCTCTTGTTGTAGCCTGAGGGCATGACTTCTTCAGTCACCATCCGTCGATCAAGTTCTGCCATGATCGCCTCTTCCACTGGGTCTGCCACAGACCCGTATACGCTCTGCATTTCGGGGCTAACTTCAAACAAAACCCAAGAGGCGTCAGTAAGATAGTTTCGGCAAGTACCACCTTGCGTGCATCCGGACTTGTCTCGACGAAGGATCTGATTCTCAAAGATGTCGAGCACATTGACGGCTACACCCCGTTGTGGTTGCTCGACAACAGAGTTGAGAACGAGATCTTTTGTCAACATATCTAAGTCGACCGACTCATGATCCAGTACCAACTGATCTCGTAGCTCAGGCCAATTGAAGAGGTCAAGGCCCCAGAAATGGGTTGGTTGTCTAGACTGTAGTGGTGTTGGGCGGAATGGCGCCGGCACTTTGTCCTTGGGTTCGAGACCAAGCCGCCAACTCAGGACTTTTTCCATGTACCTAGCTCCGTTCTGTTTTGTCAGTAGGGCATTAGCTGTTGAATCTCGTTATAAGATCACTTACTACACCATAGACATATGATCCTAGACCCATGCAACGAGTCCCAAAGTCTATTGCAACGCGGACGAGCTTCTGGTTCCACTCATCGTCCTGTTTTGATAGTGTAGATGTTGCTTTTCTCTTGATATACTTGTCGCAAGCGTCAAGGAGTTTAGACCCGAAGAGAGTTATAGATGTTATGACAATGTGGTCTTGAGAGAGCATCCATGCTGGCAAGGGCATTGTCAATCCTGCCTCATTCTGCTCATTCACTGGCCAGGTGCTGGTACAGACGTTTAAAAAATCCGAGTAGTTATCGAGGGGGTCATTCTGTAGCGGCTGGAGGTTCGATATGCCTGGATCAGCCGCCCTTTGAGTGTGTGTAGTCACACTGCCGGTATCAGGTTCAGTGTTGGGGCTTTGGTGAGCTAGTGGCTCTCCTTCTGCCAGTGGCGAGCCTGATGAGTCGCGATGTCCTCTCTCATCGGCTGGGGGCGTGCCTGTGTCTTGGGATCCCCCGAGTAACGTGTCGAACACCTCATCATCTGTGACATATGAGTAATTTGGTAAGAGTAGACGCGGAATGCGAAAAGGGAACACAAGTCACAGGGATGGTGGCGAGGTCACTTACCTGCGGCGGTCGAAGCGGCGTTGCTCAAGCTCAGTAGCTTTTTCCGTAGCCGGAGAAGAGCATCCTGCAGCCGCCTGTTCTCCTCCATCAACTTGAGATGGGTCTCAAGCAGAGTTGCATAACGACTGCCTTGGTCTCCGGATGCAACCGCCTGCTGAAGCAGGGCAACTGTCTCCTCGAGACTGCGCACATGCGCAAGATTCTTCTCGCGGAGGCATTGCTGTGAGATGCGGTTCTGGGCCCTCTTGCGTCCTCGTTCCGCGCCATCCGGAGCAGGGTCTGCTTTTCTCTTTCCGGATCGGCGAGAAGGCTTGTTATTTGGGGGCATGATGATAGATACTTGGTGTTGGTGGAATAAACGAATTGATAGCAGTAGCGGTGGAGAACGCGAGGGGACCCAGTGAGGATTTCCCAAGTATTTATGTTACGGATCCTGGCCGGGGATCTCATGTACCCCGGCTCCGAACAAAGCTAGCTCCCGTCTCCTGCGCGGGGTCAGGGGCATGTGCCCATGGGACGGGTCAATGGGGACGCTAGAGACACAAATTGATGCGGGGTCCCCTCGTTTGCAAAAGCCGACGGGACTTGGCTCCGTTTCCTTCCACATGGATGGGTCTGAGGCAAATGTAAGGAGTGGGGAGAGTCTTGTAGGTCACCTAGGTAGGTACTCAAGGTGCCCAGCTTTCCCTGTCCACGCACATCACTGCAGAGCTTTTGTGGCCGAATTGTCCGCCGGCAACGGTGCAAGAGTAAGAATATAAAGGTGATCGGGTAATTCATAGTCATTCTGGCTTCCTACATCACCCAACAAGTTCCTCTGGCACCTCCACAACTTTGTCCCTCAAATAATCAGCAAAACCCTTCCCGAACGCGTCCAACCTGGTCGAGCTGCTAACGCCACGGCCTAGAATGCCATAAATCACAAAATGCACCGCAAAAATGTGCCCAAACTCAACCCGTTCCATGGTGTAGCTGTCATCCGCATCGTCACCAAGAAGGCGCCACATCTGTTGCCGCGAGAGATATGTCCGCAGCCAGTCCCACTGACGCTGAGTGCGTACAAATACTCCCACGTTAAGGTTGCCACCCTTGTCACCGGATCGTGCAAGTGCCACATCTCCGAGTTTGATCTTTCTCTTCGGGCCAGTGAACGTGACCGGAGAGACCGTATCGTAGCTGTCTCGCTTGGAGAGGGGATCAAAAACAGATGGGGTCCCGGCATCGATTGGGGGATGAATAGACGAGGAGACAGCGTCGTTGACGAATGTGACTGTCTCTCGAATGGCCGACTGCTCCCAAATAGCAGGGTAGTAGGCGAGAAAAGGCTTTGGAAACGCGGTACGCATGTCCAGAGAACAGTGAAATCCTGATTTTCAACAATTAGCATTCTTGACACATGAATGACCGAGTCTGCCATGCGGTACATGGGAGTCTTACCATGGAAGTGTTTAAGTGAGATGTCCGAGATAGCTTTAGGAATCAACATGAGTGACTTTGAATCCTTGCCCTGCGCTATTATTCGTATGTACATAGTGCTGCTATCTTGCGTACGGGGGTTATCAGCCGGCACTCCCACGCTTTAATCTTGAGGTCAGCACTTTTCACATCCACTCGCATACAAAGAGCTTACCGTTGGAACTCAAGTACATCCATGTTGTTGGCTTGGTCCCCAAGTTGAAGCCGTACCTGCTTCTCGAGCAAGTCACATTTCGCTTCCCAGTCATATCCAGCTGTGTTCAGTAGCAGCTGAGACTCGTAGCCACCCTTGTAGAAGATGGCCACTTTTGTTGATGGAGGCGGAGGCAGGCCTCGGATCCCACTAACATGGACCCTATAAAAGACGTTAGCAATCGCGAAACTCGGATGTCATGTGCATCAATCACCGGAATCCTGGCGTGTGACTTACCGGTCGGGCCCAATTTGCTTGACAGTGACTTCATCAAGGACAGCCTTCGAGTCACTATGAAGATAGACGTTCCCTTGAAGCTCGTAGAGAAGCTGACACTTTACCGTGTCTTCGTCTACACACCCACCTGTGCCAGGGTGCTTTGTTATCACGCAAGATCCATCTGCGTCCACTTCGGCAACGGGGAATCCTGGATGGGTGAAGTTCTGCCAACCGCCATACTTGGCATCGGTAAAACCAGCATAGTTCCCTCCAGTCACGTATGCCGAGCATTCAATCAGATGGCCCGCAACTAACGCGCCGGCCAGCTGGTCGAAATCCGTGTCACTCCATGACCACCAGTACCACGCGGCAGCGATGACGGGGGAGGCATCAGACACTCGGCCTGCAATGACAATGTCAGCACCTTTCTTGAATGCGGCAACAATTCCGCGGGCGCCTAAGTAGGCGTTGGCTGACACGATTGTGTCGGGACTCATGTCAGCGGGAAGTGTCGTTTCCGGCCCACGCTGAACGCCGTCGCCCACCGAGTCGAGATGTGGCAACGGGGAAGATTCTACAACTTGTATGCGCTGACGAACTTCAAGGAGGACATCATCACCAGAGATATACGCCACGGTCAAGGTGGCATTTCTCTCCTTCACCAAATCGGCGACAGCCTCGGCCAATCCTTTTGGGTTAAGGGCGCCTCCGTTGAGGGCAACTTTGATTCTCTTCGTATTGATCACATCCAAAGTCATTTTCAAGCCTTCCAAGGCAGAGGTTTCGTATCCAGGATGTTTCCCATTGGCAAAAGCTTCTGCGTTTGCCGCTAGGTTGACCTCTGTCCATCATATTCAGCTTTGTCCTGTCCGCAGACCAATGTGCTTACCAGCAAGGTAGTCGCCGGTGATAAAGTCGATATCTCCAAGGGTTGCTTGTTTCAGCATCTCCTCCGCAGGGTCACCTGTATAACAGCGTCAGAACCTGCTATCGCATGCATAGTAGAAGATCAGGTGCCCAGACCGCAGTAACCAGAACAATTTGCAATGCGAGCGGGTCGCTTGCCCAGCTCTCCTTGCCTCCAAGACGTCATGATGTTGATTTAGTCTTGACTTGTTCTTGTTCTTCCCTTATTTTCTTTCAAGGGTCATTCAGTAATAAGTCGCCTTGGGTAATTCAAGATGCCAAGTGCCGAGACCAAATAACTGCATGAGTAGCTAGGATGGAGTTTGGCGATAGATTCCCAACCGTTTTTATGACAACCCCATCCCACAATATCGGATCATCCAGAGGCAGCATTCATAGCGCGGAATGGGGAGTATCATCCACACCCTTTCGTGATCGGCATCGCATAGTGTTTTTCTCACGGTGCTGAAGTTTCTGCCAAAGTATCTGACTCAGAAAAATCTGACATGTACGTTGATGCGTCGCCAAACAAGCTACTCATCCCCAGAATCATTCCCTTTTTGTTCATTCGTGTCGATGACGCAAAAAAATAAAACTATTCTAGATTTTCCGTGGGTAAAAAGTTGTGCTGTTGGTACCAAACCGAAGCCTACGCCTTGCGACCAAGAACCATGGACAACTACTCTATACAGAAAGAAAGTGCACGCATCTTGCACGACAGTCTTCTGCGTGACGAGCGGCTCGCTTTGCCTCCTTCCTTCACCGAGAGCGCGGAGAAGATAACTTTCATTGGTGACCCGACGCCATTCATCCCCACGCCTTGCAAGATCACCGAATCTGCCTCCTCCTTGACTGCTCTCCTAGCGGCAGCGGCCAGTGCTGTGGCCGCTGACCGTTATGGCATTGGGTACCAAAAGATCGAAGTCAACACGTGAGTCATTAATTGTTTCATCAAGTTGAGTAAGGGGGTATATGATCTAGGTAGACTAACTAGGAATAGGGATCTTGCGTCTATCTTCTTGGAATCTGTTCTCCTCCCAGCGGTCAACGGCAACTCGTTCCTTGAGCACCCGCAGATTATGTCCGAGGTGAAGAAGGGAGACTTGTATGACCTGAACCTACCTATCCATGTCGCAGCCACGAATGTCTATAAGACGAAAGATGGCCGTTTTTATCACCTTCACGGATCCATGAACCCTGGGCCGACAATGAGTATGCTTGACGTTGAAAAGCAAGACGTCACTAGAGACGAGGCCATTCAGATCTACGCAGAGAAAGTGGCACAGTATGACGCAAAGTTTCTCGAAGACAAAGCCAACGATGAACTCCGGCAAGCCGGCGTGACCTGCCTCACCCCTGACGAGTTCTTCGCCTCCGACCACGGCAAGATCATCAGCGCAGAACCCTTGTGGAACAAGACAAGCGTACCCGCGCCGCGCAGTATCTGGCCAGCCCCTGACCATGAAGCCTTTAAGCCTCTATCGGGTATTCGTGTCATCGACTTCTCGCGAGTTATTGCGGCCCCGGTCATCTCTAAGCTATTGGCTGTCTTGGGCGCGGAGGTGATCAAGGTAACCAACGAAAACCTTCCTGACCTGTCCGCTCTGTGGGTCGACCTCAGCACCGGCAAGAAAGACGCAAACATTGATATGAAGACTATCGAAGGCAAATCTACTTTCGCGAAACTCGTCGAGGGGGCCGATGTTCTTATCGATGGGTACCGACCAGGCGCATTGGCACGGCTTGGTTTCGATTCAGACAGCTTGCGCAAGATCAATCCGACTCTAATCTACGCCCGAGAAAACTGCTACGGGTTCAAAGGTCCTCTGGCTCATCGATCCGGGTGGCAGCAAATCAGCGATTGTCTAGTGGGCATCTCGTGGCTTCAAGGCCAGTTCATGGGGTTGGACGAGCCTGTTGTTCCATTGCTACGTAAGTATCCAAACAATTTTGGTCCCTCAAGCAAGTAGCTCACAGTGTTTCCAGCAAATTCGGATTACCAGGTCGGCCTAGTTGGCGCTATCGCCATTTTACAGGCATTGTTAGAGCGCACTCAACAAGACGCAACATACGACATTGATGTCAGCTTGACGCAGTATAACATCTGGTATTACAGACTCGGGCAGTACAACGAGATGCAGTGCAAGGAGCTTTTGTCTCGTAACAAAGGTTTCCATGTCAGGCATTTTGATGAGATGCAGACCTTGCTTGTCAAAACCCATGCAGCTATCAAAAAGGTCCGGCCGGACATTTTTCAACACCCAGAATACTTTTGGAAGATGTCTGGAAGGGAATGGGGTACCGAGGATGACATCTATGTTCTAGCTCCGGCGTTCAAGCTCGAGAAGTCATGTCTAGAATATGTGACCCCATCTGGGTCGCGTGGAAGGTCGAGACCTGAGTGGTAGACTTGACTGGCCTAGCGGTTCCGAGATTGCGATACAAAGAGAGTGAACCACATCATAGCATGAGAATGAAAGGAGATGAATATCGCATATTATACCCAAGTGTAGATGACTGTCTAAGCGTGTGAGAAAAACAAAGGTTCGTCCACGCTGCTTTAACGCTGGACTATGCCACCATTGTGAATCTCGGTAAATTGATCATGTAACAGTTTTGAACCATGCTGGTATTAAAACCTAGTGAATTGCACCAGGTAGCTTAGAATAACACTGCATGGCTATTGGTACCCGTTGTCACTATAGCACAACAAGATGGCAATTCAAACTACGCGAATGTAACATGGGCTGAACACCAGCACCCTCTCATGCATTCCCCAACTAGTTTCATGTGAATTACGAAATATTTCTCCAAATTCCTTTTCCACTAGGTACACCCGAGCTGTTGACGGAGTCTACAAAGAGTTCGAGTCCGAGCCTTTCTCCGGAAGCTAAAAGTAGCCCGTCTTGGCGCTCGAGGTGTGTCAGAAATTTCTCTGTCAGAATTATCTCCCCTTTTAGCTGACCCACTCACTCACTACCTGGCATGGTGTGCTGAACCAGTGCATGCAACATCAGAGCGGGTGTTTATTCCCGCCTACAAGATGTTGCTCGAAGTGAGAGGAAGCGTGGGATCATGTGCCTAATTCCACCTGCTCTTTCTTGTTATGGCTTGCTGTGCAGTAGCCGCTTACGTCGTTTTTCGGTTTCTTAGAGCATACGAGAAATTGCTCGGCTCCCTCAAACCACCCCATGATGCCTCCAAAATTAACCATGCGGAGAGATCGGTATTCGAAACCAGGGCAAGAACCTCACCAAAAGAACTCCAGGTCCATGTCTTCAGTTTAGATGGCCTCACATGTGGTTCTTGTGTCACAGCCCTTCGTACCACCATCGAGGAAGTTCCTGGTGTTCTTCAGGCGTCTGTATCCCTCGCCTTGCTCCGAGCTCGAGTCACAACCACTGCGGCAGTGACACAGACGGCCATCATAAACGCGATTCGGTCTGCAGGTTATGGCGCCGATCCGGCCCCTGTGTCTAACTCTCATGACTGGGCCAACCTTCTGTCCTCGATCCAGGCGCCTTTGGACAACAGGAGACGCAATGTTCTGGCTTGGCGACGTGTCTTCGCTGCCTCCGCCCTGGCGTCGCTGGCAATCCCTTTGATTCATTGTGTATCCAGCATGTTGGAACTTGGTTCTGATCCCTTTATTGATCTCGCCCTATGTGTAGCCGTCGCTGTCAGCCTTGTGGCCAGTTCTGGCATCCACATTGCGTCAGCGCGTGCAATGTGGCACCTGCGTAAACCCGATATGTCGACACTTGGCTCGCTCGGTATCCTGCTCTCACTGACGCAGGGGGTTTCTCGCGCTTGGGCGGTTAATCAGTCCGGCACCTACCAATTTTACCATCCTGCCTTGGATTCTATCCCGATCCTGTCTACTTGCGTCCTGGGCAGTCGGCTACTTAAGACTGTCTTGACTCAGCGCAGCCTTGACTTCGGCTCGCCCCTAGCGAACCTGATTTCAGCTACGGCAACAGTATGTCGTGATGCTACCGGGGAGGATCCCATTACCGAGCCCATCGACATGGTCTCGCCCGGTGATTTTGTTGTCGTCGACCAGGGACAGCACATACCTGCCGATGGCGTTGTGGTCAGCCGTGACTCAGCTCTTATCACCGAAGCTTGGCTTAACGGTTCAAACTTACCGCGAACGGTTCGTCTTGGAGATGCTGTGTTCGCTGGGTGCCGTGTCGAGCACGGAACCTTGGTTGTTTCAGTCAAATCCTGTGGTCTCTCCACACGGCTAGGTGCAATGATGGAATCTGTCGTTTCTGGGGAACTCAAACCCCACGAATCGCCTCTGGACAATACAGTACAGTACTTCACTACAGCCGTCATTGTCTTCGCGGCTGCCGCGTGTGCAGCACAAAGCTACTCTCTACCCGAAGGCAGCTTGGCAGAGATTCTTGGCCGAGCCTCAAGCATCATGTTGGCTGCATGCCCTTGTGCCTTGAGCTTGAGTGTTCCTACCTGCAAGTTGCTAGCGACAGGTTTGTAGACACCAGTAAAACCGTTGAGTCAAATGTGTAACTAACGCTTTGAAACAGTGAGAGCATCAAAGGCCGGTGTCCGACTAGTTACCACGTACAAACGATTCAAGGATGTGGCAGGCGTCCGAACACTCCTCTTCGACAAGACTGGAACACTCACACACGGCGAGCTACACGTCCGATACGTTTCCTTTGCACCATTTCCGTCACTACAGAGCACTCTCATCTGGAGAGCCATCTGGGAACTGGAAAAAGATGTTCAGCATCCAGTGGCGCAAGCTATAGTCCGCGAGAGCCTTCGACAGATGGACAGTCTGGGTGCCCCGCCGCCCACAGAAACAACTTCAGACGTGGTGGTATCTGAAGTGTTACATGAGCTGGGTCGTGGGGTTCGGGGCACTGTGACCTCGTCGAGTAAATGGCACCTAGCTATCGGGAGTCGCAAGTTCATCGAAACATTGGGTGCCCACGTTGACTTTGCCGGCATCCCTGTGGATTTGAGGTGCGCCGTCACCACTCCAGTTGTTGTGGCCATCAACGGAACGCAAGCCGGTGTACTTGTCTTCGAGGATGCGATTAGATCTGAGGCCGTTCCGACCATTAAGGAGCTGAAGAAGATGGGCATCAACATCGGAATGATCACGGGCGACAATGCTGCCTCCGCAACTGCCGTGTCACGGCAAGTGGGCATAGACGCCGACATGGTTTTCGCCAACTCGCTACCGCAGGACAAGGCAGATGTTGTTGCCCGATTTCGTCGTCACGGGCCAGTATTAGTCGTTGGGGACAACCTCAATGATCTTCCGTGTTTCATGTCAGCATCTTTCAGCGTCTGCATTCCTGGCCAAGAGATGGCTTTTGGAAATTTTGATGCTGCAGATGCGACTCTAACTCCATTCACATCAAGAGACCGCAAGCCAGATCCGGAGTTATTAAGGCGTATTCCATTTCTGGTCTACCTGTCACGCCGCACTGTCGGAGTTGTTTCGCAGAACATGTGGTGGGCTGCAGCTTACAACGCACTCTCGCTCCTTTGGGCTTCAGGAGTTATTGGATCTACAAAGCCTCTGTCTTCGTGAGTCATATGCTGTTGAGTCCAATTTCTTCTGAATACTTGCTAACTCATCAAATACAGTGTTTGGTTTAGCCTCGGCATGGGCTTCAGTAGCGCCGTTGTTCTCTTGAATAGTTCAAGAATTGGAAGGAAAACCAAGACTTTAGCATTCTCTGACTAGATCTAGTTCAATTGTTCAGTCTTTACTTTAATATTATATATGTTTAACGTCCACTGTTGACCATATATGTGCGAGTCATGCGTGTCTCGCAATCTTGTTCATGGACGTGTCAATAATTGTACCATGGAGTCCCTATTCGGGGTGATGAATTCATGACAGTTTCAAAACCTTACACCGCACAGCCAGAATCTGTGAACGTACTAGGTTTGTGCAACCGATAGTAGCTATAGACGGTCTAATGGTAAAAGATGAGCATCCTGCATAGATACTAGTAGAAGTAGATGTCCTTCTGTACATCTAGCTAACACCATTTACTTGTGATACCAAAATAGCTGCTATACCCTTTTATCGCAGATCCTCCGACTTTAGCTATATGTACACTTTCCAACATTCTCTACTGCCCCTTCAGAGGATCGTGTGGCTTTAGCTCTGTAAAGGCACTGGATGAAAGGTCTTGCATGTAGACTCGCAACCAGTCAGGCAACACACGAACCCAAGGAGAAGCAGAAGCGGTCGCGGGAACCAAAACATTCCTAGCATTCCCTCCGTAGAGAATTCTCGTGATCCTGTCCGCGAGATAACCCGTCGTCATGCTCGACATGCCCGGCACAGACTTGATGCCTGTGAACATGTTGGTCTGGACGTGACTAGGCGATATACAGGAGACGCGCACGGCAGTGGCTTTGTGAACGTGCTTGATCTCGCTATGAACGCCTTCATATATGGTGATGGCGGCTGCCTTGCTGGCCGAGTAGTCGGTTGCACCCGCGGTCGCCATATGTCCGGTTTGCGAAGCCACGATGAGGAGATGTCCATGATTTCGAGCCACCAGGGCAGGGAGAAAAGTCTTAATAGTCCATATGAGGCCTATCGTGTTGACTCCAAAGGTGCTGGCGAGTAGGGTTTGGGTCAGTCGAGCCATCAAACTCAGAATCGGGGGTACAAACAGCTCAATGTCTCGTTTAGTGGCTGCGAGAACCGGCTTTCCACGACACACACCAGCATTTGCGACTATAACGGTGGGATCTCCGACTTGTCTAGTTGGTGGTCAACTCGAGTACCCCCATGGGGCGTGATGGCCGAGACTTACTCTCTGATCTTTCCAGCAACAATCTGAAGTTGCTCGTAGTTTGTCAAGTCACACTTGTAATAGTGAACATTGGAGGCTATATACATTGTCAGTGAGCTTGAAACGGTAATGTAGATGCTTCTGTTAGGCCGACTCACGAGCCTTGTATGTCAAGGGTAGAACATCCACCACAACAATCTTGGTACCCCTTTTCGCGAGTTGCTGCACGGTTGCGCCGCCGATGCCACCAGAACCACCAGTGACGAGAATGATTTCTTTCTTCCAGTCAAAGGACGCCTTGGTGCCGTGGTTAAGGGCACGTTGAGTCAGGTATTTGTTGACAGCATACACGAAGCCAAGTCCAGAGACAACGAGACCAGGAACAACCCAATGTTCTAGATTGTAGTCATGAATTACAGTCTCGGCCTTGGACACCAGAGACGCGAAATTTGTGCTTGCTTGCGACATAGTGATGTAACGGAGGATGATCAGAATGAGTAAGATGAACAACAGGTTTTTGCAACATTGTGACACGCCACGGCCTGTTAAAGCTAAGTTAAAGAAGCAAGAACTCGAACTCAATGCAACTAGCAGCATCCCTCTTTGCTAGGTGATGTCATTGGGGTTGGAACACGCTGTTCGTGCGTTTGATCTACACATGTCAGATATTCCTGACACACCTTTTTTGGACGCCTTTGTGCGCAGAGCATTAAACCCCCCTCCATCAGTAAACGATGACAAGGAAACATCATAACTAACCAGTCTTCTGATCAGTCTACGGCCAGGGCGATGAACCGGCTCAAGGCAAGTTCAATGAGCTTTGGCATGGGTTGCAACACGACCGAGAGTAATGGACACGAAAGCCATGACCTGATCAGTTTCCAGCCGGCTCATTGTAGGCATCCAAAGAGAAGCGCTATCTGAACTATAATCCCAACAGTCGCAGAAGTTAGGTCTTGCAAGGCTGTGAACTACTTCGGATTAGCTTGAGTAAACACCTTTTCAGGGCGAACCCATCATGGTGAGTCTGGTGTAGCAAACGGATCGAGTCCACACGCAATAAGCTTACAAGGGTGATCTACGCGAATCGTTGTAGGAACGAAAAAGATCTTTCGGTATTTCAGAAGGTCACCGAGAACTTCATGTATAAAGTTTTAACATGGAGCAGTAGTAAATCTAGCAGCCAATCTCTATACAAGATGCGTAATCATCGACTCAACCCACGAGATATCCACGACAAAGCTGCCTCCACATAGTTCCAGCGATACAGGGCCACTGCCACGACTAGAGTAGAAATGCTTGCCTTGGCCCATCGGTTGGAGCTCCCAACGGTTTGATCTTCCATAGACTCGTCTCGACGGAAGCCCAGATGATTCTTGACCGTAACCTTGCCTTTGTTGCCAATGTCATAGGGAGGATACCGGGCTCCAGTCAGTCTATGTAGCCAGGATGGAATTTCCACAATCGTTCTCTGATGTGTGAAAGCCATGAAGCCGTGTTTTCCGTGATAGTATCCCATCCCCGACTCTCCAACGCCACCAAACGGTGCCCCGGGCACGGCGTAGTGCATCAGTACATCGTTGATGGTGACACCACCCGAGTTAGTATTGTCAAGAACTATAGGATGTGTCAGTCAAAGGAGATGATACTAGACTTTGTGTTCTCACCGTATTCGACTTCAGACCGCTCGTTACTAAACATATAAATGGCCAAAGGGTGGGGTAGGCTGTACACAGAGGTTAGCACTAACTACAGGTGAGTACAAACAAATCACGGCATCTACTTGCCTTTTAATGCTTCTAACTGCATCCTTGTATGTTCCTCTGATGACCGGGCAGATGGGGCCGAACAGCTCCTCACTGAGCAACGAATCTAGGGAAGTATCAAAGTCAGTACCTGCATGAGTTCTGCAACCAGGTTTGGTCTTGCAAGGAATTGTAAAACCGTCACTCACCTTTCATATCAACGCCAGTCACGACTGCCGGGCTCATTATACTGTTTTCCTGATCCACTTTGTCCTGGTGCACGTTGCCCTTTGAGTCACCCAGAAGCTTGGCCAGGCGGTCAAAGTTTCGCCTGTTGACAATCTTGCACATGTGCCCCGAAGTTGAGAATTTGTTGGTCCAGTAGACGAGTCTTTGTACAAAGGCTTCATGAATTTCGGGGTCCACAAAGACGTGGTTTACCGAAAGGCAGATCTGTCCAGCGTTGAGAAACTTGGCCCAGGCGATGCACTTGGCCGCAAGGTCGACATCAGCCTTGCTCGTCACGATGGCAGGACCTTGGCCTCCCAACTCTAGTACAGTTGGCGTGAGATGCTTCGCAGCAGCAGCTGAAACGTATCTAGCCACCTTACTAGAGCCGGTGAAGAAGATGTGATTAAACTTGAGTTCAAGAAGACCTGTCGTTTCTTGGGGTCCCCCAGTAACCAGGCGAATAGCCTCAGGATCAAGATATTGGGTGACCAAATCGGCCATGAGGTCCTGGGACGCAACCGAAAGCTCCGATGGCTTGATCAATACACAGCAACCAGCCGCAATAGCAGCGATTACGGGCTGCAGTGTCAGGAGAAAGGGAAAGTTCCAAGCCCCAATGACCAAGACCACGCCAAGCGGTTCCTTGCGAACGCGCGCTTTCCCAAGCCTCCCCAGGATGAATCCTGCCGACGTAACAGGTTCATCGGCCACCCACTCTTCGAGGTGCTCCAGGTGCTCCAGGATATCGGTTTTGAGTCCAAGGAGGTCGGATGTGAGGCTTTCCATTTCATGTCTCCTGAGATCGGCAGCAAGGGCTTCGGTGATGGCTCGTTGGTTGTCTTCCAGCATCCACCAAAACTGCTTGAGCTGCCACTTTCTCCATCGGAGTGACTTTGTCTTTCCAGTCGAGAACGTGTCGGTCAATTGTGCGTGAGCGTTTTTGCACTCTTGGAGAGAAGCGTAGGGTCTTGTTGTGGACGATGTAGTCATCTCGAAACGGTGGCGATTTCAGGCGGCACGAGGTGAACAGGGGGGAAAGGTTAATCGGAGTGAAAGAACGGATGGGATACAGCAAGGCTCGTGAGATTATGATGAAACTCATAGCATGTTGGTCTGGCACTGGTCATGGGGCTCCCCAGCCAAGCCCCTCAATCATTGTCATGTTTTTCTGACTCGACAAACTTCCATCCACCCTGGTCTCCCCCGCGCGGGGTGGGATCTACCTGATTGAAACTTTCGGGATTCTTTGTCAGATTCGGATGTGATTTTCAACTGGGAGTGTCGGTAAGAACATGGTGGTTCGTGGCAAAGACTTGTTTGTCACGCTGAGGGTGCGTTAGATAAGATCTGGTCAGAGCCCCACAGATCCTTTTATTGGATTTCACACGGAACCTCTACTATCTTTTTACCATCGAGACGTTTGACATCTCCTAGATTCCGCAATGACTATCAAGTCAACTCCAACTCCCAAGGATGCCAGAGTGGTGGGGCCAACAGGTACGTTGAGTAGATCAAATCACACCTCTTCCTAACTTGAACCCATCCTAGGATCTTATGTCCGGGAGTTGATTCCCCCTAATGTTGGCACTGGGCCACATCGCAAGAATGTCCAGGCTGTGACACTTGCTGTTTGGACTACAGCAGCTTGCTTTGGTACAGCTCTCTTTTACCAGCCCTGGCTCAACATTGCGTCAAACTATAGAGCCGCAGCCATTGGGCTTGTCTTCCCTGGCGCAGGATACCTCGCCAGTGCCAATCCTTTGGGCTACATACTTCTTGTTCTTACTTTGGCCGCTGTTCCTCCGGCCCTATTCGCAGTCAGTTATAGCCACTTGACTATGTCCTTTCGCGGTGTTTGTATGCTGATTTTGACCATAAAAAGTGGTTTGGCGCTGGCGCCATTATCTTCCCCATCCTCGTTTGGGGGCTCTCTATCCTGGGGGCATACGCTGTTACGTCTGATACCGTCTGGGAGTCAGCAGGCCTCTATTCCTTTGGCGGTCTTGTAGCGGCTTTTGCGTATGCGAATCGGTCTGCAAGTGCTGAACGGATAAGAGGCTTAAAGACACGCGAAGCTAGAAATGTCATCATTCCACAGCAACTCGCTCGGATGGACGAAGCTGCTGCCAGAGAGTCAAAGCCAGAAGAGGATGAAGAACTTGACTTGGATGCTCTTCGAAAGCTTCAGTTTCTCTTTGATCAGGCCTTTCAGGATCTAGACGACTGGTCTGGTTTCACCGTTATTGACCAGTTCCAGACGTCAGCCCTACGATATCAGATCTACCAGATGATGTACATCCTTGGGCTTTACCAGGCAGTGTATGCCCCAAATTTCCATGGATACGTTTCAGAGGCCTTTCGGAGAGTCATTGAAAGGTCTCTGACGAAAAAAGTCCTCGAGTTCTGGAAGTGGGAACGTCTAGCTGGAAAGTTTTCCCTGGATTGGGACCCAGTTCAACACGACAACATCATGGTCACAGGCTTCCTCCTTCATGGTGTCATGCTTTACACGGCCAACACTGGCGATTATCGATATACTCAGCCTGGAAGCCTCAACTTTCACGTCACCGACAACCGATGCTACAAGTACAGCGTTCATGATCTGCAAGAGTCTTTGGTTAGACAGTGGTCGTCGAGTCCCTACTTCCTCATCCCCTGCGAGCCAAACTGGATCTACGTCATGTGCAATCTCCAGGGAATGACTGGCGCTGTTCTTTACGACCGAGTCTTTGGAACCAAAGCGACGCAGATGCTTCTCCCTTCGTTCGAGGAATCACTCAACACCAACTTCACCGAGACTAGTGGCAGCGTCTTAACTATCCGTTCCGAACTCACCGGCTTCGCCATTCCTGGTATTGCTGGTGTCGCTGGAGATCTGGCCGTCGTTATGATGGGCTCTGGGCCTCTGCGCAACCTCTCTCGCCGACTCTGGGCCGTCGTCCGAGAGGAAAATGTGATTTTCGATGAGGAGAACAAAGAGCTTTCCATGACGGGTCTGGTAGGTGCCGACAATATCGATACCGGAAACTACACATCAAGCCCCAACGCCGTGTTCTCGCAAGTAGCCATTGGTGCAGCTGAGTATGGTGAGGAGGCGCTCAAGTCGGCTGCGATCGAGAAGCTCGAGAAGGAGTGGGGGCTCCTCACCACTTCAACGGGATCCAAGTCATTCGATCTCACCAAATGTTCAACTCTCATGAACTACGCGGTCTTGACAGCGACTCTACTTCGCCCCGGAGCCTACAACCGCATGGTCCAAAAGGTTCGCTCGTCTGACTAGTCCATCCACCAGAAGCTAACATTTAACTTTGCAGGGACCATCGGAGACAGCTTTGAACGGCCCAATTCTGTCTGAAGTTCCATATCCTGGTGTCCTCGTTGCGAAGGCGCGGTCTCATACATCCAAAGACTTGGAGCTTGTCCTTTATCCCTCGGCAGACGACGGAGTCTTTAAGCTGGGTATTTCTCGATTGGAGTCTGGAGGACAGTATGAATGCCAGGGGAAGACGGTCACGGCGGATGGAGAGGGCAACTTGACATTCTCTGCCACAATCAGTGGCCGAACGAGGTTACATATCCGCTCTGTCTAAGAAAGCTGTTACTGCGCTCGGTTCGGTGTGACTTTAAGACGTTCTATGGTCGGACTGTAAGCCCTGCATTAGATATTACAAGTAAGGCCACGCCAGTATTTCATCGTGGAGACGTGCTTATATGTGGTACTTTCTACGTCATCTCCGTCGATCTTGACGATACTTACAGGCTCTTGCTCGCCTTTCCCCCTTGAGAACGTTCCGAGAGAATGTACCATGCACTAAGCCCGTATTTTTGCAACCCTAGTGGGACTTCTAAAAGTACCGAGCGAGCTAATATTCATGGGTGATTCTGTTCTCTATTATTCTGGCTAATGAGTACTTTCAAGGACGCCACCAAGTTCATAAAAGTACTACGGACCAACATGCGGAATCGAGATGCATTCAAGGGGTGGTCAGACAGCCATTCTTAGTCATGCTTGCATGAAATAAATAAAACCCCTCACATGTCAGCTTCCTGCGCCTGATTTCCAAACACCAAAGATTCACAATGACTTCGGTCCAAGACAGTCCTGAGGGCGATCAGCTACTGGAGACTCTATGGCGGGAGCCTGGTAGAGCAAATTTGCGATGTCTGTTGTGTCAAGAGCCCTTCGCCGACGATGCTCTCATTCGTACGTTCCGCGTTGAGCCCCCAGGCAACCACAGTTCCGGCTATAGCACCCTGTTGCCCACTCACAAGGGCGATATCCTCTTTTTCGATCGGCATATGAGTTGCGTGGTAGAGCACCAAGTCAGGTTCTCGGCAGTATCTCATGTCTGGGACTCCAACATCTCCAACGTGCAGCAACAACGGCGGAGAATGCCACAGACCCCAGTGGCTGCACGTAACGTCTTAGATATCTCGACAAAGATCTACTCCGGCATTGCAGAGGCCAAGGATACGGCTAGGGAACTATGGCTTGACTACCTAAGCGTGCCCCAGTGGTCTGATGCCCTGAAGAGCAGCATTATTCGCATCATGCATAAGCTCTTCACAACGGCTGAGACAACGATCATCTACTTGGGCGATGTCGACTCAGACGTGGTCAAACAGCTGTACAGAAAGGAAAGGTCGCCAGAACGCCTTGCTGCCGTCATCTCGGTGTGCAACTCGCAATACTTCAAACGTGTTTGGACCGCTATGGAGTTCATCAGAAGCGGGTGTGTCAGAATGATGACAAGCGATTGTACATACCTCGATGATCTGGACGACCCTGCGTTCTTCAATCGACTGTATGGCGTCTGGAACGAGGAGCTGAGGCATCATGCTCAGGCCCAACATTTGGAAGCGAAAGTGCAGATGGGCAAGAATGGCAAGAATGGCAAAAATCAGGTTCCATGGAGTCTTGGCTCACTGAGAGAGGCAAAAGCCTTGAAGAGAGTCAACTTTGCAATGGGATCTACACTCCTCAGCAAGAGGGGATGCCGAGACCAGATGGACTACCTGCATGCCCTGAGAGGAATAGTCCCTGTGAGCTCAGCGACTCCAATGACCTCCGACTTTAAGACGGAATTCTACCAGGTCGCCTGGGAGTGCTTAAAGGCCGGAGACTTGTCTCCGTTGTTCATAACACCGTTTATGGAGATGGGCGATCCCAGAGGCCCTGGCCATTGGTCCGATTTTGCCTTTTCCGATGTCTTCACTTGGTCATTAGGAGAGGAAATGCATGCCCCGGTTCTTGGCGGAGAAATCCGGTTCAATGACATCGGCCAGCTTCTTTCTATGAATCTCCAGGAGATAGGCGTGGTGTCAGTAGTTCGGCAGCCTAGAGAACTGACCAAGCATGATCTCTTGCTCATCTTCTCATATGCGGCCAAGACGGCTCTGGAATTCGACGGACCAGACGTCAAAGACTTTGTTGCTGCCATGCAAAGGACACATGGAGCGGTGCCATCGATCGTCATGAAAAACTTGGAGGCCAGAAAAGAGGTACAGCGTATCCAAAAAGCCCTGACGAGGAACTTCAACAAACCGGCCCTGCCACGCTGGCCGATACAGGGCGAAGACGATGTAAAGTGGCTCGCAGAGGCCTTGTCGCTCTCACAGATTCGATCCGGGGGCACGCAGAGCATCCTAGCTGAGAACTCTAGTGGTTATGGCACCATGCACTGCGCGCCGTACGATTACACGGTGGGCATCACCTGCATGGGCTGCTACAGAATCTTTGCGCACAAAGTCGCCAGTTTTGTGCAGCCGACAGAGCTACGATTTGCAAGGGCCTATCGTATCCCCCAACTTCATTACCGCTTCTCGCACAAAAATGGGCTTGCTTTGCTGGTTCAGAGGGAGAAAATCGTTGGGCGCATGATGTGGGCTACGCCAGCTTGTGCGTGTACAAGGTCAGAGGCGGTGACACTGAGAATGCCCAAGTTCTTTTTACCAAAGTCATTTTACAACAAGTGACTATGTAGCTAAATTTGCCACCGTCTGATACAAGTAAACAACGCTTCCGCCAATCTCATTTTTTTTCTAATTCCGTACGCCATGCTTAAGCTCCTGCTACCTACAATGCCATAAAATAACTTCATTAATCATGTCAGCACCAAGTTGGAGACACTGGCCAGTGTCTGAACATGGTTTCAACTGCTGTTGACCACTCCATCTCAAAAAACATAGCCAATTGATCTATTTCCTCTTTTGTCGGCGTCTTATCTCCCCACATCTCAGGCTTGGCCGATTCAAGAGCTGCGAAGAACGGTATAAGCCCATCCTCTTTGATCTTGGTAAGGCATAGCCATGCCATGTTCCAGCTGCGGTTGCTTAGCGGATCATTAATGACACGAACATACGAGGTCGTGATAATCTCGCCACTAAATGGGAAGTTGGGTGTCAGCCCGTGGAGGTCAATGAGAAGTTGGTGACTGTCCACATAGTTGGCCCAAGCGGCCGTCATTGGTACTTGAAAGGCGCGAGCATCAGACTCTGATGTGCAGAAGGCGGCGATTCTCTCTATGCGGACAAGTTCGTTGAGTGTTCTGATGCGATGGGTCATGAGAGAGTCGATCAGGTCGGGAATTGGCGTCTAGGAGGGTCAGATTTCGTTTAGATAGAGGATGGCGCACTGCTGGAGAAGCTCACTGATGAACGGCTGTGCGTGCTAGGATAGGAAGAGGACAGTAGCGACATGGTAAGAGCAGAGATGGTACAACACCACTAGCAACCAGGTCCTTACTCCGTAGACGTACAGAGTATGCTGAACGGGGTATAGATCACAACGCTAATCCCAAGAGATACCGGGTTGCAGACAGGGTAGAGGACTGATGAAGAAAACGATATGCTTGATATGGCAGAGCAAACAGGTGGTAAAGGTGGATGACAGAGGCGGTTGATATAGAAATAGCAACTTAGTCAGGGAGAAGGCAAAGATGATTGACGGAGATGAGAGTCTTCTGGAACAGGACTTAAGCATAAATAATGCGAGAATCCGAGACCGAAAACCAACCCTTGATGACGGGTGGGTACCTTCTCGGTCAAACAATGCCCAAAATAAGGCAAACCATGGCTTTACGAGTTAGTTCCAGGACCGCCAAGCCTTACAAGAGTCACGGATGTGGAGCTCAACTTGCTCAATGACATGCAAAAGTGCTAGGGGAAGAATGACGCCGTGGGTGGCAAGTGGCCCGAAAGGCTTGGGTCTGGTTTAGCATCACACGATTTAAGCGGGCAGGGCTGAGCTTCGGGTAATTTTGGTGGGTTACTCTAGTTAGGCGTTGTTTCGGCATGCCCGAGTCTCTTCAGCAGTAGTATCAAATTGGTTCAGGATGAGGAATGACAACACCAACGGTGCATCAGCATGCACATCAGCAATCGGTAAGTAACACGGCATTTGTAGTTGTTGACACTTCAGAGCCAAAACATCCTCAGACTGTGCCTGATCAACAACAAAACCACTCTTCGTTCTCGCAACGCCAAGACCCCGAAGCCGTCGTTCGTCGTCCGCCGGCTCCGGCTCCGACACTAATAAAAGTTTATGTCTATGCTCCCGGACACCGAGAAGTTGCGAGCACCGAGTCATCCAATCATGTCTAGTATAGACGTCACCCCTGACCCACTTCACGTGAGCCCCTTTCCAGGACTTTTAACCACCGGATTCGCAGTTTCTCGGGTTCCGGAAGATGCTCAGCCATCACCCTGACAGGCTGACCCTGAATGTGCCGTGCCGTACATCACTTCAGCTGCAACCATGGACGCCGACGAATCATACGCAGACTCTGATTTTGAGCCGCAGGATCAATCATCCCAGCGGCCATTAGCGTCTTCCCGAAACAGCCACCGGCTTGCCGTCAGTCTTGCCGTACCTCCCGAGATGAAGAACGTGGACCACTAACCGACATTTCTAACAGTGCACAATTTGCAGAGAGAAAAAGGTACCGAATCATATGGCAATAATCGATATTTCAGCTTCCTAAATATTGACCATATCAGATTGCCTGCGATCGACTTGACCCTTGCTCAAATTGCATCAAAAAGGGTTGGAATTGCGAGTTTCCATCGCGTCAAAGGTCTACCGTTAAGGGACAGCGCATTCATATCACCTCTGTGTAGTAAGCATGAACCTGTATCGATGAATAGTATGGCAAAACCTCTCTCCTAACTGTAACTACCTCAGCGAGAACAAGATTAGCAATATCGAGAAGCAACTGCAGCATGTAATTGGCATCCTCGAGCCATATGTTTCAGCCTCGTCAGCCAGCGCAGCATCGGCCTCTGAGTCGCCCAAACGCAAGAGACCCTGCATAGTCAACGAAGGAGAGAGATCTCAACCCGGTCCCCGTTTTAATGCGGCATTTCCCCTTACACCATCAACAAACACCACGTCAACACCTTTGTCTGCTTTTGAGGGCGACTCATCGCTGGCTGCTCATACAGCCATGGCCAACAGCTTACTTGAGACAGCAGTAAGTTCGTCGTCCTTGCAGCCTCGGATGGCTGAGGGGATGGAGAACTTGCGCCAACTGATCAGCGTCAATGGTGAAATACCCGATGCTTATGGGATGGCATCTTCGCACAACCCAAGACTCGGTTTGACTCCCATGTTACCCCAGGGCGAGATGTCTATGCCTCCGATTCAGACTGTCTTGAAGGTCCTAGACTTGATGAAAGGTGAGTGTCACTGTGCTGTTCTGACTTTTCAAGGGCTTAATCTAACGTAGACCAACCTAGGGAATCCTCGTTTTGAGTCAATGGGCTTCCACATGTTCTTGTCAGCCACCAAGTTCATGGGGTATCTAAACAGGGTGTATACACCAGGAGAAGTGTCAACACTTGCTGATTTTATCATCGTAAACGGAGCGCTTATCGATGTGTTCCTGCGAAGCATTCTACTCACCGACGACATTGACATGAGAAGAGATTTTCAGCAGCAAATGAACCTCTGCGAGGGAAACCTCGAGAATGCGTTATCCAAACTTCCTGTTCACATGCCGCACACGATAGACCACATCACAGCTCTGACCTTTGCTGTAAGTGCCTCAAGTCTCGACTGCCAGGAACTATGCTGACGCACCAGCTCACAGGTATATCACGCAATCAGATCATCCCAAACCTCCCTTGCCTGGAGTTTAGTGACTACGGCCATACATATGAGTATTACTGCCGGTTTTCACCGCGCATCATCGGCCAAGAATGAGTCCAAGCAAGAGACTAATCAGAAAGCATGGCTCTTTTGGTCACTTTACAGTGTTGAGAAGGGTCTCTCCCTACGACTTGGCCGACCCTCGTCCATCTTGGATTACGACATCACAGTACCACTGCCGCAACACGAAGACCCAGAAATCACCGCATACACGTCAACCTTCATCCGGTGGATTAGGTTGTCCATTGTCCAGGGCAAGATCTACAAGATGCTGTATAGCCCTGCGGCACTAGCTGAGACCCCAGAAAGAAGAGCAACTTGGGCCCGTTCGCTTGTTGAGGAAACGAAAAAGATTTACAAGCAAGTAGACGAAGCAAGTGTAGGTCAATTTGAACGTCCCTTCATAATGCTGGAGGAAACTGTGATCTAACCTGAAATAGACTCAAACGAGCAACAACAGATGGAAGACAGTATCAGGAAACGAGACGGAGCTTTCCTTCTTCTCAGAAAACGTCCTGTTCTATTCCACTTTAACTCTTATACTGAAGTCCCTTCCTCCAGATGAGGGTTCAACACATCATTTTGCATCAGAATGTATCACGACGGCAAGGATCGCTCTTCAGAAGCATCAAGATTACTGCAAGGCTCTAGGGCCCGATAGTGGTAGACACATCGACGTTTATGTCAACTGGTGAGACCCATTCTTATTCTTAGACTGCAACCTGTTACTTGTTTGCTGACTGTTTTTAAGGACGATTCTGTATAACCCATTCGTCCCTTTCATCGCCATATTCTGTCACGTGATAGAATCGGGAGACGTGCAAGATCTCAATCGACTACAGGCATTCGTTGCCTCTTTAGAATCTGCACGCATGTACTCGCAGGCCACAGCAAACATCCACCGCCAGTTTCAAGCTCTGTACAATATCGCGCAGCAGTTCACAGAGATACGGACATCGAACGAGCTTCTCAACGACGAGGCCATCACTGAGTTTGACGAGTATATACAGGCATTGGGTATTTTCCCATCTCGAATGACATATAATGATAGTCTCGGACTTCTACCCAGCGCTGAAGCGGATGACATGGAACTCAATGGCTGGGGCTGGTCTCAGGGTAAATAAAATTGATTTGTTGTATTTTTTTATCATATTTGGTTTGGCGGACCAATATCAACAGATTCTCTCATATTAGGTTGACAAGGTTGACGGCAAGAACAGCTCAAACTTATTGGAAGGGTTCAGTCAAAACTGGCCTGGTCGAGGATAGAGAGGAATGTACATTGTCAAGGAGTATTAGATCTGGTGCAAGAACAAAAGGTCGAGCTGTACATGTCACAAAATCCATAGGCAGTGAGATTGGCAGGTTGATATAGCACGGACTTCAATTAGCTCTAAGAGTAAATAATATACAAAGCAAGAAAGATGAAACTAGCAAAGATGTGGAGTCCACATGACTATGGGAGCCGGGGAATGTATCCAACTGCTTAGCAAGAAGCTCCAGTAGGGACTCCCTTGCACTTGTCGGAGGTCTTGCCACCAGTGACCTTGTTGCCAGTCCAGGTCCAGTTCTTGCAGCTGGCGCAGAGAATGTAAATGTCAGTGCCGCTAGACTTGACAGTGCCGGTGACCTTGTTGATGGTGACGTCGGTGATGGGAACACCAGCGCTTGGAACACCCTTGGGGGAACCGTTGTCGTAATCCTGCTCAATGACGATGCCGTACTTGGCAATGTTCTGGAGAGTGATGGTGTCATACTTGACATCGGAAACAGAGCCGGTGGCACCGTAAACAGTCTTGATGCGGACACCGTTGTCAGAGTTGGCAATGACCGAGTTGAGGATGCGGACAGTCTTGACAACATTGTCGGAGCGGCCACCGACGGAACCGATGGACAGACCATGGCCACCGCTGCAGTTACCTCCAGTGAAGGTGATGTTGGTACCAGAGTTGATGGCGAGGCAGTCGTCCTGGTTCTTGACAACAGCACCAGAGATGTAAACACCGGTGGAGGAGCCGACGTCGAAAGCATCAGTGTTGTGGCCACCCTGGGTGTCGCCAAGAGAGTTGTCCATGTGAACACCATAGACGCCAAGGTTGGTGACGCCGTTGATGCTGAAGGCCTGAACAGGGGTGTTCAGGACGTTGAGGTTCTTGATGTTGGAGTTCTTGAGGGAGTGGGCGCTGAAGAACTTGGGCTTGGTCTTGCCGCCGTTGCTTCCCTTGGTATCCCACCAGCGCTGACCCTGGCAGTCAATGGAGTGACCGGAGGCTCCCTCGATCAGGAGGTTGTTTCCGGTAAAGGCAATGAGAGGGCCCTCCCATTCCTTGTAGCCAAAGGTGGTCTTGCCCTGGAAGATGACCTGGAGGAGTCCTGTTAGCAGAGAAGAGTATTGGCTGGGGAGCAATCACGAACATGAGTGCCATCCTTGAGCTTGGTCAAGTCAAGAGTAGTTCCCGCAGGGACAGCAATGTTGTTGAGAATGATGGTCGAGCAGCTAGCCTTGCCCTTGATAGCAGAGGCGGCATCAGTGAAAGTGCAGCCAGCGCGAGCTTCCAGAGCCGTAGGGAGGGCAAGAGCCGACGCGGCAAAGCCAGCGAGCATGAACAGAGGAGAAATCATTGTGGATAGCTGGCTATCGAGTTTGAATGAACGAATATACAAAGAATGAATGAGTGAAGTAAGTGTTGAGAAGGAATGAATGTATGAGCTGTGAAGTTGGATAGACTATGCCAAGTGAGCGAAGGCTTGGCACTTTATAGACAACACAAGCCATGAAACAAACATTCGAGACCGTATAGAGAAGGTTCATAGCATATGCCGTTCTGCCGGAATTGTCACTCGTGTCCAACTGTTTCGCCGGGGTATGTGTCTGGAATAGGAAACGTCGGGCCGTTCGGCACCAGCCCGGTGATGGTCGTGCCGTTGTCAAGGATCCACCCTTGCCCTGAATTTCGGCTCCATCAACACAAGCTTTCAGCTCCGGCTTGGTTCAGCTCCACCGTTATTGGTGGCCTATATTTTTCCATACTCATGGTGAGTTTCACCTTTGGCCCAGACGTTTAAAATCCACGGGAAACCGGCACAACGACATTGAAATATGTGCTCTAGACTGGTCTTTGTTTGCGTCTGACCGTCTTGTAAATGAGGCGGCTCAGTAATCATCATCGTGGTGCTCGTACGGGTTAGACTTTAAGAACCTCCTTTTGAAAGGTGCCCCTTAATCGTTGACCTATTTCTCCGTCTGCGAGGCGGTCAACCACCACGCGTCGTCATTGCCACAAGTCTTGAACATGATTTTTGCAAATGAACTTATAACCTGTTACCGAATGCATCATGACCAATTCGTAGCATTTTTTTGTGACGGTTTTCATAGCGTCTACAACGCCTCTGAAAGCCCAACGCCCGACGGAGCTACGGCCAGGCGCATCTAAAATACTCTAAATATGAAGCTTCTTTTAGTGAAGTTTATTCAATTCTTAGCGTCACGCGCCATTCTGTAGACTACATCTCTCTTAATTTGAGTGGGTTGGCAACTGAGTGGTATGCTGCCTTGAATATGGTTGTTCGCCATAAGCGGATGGTATCAAGTTATTCAAGATCAATCCCACAAAAAACATGTGATGAACCAGAACCAAGGTCTCCTAATATCGATTCCTAATCTCAAAATAAAGATCCCGGGAAGGGTTGCACGCAGCACATACAATGATCAGTTAGGACGGAGATGATTAAAGACAATTGCAGTTACCCAGGGTGCAGAGGCTTGCATTTTCAACTTGGCAAATAGCCATCTAAGACATAGGCAGTCAAACATCTTCGGTTACAGGTTTTGACGCAAGTGCTTAAGCCACTTCATACAAGTCACTATTGCCAAACTTCACATGCAAAGTCTCTCGACCGTGACAAGTGAGGGCAGACATCGCCTACCTCCACGTGGTGTCTTTCAAGCTGTCTGACTATCTTCTGGGTCAGTTATACCATCAAGGGTATCTTTCGAGAATAAACTGTAAGTTGTGCTTCTGGAAGTGGCGAGCCTTGTCTTGTAATCACTTTTCTAGGCTTTGATACTATTGAGAACGACATCATGCACCACTACATATCCATAATACTCCACTCCTCGACTTGGATGGCGAGATTGAGCTTAAATCTACGCCATGCAGGGATCCCTCATATACGAGAAGAGCTATTCTACCTCGAAACGCAAACTTCTGAGGATCTCCCTGGCTCAAAGACAACCAAAGCATAACGACCTATGAGTTTCATGTCGGATCAACTTTCCTTACCAATGGGAGCCTTCTGGTTGCAGTATCCAACGACCATCTAGGCACATCCTATGATCTTACGGCAACTTACATTCCGTTGATCCACCCTGCAAATACCACGAGTCAGAAACCCTCACTAAGACTAATCAATCCGCTTTCTAGGTACTCTCACGGGATTAGCCTCGTGTTTCGAGGGAAGGGGGATCACATTTCACGAGAAATCCGACGACCCTCTATGGTCCGTCCACATCAAGGTTAAATATCGCAACGGCACTATTGCTAGTGTTAATCTCAATGAGGCAGCAGTGATGTATGAAATGGATAGCAAACTCAACGTCCTTGGCTGCGATGAGCGGATCCAGATCTGCCACAAGTCCACCAACCGATGTTTGCCATGGTCAGGCCTAGGGCCGCGATTTAAAGCGATCGACTGCGATGACCGGGCTGCCGATAATAATCAGACGGCATTAGACATCGATATTCCTTTGACGATAGTGACACCATTTCTTTTCAGATCATCTATCCCAGACAGCATTGCTGGGCGGGGTGGTTCCTCAGCTTTACGAGCCTCGAGAACTTTGCAAGAGGGGGTACAATGGCGCCTTGAACCAGATGAATGGAAGACAGAACACCTACTGGTTTGCCTTGGGAATGGCGCGACTGCAACTGGATATAGGTATACAAGACGATCGAGAAGCATGAGGATGAGCGCAATGAACATGTGGGCCGATTTGCCCAGTGGTTGGACGCAAAAATATGTTTTGCGGGATGATCAAATTCAGGTCTCCAAGCCACACATCTCTGAGTTTTGTTGGAGTTTTGATGGTTGTGGTGGTTTCTTCAGTGTTCATTATTTTGAGCTTCTTTAAGGTCTTTGTTGATCTAATGCCTGTCAAGTGGCGCGGGAACCGAGTTCTTCTATGGGTATCATCGGAAAATCTTGCATTGCTTGAAGGCAAGCAGGGGCTGGAAAATGAGACCTCAGCCGGGGGGAAGGCCAAAGCGCAGGGGCAATGATGGAGCTGTGTCAGTGTTGTCGAGTCTCAAGGTGGCTTTACATAGGGTTAAGTGCGCAGACTCGTAATCGAAGGCCAACGCAATGGATGTCTTGAGAATGAATCCATCTTATCGGGAAGAGGGGTGATTGCCGAAACAGATACTTACGCTACATCAAAATCAGCTAGTAACATAGGTACCTTCGGCGCTTGGACAAGGGCCTCGAATCTAAGAAGGGTAGCTAGCTATCTTATCGATAACGATAACGAGAATGACGCATCCCAGCAACTCAAAAGGACTGTACCTACCCTTGAGCTGAAGAAACAGCCACGAGAATTCCCTATGGTGACACGAAGGAGTACGGGATGATGCAGGTCATACAATAATTGAATCATCTTTATTTCAACTTCATTCGGTCTACTGAAAAGCTATTATTATGCAACCATAGACTTCCTGACCTTTTGGCAATAAATCACCACTCATCTTATATAATTTCAATGCGACTGATGGACAACACTTGCTTGACTGCGCGGCGGGCGACCAAGTCCAAATACAGTTAGTGGCACAAACTACCTTCCAAGACATACGGCACTAACACTTGTCCTCCAGAGATAGCAGTATGTCTGATAATACCCTAGCGGCTCACGGGTACCGCCTTCGGCGGCATAAAATATGCGTCTTTCGTCTGCAGCAACTAGCCTCGATGATGCACGCGCACAAGTCCAAATGCGACCAATTCTCCGACGAACTGTACACGTAGCCTATCCCGTTGACCCTGTAGACGCTGACGCTTTGCCCACGGTCATCAGATGAAACAAGATGGATAAGATTGCATCGTGGCCTGATGGTCGAAACATGTTTGATCCTACCGCCACGATAATTTAAGCTTACTCTCTTGGGCTCAAAGAAAATTCCACGTTGGTTCGCCGAATGCCCAAAATGGTCATGCTTGAGCGCCAACTGGACGAGAATAGCAGTCCTCGATTTGGGCGCTTTGTTGATGGCATCCACCTGACTGACTCCACCAAGTTCATTGTCCTGAGCGCCGGATGGTAATTGGACCTTGCGGGGAGTTTTGCCTCGCTGACGGGAGGGTCTTTCAGCTGTTTCTGCCGACTGCCAAGAACCAGATGGGGCTGCAGCGCTTACGGGAGGCGGAGGCTCGGGATAGCCGTCTGTTGGTTCTCCAAAATGCGTGCCTCTCTTCGCTGTTAGAGTTGCAGATTTAAGGCACAAGGACCGAGAAAGGATTGCCTCCAGTAGATTAACTGGACAATCCGTCCCCGTCGGAGCTCAAGTCTTCTCTCCTTTCTCCCACATTGAAGGCCAAACGCGGCCCCATGCAAAAGATCAGCATGACATTCTTTGTGGAGAGCCGATCCTTTACAGGGGTCTCGAAACAACAAAGCCCCGCGCCTCATGGACCAATCTGGTTCCCAAACCTCATGTTTTGATGCGGCCTCCCATGCAGCTATTGAAACGGGCGCCTAATCTGCCTTGGTGAGAATCTTGGCGCGCCAAACTGCATGAATGAGGCGCTTCCACTCCTTTTCGGACAATATTTATAAGAACAAGCTCAGTCTCCCTCTAAAGACTTGCTTGTAGAATCCAGACAGCTTTTTCCTTGACCATTTTCTTCCTTCTGTTTCCTTTTTCCATTCCTTCTACTCTCCTTTCCACGCACTCGCTTTTGACAAGCGACTTGCTTCAGACTCTCCTTCAAACATACCAAACTTTATTCCTTCTCTTTTCCCTATCTTCCAGACTAGAGCAAACATGTCCCGCTTCATTCTTTTCGGAACTGCTCTTCTGGCTTCTCAGGTTGCCGCTCATGGCTACTTGAACGCTATTACCTTGGATGGTGTCGACCACGCTGGCTATAGCCGCTGGAATCCTTCCGCCGATGCTATCGGATGGAGCTTCTCAACTCCCGACGAGGGACCTGAGATGGACATCTTTAGCCCTGACTTTGTCTGCCGTCGGGAATCCCAGGCCGCCAAGAACTATGGAAAGGTCGCGGCCGGCGGCTCTGCCTCCTTCTTCTGGACCTCGGATGACAAGCAGACCAACCCCAACGGCTGGGCTGAGTCGCATCGGGGGCCCATCATCACCTATATCGCTCCTTGTAACGGAGACTGCGCTTCTGTGGACAAGACGCAGTTGAAGTGGACCAAGATTGCCGAGGAAGGCGTCGTGTCTGGTCCCGCGAACGCTGGGGGCACCTGGGCTACCGACAAGCTTCGCCAGAATGGCGGCGTCAACTATGCCACTATCCCAGCGTCCATTGCCCCCGGCAAGTACGTCATCCGAAACGAACTCATTGCTCTTCATCGTGCGCATCTCAACGAGCCCGAGTTCTACATGCAGTGCGGCAACATCGAAGTCACTGGATCAGGAACAGATGACCTCTCTGGATCTGGTGTTGTTGCCTCTCAGCTTTACAGCACTTCTGATTCGCAAATCTTTGGCTTCTCCATTTATGACAACCAGGGATCGACTTGGACTGTCCCTGGCCCCCCTCTGTACACTGGTGCTCAGGTGGCCCAGGTCAAGAGGACAGTCAGGTTCCGGGCCGCGGTCCGATACCGGGCGTAGGTTTAGCTTTAACAAATATGGAATACCCGGAGTAGAGGAGTTGATTGGAATCACGATTCTTTCTTTGAATAGCTAGACTATAAATTGTCGCGAGCGACGGATATACTAGATGGATACTTTGTACAATATACACGGTTGAAGATTTACCGCCCTCTCAAATGCCAGATGTGCATCGTCAGTCCCCTTCTACGTGGCCCTGGACAAAGGTAGTAGCTAATGTTACCACCCTATGACTCAAGCCTTGGAGCTCATGGAGGCCTGTGACATTTGGCTTGCAACCTTGAGATCGCGCTGCATCTGAGCAGCCAACTTGACATCGAAACCGTTCTCAAAGACCTTTCTGACTTCCTCCAGAGGGAGTCCCTTGACTTCGGGGTAAAAGAAGACCACAAAGACCCAGCCGAAGAAGCAAATACCTGCGTAAAAGCCAAAGGCACCGCTTGGCGTCATGCCCTTCATCATGGAAAGGAACGTGGACGCGATGATGATGTTGCAACCCCAGCAAGTGACGGTGTTCATCATAGTGCCGAGAGCACGAACCTCAAGAGGCAACAGTTCGGTTCCGACCCAGCCGATGGTTGCGACACCGCTAGCGAAAAAGGCAACGTAAAGGATGATGGTGACGAGAACCACGATGCCGGCCCAATTGACCGAATCAGCCTGGAGCACGAGGTCCTTGGAGATGGGGATCCAGTGGAAGGCAATCGCGGCAACAACCATGCTCAGAGCCTGCGAGCAAAGTTAGTCTCAGGCTTATTCTCATGCATTTGTCTCGTGAGTCTTACCATGCCAAGTACAGTCACAAGCAAGATGATGCGACGGCCAGCCTTGTCGATAACGACCATGTTGACAAACGTGAAAAGAAAGTTGGTGGCACCGACAACGATGGCGACAGCGGTGGGCTTGTTGAAACCCACGAGAGAGAACAGGGTGGCGGAGTAGTACATCAAAGTGTTGAAACCACCAAGTTGTGAAACTAGATTTTGTTAGCGATAGATGCCTTGTGTACGCCGCACAGAGAGAACTCACTGGCCATGACAGTGCATGCACAGATGAGGGCTCGAAGATTCGAGGGAACGCAATGAAGCTGCTTAAACTGCCACCAAAGAGACTTGTCGGACACAATCTGGGACTCAACCTCAACAGTCCACACAAGTCGATCAACCTTGGCCTTCATCTGCTCTTCGGTGGCATCTGGATAGACCTGACGCAAGCACTTCTCGGCTTCATCTCTCTTACCATGAGCAATCAGTTGGCGGGGAGATTCAGGGCATCGAGGAAGAAGAGCAGCCAAAATGATGGGTGGGATGCCTCCGACGGCAACCATGTATCTCCAGCCGTGGGGAACGTCGGTAAAGGCGGCACCAAGACCGTATGAGACGAGCTGACCAAGAGTGACGCTGAGGTTATCAAAGGCAATCATACGACCTCGGTACTTGGCAGGAGCCAGTTCACCGATATAGAGAGGCTAGAACACTCGGGATTAGTTGCCGTCAACAAGAAAAAAGGGCAAGATCACGCCTTACAATGATCATGGCAGCCGATCCGACACCCAGACCAACAATCAGGCGTCCAGCGGTCATTGCCGCAAGATTGAATGCCGCGGCCTGGATGATCGATCCAATGAGAAACAGAGCACAGCCGATATAGATTCCCAGCTTGCGGCCGTACTTGTCAGCGGGCAGACCAGCGATCAGAGCACCGATGAGGGCGCCGCCAGAAGTGATAGACGTGACCAGCTCCTGCTCATGGGAATCAAGTTCGTGGCCCAGGTCATCCCCAAGAGTGACGAGCACAGCAGAAATGACACCTGTGTCGTAGCCTGTTTTCTATGTTAACGATGTTGCCGGCTCAGAAGCTGCGTCGCCGAGTTGGAAGATCTCACCGAACAAGAATCCACCCATGGCAACGGTGAAGGTGATCATCCACACGGATCTGGAGGGCTTGGTGTCTTCGATAGAATCATCGAAATCAACCATGGTGCCCTGAGACTGTTCGACGTGCTCAATCTTTTGCGATATCGACTTGCCCATCCCATGGCCCTCTGTCGAGGACTTGTGGTCGTGGGCATCGTCAGCCGTGTGGGAAGACATTTTCCGAGAAGTTCAGAGCCAGGAAAGTGATGAGGAAAAGGCAAAGATACACAAGAATGATGAGCCTGGAGGCAATGTCAAATGCTGGATTGCAGACAAGCTTGATGAGAAAAGATATCCAAAAGCAAGGCGCAAGGCCATATATATAGTCGCATCTTGGCTTACGACTCATGCGCAAATCACCAGTGTTCTGACTGGGTAGTTTCAGACCATGTCCGACCCTTGTCCACCAAGAAACCCAACCTTTCCCCAGGCTGGAGCATGCCATCGCCAGTACCGTCTGGGGTCCGGGGTGAGCTAACGGGGGTGGATCACCTCCATTTCATCGATAGCTGGGGGTGGCGTCGGGCCACATGCGGGGTAAAACCTGGAGTTTATGCGCGAATTATTACCCTGCAGAGTCTATGGGGAAGTTATTTCCATCATCTTTGTCGTGTGCTGGTCTAATATCACTTGGTAGTGCCAAGCCGCCCCGTGGTTGTGCGGTAAGCGTGGCACAGGCCTGATATAACGTGGTTTCATTACCTGGACTCCAACTTGGTGGTCCGCTTATTGTCCAAACAACATCTGCACTCTCCAACCATCACCACTTGCTCGTGGCCTGTGCATCTTGGGTGCGTGCAGATGGCTGCCTCGATAGGCCAGGGATGGTCTAACCCCCTTCCATCACTTCTCCCCGTGGCCGAGCCTCTAGAGGAGGAAGAGACCGGGTTTGTCATTGCATCATCATCACCGAGAGCTGGATGAGCTAATCCGCGACCAGATCCGAGACGGGGTTTATTGCAGAGTTTGGCTTTGGCCCACCCCTGGACAACCGGAAGGAAGCCGAGTACTTTATGCACTTCATACATGAACTAGCACCATGGGTAATATCTCCTTTGGCAAGTTACTCCGCATCATGGGGATAACCTCAGTTCCAGTTTGACGTCTGTGATCCGGCTCGACACTTTGGCACAGAGGTTCCCAAACGCGCTCGCCATTTCCCCTTTCTGGCCTATTCGATACTTGCCTTTTCGTCTCGCCAGATAAGCTTGAAGAGCGGAATTCCAGACGATAGTCATGAGACGTATCATAGCCATGCGTTGCGTATCCTGATCCCCATCCTCGATGACCCAATCGGGGCGGTCAATGAGAACGTGTTGGCGGGAATCGTTATATTGCGCTCATATGAGGAGATGACGGGTGAGTTGGCTTGATTCAACTTGGGTTGTCCGGAAAAAATAACCGCTTTTTAGATATGGATGGGAGCACTCATCTTACAGGTAGCTCAAGGCTGCTCAACTCCGAGTTTCGCTTTGCAGCCCAAGGCGGACTTGGAGAAGCAGCCAGTTGGGTTGTCCTGCGCCAGGATATGTATGTGTCTCTAACGCGGTCGAGGCCGCTCCGCACCAACATGGACAGTTACCGTGACTCTCAGTCCTTTGTCGATACTTGTGACGAATCTCTAGCCAATCGAGTGGTCTTTATCTGTGGTCGGGTATTGGCATACGCTTTTGGACCAGAGTCGAGACTTGATCCCGTCCTGTGGGCTGAGCTAGGAGAAGACCTCAGGAGATGGTATGAGGCGACGCCGTGGAAAGTCTTGTCTTGGTCCCCCGATTCGCCAGCTCGAGAGGGTGGCGAGAAGTCTGTGTTCCCTACGTTATGGATGGCGCGCCACATACAGGGTACCTGATCCCCTCACGTTCATCCAGGGAGAATGTTTGCTGATTGCCGTGTGCAGTTCTAGGGTATCAGCATTACTACATTGCTCGGATGTTGCTCAACATATTTGACCCTCAGCTGTGGACGCCTGGGTTTGATGCAATCCGTTTACGAGCAGCTTCAGATGTAGGCTTTTGAAAGAATATTTGATGGGGATACGTTACTGACCCAAACCAGGAGGCTGTACGGAAAGACTTGCGGACATTACTTGGCCTGACCATCAGTAACCCCAATCTGCCCACTGCCTACTTTACAGCACATCACACATTATACGCCTGTAAGCTGAAATCAGTCCGCATTTTTTGCTTGCTAGCGCCTAACATTGGCCGAAACAGGTGGAGTCTACCTCAAAGATGAGCGCGAGCATCAAGAAGTCTTTAGATTTCTAGAAGACATGTCGAATACCATGGGGTGGCCAACACGAGAGGTGGCTGCACAGCTACGCAAGGACTGGGGCGTCGACAAGGGGATCCCGGAAAATGCCTCCATTTCTCCGCATCAGTTGAGTGCCCAAAGGTTCTCGGGGGACCAGGCCTGGGATCCGGAACCTGGGGTATGGGGTCAAGGCAGTCCCATGGACAAGGAAGAAAATAGCGTGATTCATTTGGGGTAGGCTAGTGCGAGTCAGTAAGCGAGGTGCGGACTTGGTTGCCTGGAGAGACTGGGAGGGAAATATTCAGCGAAGCCACGCAACCTGGTCTGGTTTAGCCTCGTGGGGGCAAGACAAGGTTTCTGCCAACTCCAACAAGTTCTTGACCTCGGGATCGGGTCTGTCTCCACTCGTTCTGAACCCTGGTTAACCCCGTGTTGACTGCTGGTTGCCCAATGGTTACGAGTATCACACTACGGAGGCATTGCGACTGAGAGCATTCAATATTTGATGTTGTTCGACACTTTTCAGCATGTGCACTTTGCAACCAGAGACACTGGAAATGGAACTGAGAATGAACAGGTGATCAAAATCACCAAACAGGATTCTGTGACTATTGGGACAAGAGGAGAGTGACGATGACACAACTCGTGATACACTCTCCAATTCGTGATATAATAATACTCATACAGAAGGCCCCGGACAGCAGCCGAATGACGCATCACCTAGGAATAACATGACTCTTCCATCCCAGTTGGCCATCCCCATGAATCGAGGAGATGCTTCCTTCTATCCAAGTCGTTAGTCTTGAGAACCGCAGCATAAACTCAAAGATACTTACGCAAGATCAGTAGACCACGCAAATTCTGTAGTCGTCTTGTCCAGGATATTGATGACGGCACCTTGCTGACTTCTCTGAGAACAGCGATCTCCGACCATCGAGATCGCCATGCAAGCAGTTCTGGAAACGGGTTAGCTAGCTGAACAAGAGAAATAAAATCTAGACTTACATGTGCATCGGGTTGATTTTACTCATCGATTCGGCGATTCCACAAATAATCTCCAGATCATTCCTTACTTGGGCCTGTTTGAGTCAGCTACTGCACCATGCATCCAGAGTCAAGCGTATCAGAGTTGCAAGTAGTTTGCACTCTACTCACATCAATCCAACGAGAGGCCTCCCTCCGAGCTCGACAGAGACGAGGTACGCGAGGGTCATGGACTATCAAGAGTATCCTCGAAAGATGGTAGTACTGGAGCCCCGCAGCAATACAATCATTCAGCAGCCAGATCTCAGGGAAGGGTGCCCCATTGCATTTTCGTCGTGTCATGACTGGAGTGAAGGAAGCTGGAGTACTCCTCATCCAGGAGGCAGTCGATTCGAGGAGTTCATCATAGGTAGTCGTATCCTTCCCCTCTCCGAAACAAAACCTGACCACGTTCATGAGCTTAAGCAGCATTCTGTTTGTCCTGGAAAAATCATCGCTGGTATGAGTGAGATGTTCCAAGCTGGATCGGTATTTGTCTTGATCGATGGGGGTTTGGTTCATGACTGCCAGGAACAACTCTTGTCTTAGACATGCCCACATTACGGCTTCGTGAAACGTGACGGGGATTTGAGTCAAAAGAGGGGACACATGCAGCCTGGACATGTCTAGATGTGGGGGGATCAAGTCTGATGAGGCATCATTGTGCATTGAGGTGGCTGGAGGTACATGTTAGTGAGTCTGCTTCAGATCATAGGGTCAAAACAACACTGAATAGAGAACCCAAGAAGGAATTTTGCTCTTGTCAAGTTGAGCGCAGATGAGGGGGATATCTAACCTTGCAGGTTTTCGCAGAAATGATAGAGTAGAACAGCAACGTCCAGATGTGCCATGTCCATGCCCGACTGGATCATTTGCTCTACGAAATCATCGTGAGATGGAAGCTGCCGCCTATAGACATCGAGTTCAAGGTTTGGAGCACCGCCTTGAACAGCTTGATGATGTCTAGCGGCAACAACCAGAATCAGTTCGAGAAATGCGGGACATGTCGCGGCTATCGATGGAACGGATGTTGAAAAGTATCTAGTTGGGTCGTAAGAGTCGAATGCGGGAGCGATATATTTGATGTAATGACGAAAGAGCTTCGCCCTGGTGCGATCGTTGAGTGGTGCAGGTGGTAGGTTGGTATTGGTGGATGTGCGATCATGTGAGAAGGAGTTGGAGCTTGACGGGCTATGGTTAGAGAAGGGGTGATATTGATGAGGCCCGCCTAAGGCCGCAATGCTGCTGCCAACGTATCCAGGTAGGGGTACATGATGCAGCCGTTGGCAGGAGAAGATGGATGGCTGTGAGAGGCCAGGATCGAGTCGGGGAGAACTCCCTGATGACCCTTGAATGGGCGAGACGTAATCGCGATCTGTTTGCTGCGCAAGACCCGCAGAACCGGCACTTGAAGCAGTCTCGAGAGATGCTACTGGCTGTCGAACAGGACCAGGTGGGGAGGTGCTCCGATCAAGATTCTGCTGTTGCAGGGGTTGTCGTGATTCCCCGTCCGACTCGGCATCGTCGTCGTAATACCGAGCAACCTCTAGACTTTGATCGAGAAACTTGAGTCTCTTGCCAGCTGTCTTGCACCAAACCTGGGAGGAGGAAAACTCGGGATGAGGGTCTCTAATAAATCAATCAGTATTGTCGCATCTTGCATCTTGATCGTGTTCCGGTCTAGCCGGCTACTCACCCGGTCTTGGATTTGTGCCGGAAGCGAACCCTGAGATTTCGGTTGCAGTCAATGTTCTTTTTGACGCACTGCGCGCAGGGTTTTTCCCCGTCACCTGCAAGATAAGCCAGTCAGGGTACCTGCGACAAACACATTGAACTGTGCAGCTGCTCGGTACTTACACTTTAGATGTCTATCAAGATGGGATTCTGTCAGACAATGTCGTCACCTGTGAGATCAGAGGAAATGGGACAACTTGCCTCGCACGGCAATTCTAGGAAGGAGATCAGTCCCGGATGATCAGGATAGGCAACTTGGGGACTTACCTCACACCCGGGCCTCCGAGGACCGGTGGGCGGCATGGCAGCAAGAAGACGGGACGAAGAGAGATGGGAGGCAAGGGTCGAGAAGCGGGTCAGGGCTTCGCTGTTTATATCCCTTTTCGACCTGCAGGGAAAATGTCCAAGCTCGTGGCGGAGACGGGGGCGGGGTAAATGCGGGGGGCGGAGAGAAGCCCTTGGACTCACGAGACGGAGGCACCGTCTCTCTAGCGTGGGATGCCCAACACGGTAATATCTTGATGAAGATTGGGTCTTTGGTGGTTGATGTCCACATTGTGGTCGATGTGTATAAGAAAGGACGCTTGCCATGGCTTTGGTGGTTGTGGTTTACTACTCTGATCAGCACTCCTTTTCTAGAACAATTCTACTGCTCTCTGAGCACAAGTGGCGACGGCCTTTTCCAAGTTGTCCTATTTCTACTCTAACCTCTTCTGTATCATCCATCTTCTTAGCCGATTTTCTTTCACCTGGGCCGGAGAAATGTCAGTCTCGGTCGCCTCTCTGGGCACCACGCCCTATGCTGCGGCATTGGGGGTTGTCGCAGTCATCTACTTCCTGATCTACCCATTTGTTCTTTACCTCAGAGACTCTAAAGGTAAAATACATTCTTTCTTTCTGTGTTGCCTCAATACTTACCATGCCCAGGTCTTCGACGATTCCCAAACATGTCTACCTTCTCGGGCATGTCCAACCTCCCCTTCATGATCCTCGCTCATGGAGGCGCCCGATCTTCCGCAATGGCCAAGATGCACAAGACGGAGCCAATCCTTCGAACTGGCCCAAACACTTTGTCCTTTGGTAGTGTCAAGGCTATCAAGGGTATCTACGGCCACGGCACCCCCTGCATCAAAGACGAATCGTACGTGCTCACGGCCGGAACTCATTTCCACTTGGCCGATGTCATCGACAAGCCCGACCACGCACGAAAGAGAAAGGTTCTCTCTTCTGCTTACGCTCTCAAGAACCTCGAGGAATGGGAATACAAGGTCGCCGACAAGGTGCAGAGAATGATGAACCACTTTGAAAAGTGCTGCACGGCTCCTTTGTCCAAGGGTGTCAAGTACCCCAATCCCGAGGACGTCAACGTCGACTTCCGCGCCTGGTCCAACTTCTTCTCACTCGATGCTATTGCTGACATTGGCCTTTCTGAGAAACTCGGTCTCCTTGACCGGGGTCACGATCGAGTCGAAGCCCAGGAGAAGAACGGCACCATTTTTGAAGCCAACCTCCGAGAATGCCTCTATCCCACTGCTCGCAAGCAATCTCTCCTTCTCTGGAGCTACGATAACTACAAGCTGCTCGACAAGATTTCCAACATCATCCCTTACTACAGACGCATGTCCGAATCGAGCCGAGGCTGGGATGCCATTGTCCTCCGCCGTGCGAACCTCCGACTGCAACGCTACAATGCTGGTGAGAAGCTTGATGACTTCTTCCAAGCTCTCATGGAGGACAAGAGCGGTAACCCCCATAACCTTGAATGGGGCGAGGTTGTTGCCGAAATCAACATCATGATGAACGCCGGAAGTGTCACTACTGCTATCGCCCTTGCCAACGTCCTCTACCAGCTGCTTCTCAACCCTGACAAGATGGAGACCCTGCGAAATGAGATCGACTCGGTTTTGGAGCCTGATGAGATGGTTGCTCCTTACGACAAGGTGAAGCATCTTCCTTACCTTCGAGCCTGTTTGGACGAGTCCCTTCGACTCTGGCCTCCTACTCCTCAAAGTCTCGCTCGTAAGACTCCTCCTGAAGGCACAACCATCATGGGACAGTACATCCCAGGCAACACCACTGTTGGAATCTCAGCTCTCGTGGCGCACCGTGACGAGACAGCCTACCCAGAGGCTGAAAAGTACCTCCCGGAGAGATTCCTTGGCGAAAAGGGCAAGGAGCTCCAGTCCTCTTTCATCACTTTCTCAGCTGGTGCTAGAGGCTGTATTGGGCGTAACATCTCCTACCTTGAGCAGGCTGTTTGCCTTGCCTCTATTGTGCACAGGTACGATTTTGCTCTGCCTGCAGGCTTTGAGCTCAAGCGGGAAGAGACAATGAACCACATCTTGGGAGAGATGCCTGTCAAGGTGTGGCGAAGAGACCTTGGTGAAGAGGAATGATGGATGAAAAGCATAGAGCATAGCGAATTTGATATTGAATTTGTAATTAGGAACAAAGGCGTGTGGATTGCGCCGTCTCATGATGAATAGATTGAACCAAACTTGAACCCTTTGAATCCTTCCATTAGACCAGATCCGACTCCTTGACTAGAATATCCCTAGTGACTTCATTTATGTCACGGAGACCTGCAAGGTGCATGTTCATGGTTAAATCACCACACATGGCTCGAAGCACATGCCTCACTCCCTCTTCTCCCCCAAGTGCCAATCCATACGCATATGGTCGACCGATGAGGACACACTTGGCTCCCAGAGCAATTGCCTTGATGATATCAGCACCGCATCTGATACCACTGTCAAGGATGACATCGATCTTATCTCCAACAGCATCCACAATCTTGGGCAGCATTCCCAAGCTACTGGCTCCACCATCCTGCTGTCTTCCACCATGGTTGCTCACAACAATTCCTTGGACGCCCACTTCAACACATTTCTTAGCATCGTGCACACTCTGAATGCCCTTTAGAACGATAGGTCCGTCCCAGTGCTTCTTTAGGAACTCGACGTCTTCCCAAGAGTGTGAGTGTCCGGGGAAAACAATTTTGGCCCATTCTCGGGCTGCCGGGCCAAGACTCGCTCTGGTTGTTCCGCCTTGAGCTGATTGGTACACACCACTGGGAGCACTGGAGATGTCGTACCCATGTTCTTCCTTGAACTTCTTTTGGAAGACGGGGTCTGTCAGCCCAATTTCGACGCCGATATGGTCTGGATGGATAAACGGGTTGTAGCCATTGTCCAGATCACTAGGACGCCATCCAAGCACATAAGTATCGAGTGTGACAAAGAGAGCGGTGTAACCGGCTGCCTTGGCTCGTTTCAAGAGGGAGATGGTTAAGTCGTCATGCTCACGGCTCGGCCAGTAAAGCTGGTACCACCGAGGGGCACCGGCACCGTTTGCAGCTGCCACGTCCTCAATGCTTGTGCTTGATGCTGTGCTCAAGATATACGGGATGCCAAGTGAGGCAGTGGCTCTGGCAGTAGCAGACTCTCCCTCAGGATTGAAGATCTTTTGCACACCAATTGGTGCAATAGCAACCGGGAAGGGCAGAGTTTGACCGAGAACCGTTGTCGTCGTGTCCGAAAACCTCTCGTTGCCAGCATCATCCTTTCGGCTGGGCACTAGGCGCCTAGGCACAATTGACCAACGCGTGAAAGAGATGAGATTATTCTGGTATGTTGAGCCAGCTCCGCAGTTGCCGTGGATGTAGCCCCAGGAGGTTGCAGAGAGTACTTTCTTGGCCATAGGCTCCCATTCCGAGGACTGAAAGGTGAACGAAGGTCGCGCAAAGTGTAGTCCAGCATCGAAGATGGACTTTTCGTATTCGAGAACATCAGAACTTGTTACAGGAGCCATTGTGAAGGATTGAAACGTGGATGGAGAAAATCGGTTGATGATGCGAGGCTTGGCAAAGGTTGCAGTTGAAACTCTTATATCTTTATACATCATACCTATAACCTCGGTTATCTTTCATGGCGCGACAATTACATCATGTCCTTGTGAGTATTTTGCGCTCTTTCATCATCAATTGAGTTTCTAGGTGAGTAATTTTCCGACGAAAAGGCAAAACAAGACTCGAAGAAGTACAATGACGTCGAAGAGAACAGAATACAATGGGGCTCAACGGCAACTTCGGAAGGGTCGGCTAGACTGTGGATCTTGGAGATCAAGATACGAACTTTGCATCAGATTGTGGATATTGCTATCATCTGTTGTAATTACTCAAGAGAAACACATGACTGAGAACATGGCTGTGTATGGCCAATAGCCATCTTGAGTTATCAATCAGGTTTTACATCCAGCCAGCCCCGACAGCCTCCGGGCCTGTAAGCCGTCGTTGTTAGGGGTTAGGGAAAGACTCGCCTCGTTCCTCATCACCATACAAGCTCTATCCTCTCTCATTTCCTTAAGGACATGCAGCAACTCAGACGCATTACATCCTGGACACACAGGTATAGGGTATTTGTCCTTCTCGTTATAAATGATAGCCCCCCATTATGGCCGCCGATTGTCGATCACCATCATATAGATCATTGTTATTGGCATTTGTGTCACCAATATTCTAAGGGTCGTTGGGAGGGAGTATGGTAGTACTTTTTGCATTTATGATGTCTGTAAAACTCGAGAACCGTCAGCGAGAGTGAGAGAACCATGCGTTTGACGGAGCGCCTGAAGATGCGAACATAACCGATAAACCGTGCCTGAATTTTCGATACACTCTCTAAATGAGTCAGAGGGTTTTATCTCCCAGAAGTCCATAACGGGGTCTTTATACATCCTTCTTTTTAGGTGTTGTCGGGGCCTGTGATGGTTCTGTCGGCCCGGCATGGCGGGATGGTCGGCGATTACGTATCATTACATAAACCATCCGGTTCACAAACTCTTGTCGGTTGTCGGCGATGCGGAAGATAGACCGTGTGTATTATAATTAGACTGGGGGGCTGGGAAGTTCATTGAGGGGCTAAAAAGTTTAATGTTAGCTTGCTGTACTTTCTCCTGATACATTACTGAAAGACGCCTTCTGTTCAAGACGTCAACGCTTGATACATCGTCCACTGGGCCTCGAGCTTCACCAAATTGCCGGTCACCCCTACAAAGGAACGTTGATGATACGAAGATAAGCACCGCCAGAGTGAGTGTGAAATGCCCAGCCGACACCACTCACCGACAGCTATTGTACATGCCCTCCACTTTATGCCGTCAAACTAATCACCTCGTTCTGTAGATCAAGTCTACCGAAACCGGCCGTGATCTAGAATGCACCTCATTTCGTCTTTTTACTCAAGGGCCAGGGACGAACCTGTGCCTGGAAAGACTCCCCAACTCTTCTTCAAACTAGCTGGCACCAGTTTCATCTACTTCCAGCTCCTTTTCTTCGGTCTATTCTGCTATATACTTGGATCCCTCTTTCAGCAGACAGACCACACTCACAATATTCGAATCACCTTTGTTGACTACGACCGAGATGCCATCGGTCGTGCTGTGCGGCTTGCGTATGCCAGCATCGAAGGGAAAGCATTCCCGACTTTGGTCGAAAGACCAGCATCGGAATTTCCAACAATAAACGACCTGGTGGGCACTGTTTGCAGGACTGAATACTGGGGCGCTCTCTACGTGGTTAAGGGCGCGTCGTTGAGACTGCACGAAGCATTGGCGGGTGACAAGACATACAACAATACGGATGCTATGGGATACATATGGAATGAGGCCTTTTATTCATCTATCATCGATTCTGCTGTGTCAGTCAACTTACAGCTACTATCCGACACTGCAAGAGTGGCATATACTACGGCAAACGGGACCGCCAACATATCATCTATAACCAGCCCGGCTGCCCTTTCGGCCTTTGCAAATCCATGGGAACTCCAGTCCATCAACATCAAACCGACACCACAAGGCTCACGAGCGATTTACAACACCGTCGTCATCATCATCGTTCTGATGCAACAGTTCTTTTACTTGGGCACTCTCAACGGCCGCTATGCCCAACTCAAAGTATATACCCTCGTAAATCCATACCGCATCATAATTACTCGGAACATGATCACTTTGTCTTATACTTTTATTGGCTCACTCCTAACCATGGGCGCGATCTGGGCTTTCAGGGCAGGCTGGGATGTCAACGGAAACCAGTTTGTCTTGTCTTGGATCACCTTATGGCTCTTTGCCCACATCAACTTCCTTATCTTTGAGATATTCACGATATGGTTGCAATCCTCTTTTGTCCCGATGGCTCTGATATCGTGGATAGTCTTCAACATCACGTCGGTGTTGTTGCCCTTTCAACTAAGCCCGGGGTTCTATCACATTGGCTACATGTTTCCAGCTCACAACTATTATCAAGTGTTGATAAATATTTGGTCACTCGGCTGTAACCCCAAGCTACACTATGCGTTGCCAGTATTGTTTGCCTGGGAACTGGTGGCATTGGTTTTGACCTCTGTTGGCGTTTTTCGAAGGTGTCACCTTGCAATGGCTGCTCGTGCGGGTTAAGTGAGCGAGGACAATGCATAGTATGAGCTGCCTTATTGCTGAAAAATTACTCATAAAAAACCCTTTCTATTCTAATAAGATTGCTAACGAACGGAAGGCTTTCATGTATCTTGAGAGTGACCTAACAAGCTCATATCGGACAAATTTGATAAATAATCCGATAGTTTCAAGCTCAGGGGGCCAACCAGCGGGGCTTAGTGACAAGGCGGAGAAATTTGTAAAGCAGCCACAACCAGTTATTATTAAGGGGTCGGCGACTTTATCGGCACCTTGTCTAATCAGAGAATGTCATCCAACCCGTGATTACCAATGATCGTGGATCAGGTCAGATTTGCCAGGGGTATTCAACACAGGAAGCCAACCCAAACTATTCGAGGCAAATTGGTTGATGAGCCTGGACCGATGCTTACATCGAGCCTTTTCCATGTAGCTAAACCTTGGCAAATCATACGAGGGATAGCATGGGACTCCTGGGTCTGGGGACGTAATGGACATCGTTACAAAGAATTCGCTGTCTCACAAGGTCTTTCTACTTCAGGCAAAGACTTTGGCGCAGAAAGGTCACAGTAGCTCAGAGTTGTCTTTTCTCAAGACAAGGCAGCTAGTCTAAAGATAGCAACGGTGTATGATGGATAACAGCGTATATAATTCATCGATTTATATGATTATTCTAGCGACTTTCACATAAAATATTTCGAACCAGTAGGTTCTGACACAGGGTTACGGGCAGGAGTCGTACCCTAGATACTCATCCTGCGCCTCATATTCTCACTTCGCCATCCCTTCGCTCTCTCAAACCCGTTTTTGCTCCCGTAAAAGTCTTCAAAAGCTTGCTGGATTCCTTCGGCGCTAGTTGAGACAAAAGGTCCATGTTGAACAATCGGTTGGTCTAGAATCTGGCCAGCGATAATAAGAAGACGAACGCTGCGGCCTGCGTTCTCGGCAACCTGAATAGAAATGACATCTCCTCCGGTTTCGTATATCACCGTGCCGTACTGCTCAACCTTGGTTAAGACACCGGTTGGAGATGCAAAGTCGGCAGAGCCCTCGAAAACGTAAGAGAAAGCATTCCAGCCTTGGGGTAGGGGCTGAACCAAAGCGCCGCCCGGTTGAATCTCGACATCTAGATACCACACAGGCGTATATGCCAAGTTTTTGGCGCTATTAATATTGCCAGATTTGCCTGAAATGACCTTGATAAGGACCCTGCCGTCATCAAGATGGGCGCGTGGGATTTCGTTGGCCCTCAGATCTCGATATCGGGGCTCACACATCTTCAGGTGCTTTGGAAGGTCGACCCACAGCTGGAAGCCAGCTCCTGGGTTTCCCTCAGGATCAGGCAGCGGCTGCTCAGAATGCATAATGCCTCTTCCTGCGGTCATAAATTGCAAGTCGCCAGCATTGAGGACGCCCTTATTCCCAGCAAAGTCTTCATGTTCGACGGACCCTTTGAGGATATAGGATACCGTTTCTTGTCCTCGGTGGGGATGATCTGGGAAGCCTGCACCACTACTTCCGTTCATGTGATCAAGCATGAGGAATGGTGAAAAGTTGCGTTGATATGTGCTGCCGATGGAGCGCCGAACTCTGGCGCCAGCCCCCTCGGCTTGTTCGAGGGCAGTGAAGACCTTGCTGATTGCTCTCAGTTCGGGCATGGCTGATTGTTGGCTGAGGCTGCGAGGTTTTGTTGATGCAGAATTGTTATGACAGAATTAATTCGAATGCCTGACTGAGCACTGTTATAAAGGATGTTATTCTGATGGTAGTATTGGTGGTTGTCAGGAGCATCATCGTGGGAAGAACATGTATTTACTCTTCGCATGTTTCTAACCTGGCATTTGATCCGGTCTGTTAGGCTGACAAAAGCTGACAGAATCGCGCATAAGGTAATCACTTACCAGAGTGACCTTCGAGGAGCGACAAGAGCTGGGGACACATGGAAATAGTCGGTTTCCGGCCGGTCTGAATTTACCGCGCGGGGCCCACCACGCGCGCTTAGCAAAAAGCCGGATGCCGACCCGCGCGCAAAGGTTTCAGAGTAGACTATTAGGTGACTTGGTCCCTTTGATGCCAAGACTCGACCTGCCCCGCCCCCCAACCCCCGGAATTTATTTATCGGGCTTCAACTAACGTATATAATAAGTAAGTGAAATAGACAAGCAAGTGAAACAAAAATCCCTTAACCTATATCTTCTCCATTTAATTAATTAATTCTTAACTACCTAGTATATTATAGTCTAATAGAGAGGCTAAAATCCTTCTTGCCCTTTAGGCCCTTTAAAATAACCTAAAATTAAAGCTCCGACGCGCTATAGAGATCTATATAGTTAACCTAATAACTCTTTAGCGTCGATAAAAGGGAATTTAATCTCGACGCGATATTATCTAGAAATCACGTCAGCTATCTAATCTAGAAGAATAGATCCTTATTTATTTTATTCTTGACTTAGATTTATGAGGATTTCCCCCCTGGCTTTATAGTATAAAGGAAATAATTAATTAATTACTTATTGATCGCGATGCGCTACTAATTAGCATATATTAGGCTTTAAACTTTATTAAGCGATACTTAGACCTTAAGATATATTTTTTTTAGAAATATAATTACTAAAGAGCTAAATATAAAGATCTAATTATTATCTATAATTAGTTTTAGCTTATAGCGAATATAATCGCGAAGTATAATATCTAATTAAATAATATCTATAACTTTAATAAGATTAGCTTTCTTATAGGCATAATTATAAGTAAAATAGTTATTATAGGTTTAGAAAGGTATTTAAAGCTAAAATTAATATAGCCTAGAAACTAGGAATAGATTATAATTATTTAAGTAATTAATATAAAAGGCTAGGCGATCTAGCTATTTATTATTAGTATAGGCTAATATTACCTCGCTAATTAGTACTAAGAAAATAACCTCCCGGGCGATTAGGCTATTATAATAACCTAAAATAGCTAAACTAATAATGAGATAGGTCTTAAATAGCTTAAATACTTTAATTAGTATATAATTAATTAATTAATTAATTCTTATTATCTCTTAATCCTTAATAGCTATAAAAGTTATTAATTTATTAAATTTAAGAGATATTATAAGGAAAAGAAGATTATTTAGCTTTATATACTGCCTTATTTATCTTATTTACTCTAGCCTCTTAATATTAAGTACTTTAATATACTAAAAAAGGCTTATAATTAAGAAATAAAGTATTTAATTAAATATTTTATTACTTATATTTTAAAGACTAAGTTCTTTCTAGCCTTTTATACTATATATAAGGCTATTATAATAAAAAGAAATATTAAGGGGGCTTTTAAAGGAGCTAATCTTATTCCTCTTAACCTAGAAACTATAGTCTTAAAGCTTAATATATAGCTATAGACGCTAATACTGGCTAAGGAGGTATCTAATTAATTAACCTCTTAGGCATTAAGGACCCTAAGGACTATACTTAAGGCCTAGTCTTAGTCTAAATACCTCGAAAGATAAATTAGAAGGCATTAAAATAGCTCCCTAGAGTTAATCCTTAAAGTCCTAAGGTCTCTTAAGAAGGGTATAAAGGTAATTATATATTAGGTTACTTTATTAGCTACTAAGAATAAAGACCTTCGGGAGGTAAATAAGATACTAAGCTAGCGCCAGAGGGCAAAAAGGACCTAATTATAAAGAAGAGGGGTTATAATAGTAGAGGAAGGAAGGTAAGTAATTAATTAAATAGATACTAATAGGCAAGTAGTGGCCGAGTCGTCGCGGAGTAGTGGTTAAAGGAGGTTAGCGCGACCGGGTGTTCGGCGTTATAGTATCTGCGGCTAGCCCGGCTATAATATAAGGACCTATTAGGTAGTAATTAAGATATTTAGGGAAGAGTATAGTAAGTAGTTTTAATTAATTAAATAGTTTATAGTGTTTTTATTGCGATCTCTAGCTTAGAGGTTAGGATTTTTATTTTACTTGCTTATCTGTTTTACTTACTTATTATGTATGTTAGTACTAGAATTTTAACCCCTGCGATCTATATTAGTAATTACTAACTAATCCAAATTATACGTTCTAAGAGAGACTATGCTAGTATTTCCCTTTAGCTGTGTTATTTCCGTTGGGTTGCTTAGAACTACCCCTACCCCCCTTCCTCGAGCTCTTGGCCAAGCAGCTAGCATTTCACTCTCACATTTGCCAACCTAACTATAACTCTCTATTAATATCGCCGCTGACTAGTGCATTCACCGCTAAAGCACCTGGAACAGCAATTTGAAATGGGATCTAAATAAGACCGTACGTTTGGAAATAAATCATTTAGATTACTTTCCTTCATTTTGAATATACGTTACGATTCGAAACACATAACATAATAATAATAGCTGCCAATCGTGAAACCCCGCACAACCGTGGCGACCATGGAGACTTCAAGAAACTTGAGTGTTCTCGGCCAACATGGGAGGAAGCTACTACTGCTGCTCCCTTCCAAGTGATTCAGACCCCCGACACGACTTGGGCTGTAGGCGATGGAGCGAACAAGACTCACTCCCAACGGCCACAAGCATATTGCCATCGATCCCTGGGCACCTGGTCGACACCCTATGGACAACTACAAGCTATGTATCAGCGCAATTGTTCCCTGTCCCATCGCCTTTGTGTCAACAAGGTCCAAGGATGGCGCTGTTACAAACTTGGCGCCGTTCCGATACATCGTGGTAACTGACCAAAGATAGAAGATGGATAAAGTTAAGAGACTAAGACGGACCATGTTGTGTTTCTTTACTCTCCTGTATCTCCTTTCCGTATATCGGTAGTTAATAATTCTAAATGCGGGCCTTGATGTAGTCCTCCATAGTAGTGAACTTGAATGCGGGATAAAGCTCTTTACCATCCAAATACCCTAGGTACTTTGCATTATCGGGCGTGTTATCACCACGGATAGTTACCGAGTAAAAAAGCTGATTTAACACCAGGCCACCCATTGCTTCGAGGCTGGAAGGGTTCGCCGCAACAGCTGCTTTTGCTTCGTCGATGAGTGCCTCGCTCTCCTCCTTCGAGACCTGTAATAGGTTAGCTGTCCTACTTTCCATATTACGCGTGGATGATAGCTCACATAGGACCTCGGTATCTTTTCGCCAGTCAACCTCTCAACTAGATTATATATCTGATTTTGGGTGTATATCTCATTGTACACAAACACCCGCCTGTTGAGCGTTCGAGGGTCTGCGATCACCTTGGCGACGTATCGACCGATATCGCTAACCTGCGCAACCGCAATGGGAATGTTGCCGTCTGCGCCAAGCTTTCCTTGATAGGAAGCCCCCGAGGGATTCTGAACTGCTCGAGATGGTGGCTGAGGGACTGCAATGTCATACCACCAGCCAGCGTCAAGATAGGTGTAGGGAAGACGGATCTTCTGGATGTGGTTGAGGATGTCTTCTTTCTACAGACAAGTCAAATTAAACCAAGCCATCAAAGGAGAAATGAGGGCTCGTACCTGTCCACGAAAATTGACCACTCCCCTCGGAGGAATAACGCACATCAATGCTGATTGAAGGAAGCGTTTTACGCGAGCAACCTTTGCTGCGTTTGCCAATGGGATTTCGGCATCCAATTCGGTAAAGACAATAGCCGACACGACGATATCAATACCAGAGAGGGCTTTCACAAGGTCGCTCTCAGCTCCCCTAAGATCAGCCGGAACGACCTTCACACCACGCCTCTTCAGCTCGTCATAGGCCGGTTTATCGACGGACGAGGGACGGGCCAAAGCGGTCACGGTCTAACCAAAGTTGTCAAAAACAACTTCACGCTAGCCGATCAGGATGAGAAACTCTACTCACAAAATGGGTTTCACCGGAATCAAGCAGCCCAGCAATAATAGCTGAGCCGGTTGTGCCAGTGGCACCAACGACAGCGACACTAAGATTCTTCGGCATTCTTAATGCTTCAACTAAGGATATCATTGTTGAGACGAGTTATGTGAACGTCATGAACCTGACCTTATAAGCTAGAGCATAATTTTGAGCTCATGACAAATCAAGAAAAGAAAGTTCTAGACGTCGAGAAAGAAAGATTATGTTTAACTGTCCGACCCTCAATTTGTCATCGCGCCGTGGTAACACCGAAAGAACCAATAAGTATCCCAGCGTAAGGATATATATATATATATCTATATCTATATATACGTATCTTGTCCTAATAACTCCTGAAGCTCTTTTCATTACTCTTTCCATATCCGACCTGATTGCTTGCTCGTTATCCTACATCATCAACATGGCGGACCACCGGCTTTTCCAACCTTTAGCGGTTGGCCCAATCACGACCAAACATCGCATCGTCATGGCGCCATTGACCAGGTTCCGAGCTGACGACAATCATGTCCCATCAGACCTGGCTCCCGAGTACTACGGACAGCGTGCCTCTGTCCCCGGTACCCTCCTCATCAGCGAGGCTACCTTTATATCTAGAGAGGCTGGTGGATACCCCAACGTCCCGGGCATCTGGAGTCAAGAGCAAATCGACGCTTGGAAGAAGGTTACCAGAGCTGTACACGAAAAGAGAAGCTTCATCTTCCTACAGCTTTGGGCCCTAGGTCGCGTAGCAATGCCTGACGTAGCGCGTGCCGAAGGGTTCGACATCGTCAGCTCGAGCGCCAAGCCATTCGAGAAAGATGCAGCCGTTCCAAGAGCTGCCACCAAACTTGAAATCCAGCGTTTCGTTCAACAATATGCTCAAGCAGCTCGAAATGGTATCAAGGCCGGTTTTGATGGTGTCGAGATACACGGTGCCGGGGGCTATCTGATCGATCAGTTCACACAGGACAACTGCAATACTCGCTCGGACGAGTACGGCGGCAGCATCGAGAATAGAACTCGCTTTATTCTGGAGGTTGCTCAAGCTGTGGCTGAAGCTATTGGAGCAGAACGAGTTGGCGTTCGTTTATCTCCATGGCAACGGTACCAAGGAATGCGTATGGCTGATCCTATACCTCAATTCACGCATGTTGTCCAGGAACTCGGGGCCCTGGAGTTGGCATATTTGCACCTGATCGAGTCACGGGTTAATGGCAACGTTGATGGAGATGATAGGGAACCGCCCGACTTTGCCATCAATGCGTGGGATGCTCGCAAACCAGTCATCCTGGCTGGTGGCTACACGGCTGAATCCGCCCGAGAGGTTACAGGAAAGTGGAAAAGGAGGAATATCTTGGTGGCTTTTGGGCGTCATTTCATTTCCACCCCGGATCTGCCTTTTAGAATCAGAGAAGGCATCCCGTTCACTCCATACGATAGACGCACCTTCTACGATGTTGGGTCGTTGAAGGGGTATACCGACTATGAGTTCTCTCCAGAATTCCAGAAAAGCATTGGAGTCTGATAAAGTGCATCCCTTGATCAGACGGCCTCTTTGGAAAGACAGAGATACTAGAATAGAATATATTGTAGACAGAGCCATCCAAGACTCGGCTTGATCCGTTTACCTGTATATTAACGCCAACGTACGAACTCTGAAACCTAGCGAATGAGCTTCATCGGCGTGTTGATCCCAGCCCAATGCGGATATGGTAGCTCAAGTCTCACACAAGCTAAGGTGTAATCCTGGCCAAAGAAGGGGGGGAAGGTCTCGTGCTTTATTTCCTCTCAATAGCATTCCCTTCATCATGATTTATTTTTCTGCCTTTTGTGACCGGAATCTAATCGAACGGCATGGATGAGAATCACATCAAGGGACCACAAATGTAGTCAGGCGATTTATAAGCATGAGAGCGGAAAATGGGTTCCGTTCCCATTGTTTCATCGGACCCTGGTGCAAGTTCCCACCCATGACTTAATCCTATCAAGGCAGTACTGCCCAAGTTCCGTAGCAGGTCCTCGTGGCTGTGGCTTTGCATTAAACGACGCACTGAAATTGGCTTCAATTCTGTATCAAGACCATCCTAGCATAACTCTCGGGATGAAATGATAGACCTTGCTCTGTGCTAGCTTTGTTGTCAGTACCTCAAAACTACTTTCCTAGGTAGAAGAATGATTGATTCTAGCTGTGGTTCTAACATTGTCAAAGCTCGAGTGCTAACGTGTGACTCATGTTCACTCACGACCGCGACTCGATCCGAAATTGACGCATTAAACCACAGCACACGCCAGATTTTCCATCTTGAATCGCAATTCGGAATCAGGGCTTCATCGTTAAACGAATATGCTTTAAACTAAGCTTTGGGATCATAAGCCTCAACCTCGATTTCCACGCGCATGTTATCCTCGCCCAAACGTCCAACCTGTACACACGTCCATACTGCCTTGTGATCAGGCATCCACTTCCTGAAGTTGCGAACCATGGCGTTCTGAGCCTCTTCGTTGAGCTGTGTGTGGTATGACCGGATCTTGAAGACTTGGGACCATCCCTTTCCACCAGCATTTTTCAGGTTATAGTCGACATTGGCAAAAGCTTGGTCGACTTGGGGGCCGATCTCCTTGTAGACCTCAAACGTCTCCTGGTCCCAGCCACCTGATGTGTCGTCAGTTGATTTGCAACCACGGTTCCAGTAGGGTAATGCTGGTTTACCTTGGCCAGCCAGATGAATGACGTCGCCCACTCTGGCCGCCTGGACATAAGCATGTGACTTGAAGGCGGCTTCCCCGAAGCCTTTGCTGATGTAAGTGGTGAACTGGGCCATTTTAACAGAGGTTAAGATTTCGCAAAGATGTAGAGTAGGAAATAATTTGAGAAATTACAATACGACCATAGGATAAATGTTAAGGTGAAAGACAATTGGGAAACGGGTCACGTTCATATTTTACGCTTGGTGGATGCCGCTGAATGCCTAGTCGTATTCATTTGTGGCGGAGAGGACCTTGAGTTAAGCCATGGTCTATGGAATATATTTACCGATAGATTATCACATTACGAAAACAAGAGTGGAGCTTATTGAGTTCATATAGGTCCGGTCCTCAACCACCTGGTGAGGATGTACTTCATCTGCCGCCGCTTGTCCGCGGACACTTGCTATTTCCGTCCAGGGCTTCAAACGTTGTGCCCATACGGGTGGGGCAAGGAGCGGAAAGTATATTCCGCTCTTGAAAATCAGGGGTGCATGACAAAGCAGCCAATCTAGCACCTCTCGCAATTGACAACCATCCATGTAGTCACTGCTTCCCCCGTCTCCAATTTCGCAAGAACCTGCGTCAGCGGTGGGAAACATGCCGCAAAAGACTGAGAAAGCCAAAGAAGCAGGAAAGCAAGTTCCGAGACGAGGCCGCAAAAATGTCTCAAGGGCTTGTTTACATTGCAGGAGGAGGCGGGTCAAGGTATATCGGCTACCCCTTATCACCCAAACATAGGCTGATCGGAGCAAAGTGCGACGCAAGAACTCCGTCTTGTTCAAGATGCTCGGAACGCGCCATCGAATGTGCTTACTCCACGGAGGAAGACAAGCGCCGCCCAGCACCCAAGTCGTATGTCGATCTTCTGCGCAGCCGGATAGACCACCTTGAGCGACTGCTCCAGGCTCACTCGATCGACCCGGATGGCATGCCGAATGCCCACGCGGTGTCGCCCTCGGGCTTACCTCCCTCCGCTATTTCTCCGCCGGTGCGTCCGGCTTCGTCCTCGGCATACCTGGTCAGTAATGATGGAGTAAGCGACGACCTGACCCTCCGTGGGGAGCTATCAAAAGATGAATCCATGAATTTTGACCAGGACGGCGAAGCACGGTACTTTGGCCCAACAAGTGGACGCCTAGAGTTCAAGAGTCTTCATAAGAAAAGAGCCGAGTACAGCGCAGCCACAGCCAACTTCAACCGTCTTTGCCAAGATCTTCTTGATCAGGATCCAGTCTCCCCGGAGCTTGAAGACCACCTTCTCGATCTCTTCTTCACGTGGGAGCAGCCATTCAATCAGGCTGTGGACGAGCGCATGTTTAGGCAGAGTCGCCATACGGATGGAAAATGGTACAGCCCCCTCCTGCTCAACTGCGTGCTGTGCATAGGGTCTCGGCATTCCGACCGCGCCGAGGTTCGGACTGATCCGCAAGACCCCAATACTGCTGGGAGGCTGTTCTTGGAAAAAGCCCAGGTTCTGTTGTACTTTGATCTTCAATCACCCAGCCTGACGACAATCCAGGCTGCCATGATTCTCACGACGGCGTATTGCGTAAGTACATGCCCACCGGGTTCCTCAATCAGCTTCTAAGGCCCTCACTAGTCATTTGGCGAAGATGCTGCAAGCTGGCTTCACTATGGCATAGCTATGAGGCTAGCACTTGACATGGGCATCAACCTAGACTTTGGTGTTTATCAGCAGCTCAATGCCGGCTCGCCTCTATCAATGGAAGAGGTTTCCATTCGTAGGCAGATCCACTGGACCATATACTGCATGGACAAGCTGTCAGCGATGTACACCGGAAGGACCTGTACTTACCTGGTAAGTATATGGCGGGCAGGAAGACCACAAGGCGGTCTACTGACAAGAGGTGTAGGATTTCCAGGCCGCCGTAGGGCTTCCTCGGGTCAAACCACCTCTGACAAGTGATCAATCGACTCCAGATCGATATCTGCAACACTCTCAGGTACTTTATTATCAAGTCACTTTATGTCAGATCATGGAGACCATTCTCAACTCCTTGTAAGTGATCAATAGCCCTCCAGTCTTGAACTGCCAGCTTCAATTCTCCAAGAGAATCAACCCATCCTACATTACTTGCTCACTTCATCCAGATATGCCCCGAAAACTGGCCTTAGCCGCGAACAGAGGGGCTCATTTTGGTCTTCATGCGTTCTGAAGTTGAAGAATTGGCGTTACGACCTCCCCGACGAGATGCTCCTCGAACGCTATACCCCGTCACTGCCTCCCGCTCTCTTCACCATCCACATGATCTACCACACGGCACACATTCAACTGACCAAACCCTTTCTCGCCAAGCCTAATACTGAAAACGACGGAGCCAGCCGCAGTGAGGAGGAGCCAAGCATTACAAAGGCTAGACAGATGAGCTACCTGGCCGCATTGGGCGTATGTCAGGTAGCGACTAAATATCGGAGCACATTTGGCAGTTTTCGTAGGAGCGCCATTACCGCGACGCATTGCACACTCTCTGCAGCTCTAATATTTCTAAACGCTTTATCTTCTCGATGGGAAGATGTGGACCCGTCCAGCAACCAGAAGTATATCGATCTCTGCCTATTTGTACTGGATGAACTCGGAACAGCGTGGAACCCGGCCAAGCGTATGCGCCAGAGCCTTCATGCGCTATACGAACATGTTCAAGAGCAGAGAATGGAAGGTATCGCATCTGAGAAAGACGCGGCGGGCAGCCAGAGTCAGGCTGTCGCCGGTCAAACTCTATCCGAACTTGCGCATGCTGAAGCAGACTTGGCGGCGGATGTACCCAGTGATGAGGGTCAGTACGGGTTATACAGCGTGGATAGCTATTTGGTAAGCATTCCTGTGACTACCAGTAGTACTCTTTTGGTCTACAGCTTGAACGATAAAATGCTCTCAAGCGCTGGAAACATCCTACTTACAGCATGCCCAGGATGACCCATTGGCTGAGCAGCTCTTCCAAGAATTCTCTGCAAACGACGCCTTTCCTGCTGTCAGCTATGACGTGGATCCTGGCTGGAAATGGCTGCCAGATGACTACGGTCTTTTTGGGTCTGTAAGTCGAGAGCATTTCCAGAATTCGTGGTGACACGGTCTTGTTAATACGAGTGACACATCTCTGCTAAGCGGGTTTCTGACGTCAATATCGTATCTGTGCCTGGGACACCAGCGGACCTTTGTAACACAAATTCGTGTAGAAAAATGCATCAACTCTTCGTCTAATTGGCGACCCTATCTAATTCATCTCTGACGTATTTTCTGCTTTCCAAGATTCCACCGACGGGCTGTTGATACGGGCTACGACCTTGCCTTGGTTCTGGCTTGCAACAAATTTGCTCATATACCGAGGGACATCTTTGAGCTGTATCTCGGTGATTGTTGGGGTGATTTTTCCAGATCGGATGAGCTCCATGACTTGGTATGACTCTCTTTCATCGCCCATCAAGGAGCCGTGAATGGATAACTGTCGTACAACGATCTCTTCAACGTCGAATTTGACTGAACCGCTTGGAGCACTATTTGTTAATTAGCAGAGATTCTCTTGGCCATGATGGCTCCTGTGAAAGCCAGAATGCTCAGAGCAATGATGACGACAACTTACCCAACGAGGATGATTGATCCTCCGTCGCAGATAAACGAAGGTAGGCTTTGGAAAGAACCGATTGTGCTGCTAGCAGCGATCACTGCATTCGCCTTGCGAGGATATAGGTCGTCTCCCCTCAGCTGTGTACAGGCCGAGATGATTTGCGAGCTCAAGTCGGGCTGGCCTGCCAGGCAATCGTCTCCTCCCAGAGGTATGAATCTATCGCTGGCTTCAGCTACGGTTGGGAAATCTCCCTTCATAGCCAAGTCAACCCCAATGACTCGAGCCCTGAAGACTTTCTTGGCCATCAGGCCAGCAAGGTAGCCGATCTGTCCGCCAATACCGAGTATCACCACCACGTCTCCCGGTCTGAGGGCCGCCTTCTTGAGGGCCTTTAGCGCTGCAGACCCTGAGCACAGCGCCGCCGTGAATATCGCGGGCGTGGGGTGTGCAAACACCCAGTCGGGCAGCCAGGTGAGCATCTTGTACGGAACGTTGAGAAACTGTCGGTAGGTGCCGTTTACATATGTGGGGAAGCACAGCTGCTTAGGACAGCTCTCTGGTACGCCCCTGAGGCAGTAGCAGCAGGTGCCGCAGGAGTGTGCGAGGAATCTCATCCCGACGGCTCGGCCTATCTGCGAGGGGTCATGGCTCAGGACGATGTGGCCGATGCCTTCGTGGCCGGCAATGTGGTTGCGGCTGCAAGCGACGGGGTCTCGTCCGGTTGAAAAGTAAATATCCTACGGTTGATTCAGGGTTTAGTTTCGTACCCAGGAGGCTACAGCTGGTGTGCCTGTGGCTAAGGTGGATCATAGCTACACTTACACTTGCACAGAGACCCGACCATTCCACTTTCACAGTGGCTTCGCCAGGCCGCGGGTTATCAACTGGGATTTCTTGGAGTTGCAAGTTGAGTTTTGGCTGAACATGGGGTGTAACAATTGCATACTGCGTTTTTGGCATAGCGGTCGCAGAATAGAGTGTCGGTTCTGGTCTGCCAGATACTCCTACCTTAGAGCCTATGGACGCATCATGGGTTGCAGGCCCTTGCTGGCGGGACTCGTCTTGGGTGGAATAAACTACAGGAGTATCGCTCTCATTTTGCCTAAAGTCGAAGTATCTGAAAGAGGCCACTTCGTGCCGACGGCTGGGAAGAGCTTCCAACATGACAACGACGGAGACGAGGGTGATGGAGAAAAAGATGAGAGAAAGACTGCTGCGGCAGCCGCAGAGGGGAAACACCGGTTGCACTTTTCTGCGGCACTTATGTATAGCCCTAGGGGATCAGACAAGTCCCCTCGCGCAAGTGTTTGACAGTACTGGGAAGGGGTCATGCTGAGGCGACTTGGGGAAGTGGAAAGTATTTTCCAGCAGCGGAGCGATAAAGGCGACCATGGCGCTATTATAAAACATCTAGATCTCGGGGGAAGGGTGCCGGAATTTATTTTCCTCTCGACCCTGCATTCTCGTGAAGTCGCATCGCGTAGACTAGGGCTCTTGGCATGGCCAACAGCACACCATCCGGGGTTGCAAAAGGCATGTGCGTCATCCTGGAGCTCACGGCTCTCGAGTGATTTCTTTTTGATGAACCTTTCAATTATGAGTTTCCATCTTCAGACATTCATTTGGTGCATTTCTGACCAACTCCAAGCTCCCTATTCCCTGTCCACGCCCAGCTCTTACTCATGTCGTCACAACCACAGCACTTCCTACTTGATACGCCTATTGGCAATTTCCTGCGGATGGTGGCAGACAGACAATGGTTGAGGTTTCCTGAAGAGCAAGACGACTTTCAATGCCCCTTATCTCGAGCCATCCAAGACTCCCCTGGCCCCCAGCCTCCGCCAATCGACGACAAGGACCGCAAAGACAGCGCGTTCAGCAAACCCCGAGGTCACCAGGAATCGCCGGGCCATACCTCCACTGTTGAAGAGACGTCTATCGAGTCTCTAGACCAAATACCAAGATTCGAGTGCTTTCCTAGTCGTGCCAACGAGGAACGATACGCTGGGAGGGGGGCTATTGATGAAGAAAAGCAGAGCCCTTTGAACGGAACATGCTCCCCTGGCGGAAACTGCATAGTCGTCGATTGGTACGGAGCGAATGACCTAGCGAACCCAAAGAACTGGCCCGTGTACAAAAAAGTCCTCATCTTTGCCGTCGTTAACTATAGCAACATGGTGGTGTACATGTCTTCCTCGATCTACGCGGCTTCCCAGAAAGGCATGATGGAGGAGTTCGGTGTTTCTTCCACGGTTGCCAATCTCGGGCTGGCTCTCTTCGTGCTTGGCTACGGATTCGGGCCCATGATCATGTCTCCATTGTCAGATGTGGACCATATCGGACGAAACCCGCCCTATCTGATCTCCAGCACTATATTTCTCCTGCTGTCTGTGTTGACAGCAACAGTGGGCAACGTCGAGGGCCTGATGGTGCTTAGATTTCTTCAGGGGTTCTTTGGATCCCCGATGCTGGCGTCCGGGGGTGCTTCCTTGGGCGATGTCTGCAATGAGAACGTCCAGCCACTTGCTCTCTACACTTGGGCTTGTTCGGGATTCGCTGCTGCTTCTATCGCCCCCATATTGTCGAGCTTCACAGTACCGATCATGGGATGGAGATGGTCTCTCTGGGAGATTGTGATACTAAACGCACCTACGGTGTTGATGATGGCAAGTTGGCCTAAAAACTTCTGCAGAGCTGCAAGACTAACAAACATTGCCTATAGTTGATGACACCGGAAACGTCGAGAGGCAAGATCCTATACATGCGGCTGCAGAGATTACAGAAACGATACCCAGAGATTCACATGATCACCGCTGTGCAAGCCAAGAGCCCAAGGCCCACCACGTCTGGACTTTGGAACGCCGTTGTCGTCCCGGTGCAGATGCATCTTCTCGACCCTTCCATCACATTCACCAGCGTCTATTCTGGCTTCGTCTACGGCATATACTACTCCTTCTTCGAAGTCCTCCCGTTCGTCTACGAAGGCATATACCAACTCCCTTCAGACATGGCCAGCCTAGCCTACCTCTCGGTGGTGGTGGGTGTGTTTCTCATCGGCATCCCCTACTGCGGCTACATCTACTTCTACGCTTTACCCCTCTCACAGAAGGGTGTCTCCATTGCACCCGAGCAGCGCCTGATTCCAGCTCTCTTCTCGTCCTTTTTGGTCCCGGGCGGCCTGTTCTTGTTCGCTTGGACTTCGAGACCCAGCATCCATTGGATGGTGCCCACGCTAGGTATCGCCATGACGTCTGCCGGCATAGTAATCATCATCCAGTGCATTTTTGTGTACCTTTCCCTCAGCTACCCGCTGTATGCAGCCTCTGCGTTCGGCGGAAACAGCTTCCTTCGGTCTCTGATAGCATTTGCGGCGTTGCTCTGGTCGAAGCCCCTCTACCACGAGCTCGGCGTTGGTGGCGGATCATCACTGCTTGGGGGTCTCTGTATCTTTGGCGTTGCTGGTATCTTCATCCTTTATCGATACGGCGCAGCATTGAGAATGAAAAGCAGCTTTACCGGTTAGGTTAGATAGAGTAATCTTGATATAGGCTATACAAGTCTTCACACACTTCAACACCTGTGAGGCATTTTCCAAATGGAGAGCCCGCTAAGGGCGATGTGCTCGTGAAATGCAACGCTGGCTGGCTTATGAATCCCTCCGTAGCTCCAGCGTATCATTAGTAGTTCATTCACGCGAGGAGCGGGCAACCTTACAGGCCCCTGGTGTCTGACTGGGTCTTCTCTGTCGACATGGACGGAGCTGATCTCAGAGGTGGAAACTATTTTCCGCCTACACTGGCGTACAGCCTCCACTCTGTTTGATTCGTAAACATGACCCAACAATTCCCTTATTATATATCGCCTGTGCTACTCGTCAAGTCTAGAGACCCCGAGGCAGAGATAACACACGCCATTCGTCTTAGTCTTGCCATTAAGAGCCGTCAATCAGCAGCGTATAATGCAGTCCGACCTAGTTCTCAACACGTTTCGGTTCAACCCTGGTCGAATTACCGAAAGCACTCGCAACGTCTGCAATCACATCCGTGAGAATGACGCAGCAACGCAGCATGTTTTTGTAGGGCAAACCTTTCCCCCTCTACTCTAGAAATACATTATCTGATGACGCTTCTTCAAAGGGCAAAGCCGCCGAGATGCGGGCATTGGAGCCGCCTCCAGCACCGCATGCCGAATTTATCCAGATCCAATCCAGGGAACCCGGGCGCCTGATCCCTTGCCGCATCGTACGTCCAGAGGCGGAGGATGCTGTCGGCGTGTTTTTGCATTTCCATGGTGGTGGAATGTCGATCGGAACGCATTACATGTCAGTGTTTACCACGATCCATCCTCAGTAATCAGGTAGACGTCTAATGCATAAGCCTTCACAGGAATGACACCTATCTCCAGCGACTCGCCAACGCGTCACGCTGCGTGACCTTGTCTGTAGGCTACCGCCTAGCACCGGAACACCCATTCCCCGAGGGAATCCAAGACTGCTTTGACGTAGCAGATGAGCTTGTCAAGAATGGCACCAAGGAGTTTGGGGGGTCACTCAACTTCATAGGAGGAGAGGTAAGAGGCCGTTTGTCACCACGCCTGCACGAGGTTAGCTAACATGGGCTGTTCCCGATAGTCGGCCGGCGCATACCTCACGGTGCAGACCTTCTTCCACCTCGCCGGGGTGAATTCCAAATTGGAGACGCTGAAAGGACTTGTCCTCTCTTATGGCGCCTGGTCCTGGTCTTGGCTCCCTTCAGCCTACATGCCTGACACGGTATGTCTGGACCCTGGTAAACTGGTAACATTCAGTGATCTCTTCATCGCAGAGGGAGCCAACAATTTGCCGTCCTTGTGCGACGCATTTGAGAGTGAATATGGGACTCTTGCAAGCAAGGAAACCTGTTTCGACCACGACCTCAAGCGCCCAGCCGTCTCGCCCCTCTACCGGGTCTTGACTCAACTAAGGGGTCGCCTACCCCCGGCTCTGTTTCTCTGCGGTACAGCCGATCCATTGATAGACGATACCATTCTGCTTTCCGCGCATTGGCAGATGGCTGAAGGCCAGGCCACGGTTCGGTTTATCCCGGGCGCTCCCCACGCCTTTGTGGAGCTACCTGTAGAACTTGGTGACTGCTGTGCCGAGGGTGCGGAACTCATTTCGCGGTTTCTGGAGGAGCTTCGCTGATAAGAACCTGCGACTCACTGATTGCGAGGCACCGAGTGAAATATTAAAGATTACACAGTTATTATTTTATCCTGGTGACCCTTGTGTTGCAATGTGATACTTCTCTTTCCAAGACTCCAACACTACTAGCGTCTGGGTAATGCTAGAGACTGTCGATAAGCGAGATGAAGACGTTGATGCCCTTGGATCTAGCGGGTCTTGCGGTTAAACCAAGTGGACATCGGCCCGAGACTGTACTGAGAGTGATGATGAGCCGTATTTAGTTCCCTAATCAGAATCTTGTGGTCTGCCGCTGTGAAGTCTGGAGTGAGCTCGTGCCCGAGGCGGTCACGACTGAAGCCCACAAGCGGCGGCACGATCTATCCAAGGCTCGTGTCAAACGGAACCGCTGCTCAATTGGGTGCATCAGACCATCACGGGGGAGCGCTCGTTCAAGTCTGCGAATCAAGACGGGGGATGGCTTGCTACTGGCGTCCGCTAGCCTCGCTCGGAAAGTATTTTCCGCTCCGCCTGGCCCCAAGTAGCATCGTACGAAGGCGACTAATTAGAGGATTCGGACCATCTCCTTATCTTCTGGGGTATCTTCTGGGGTATCTTTCTGGGGTAGTAAATCATCTGCACTCCGCATTCAGTACATAAAGTAAGCTCGCGTCGTCAAGGTCAGAACCTTTTTCACATCTCATCAATATCCAACCTTGAGACACCATATTACGATCTTCCTCTTTCTTTATCACCATGTCCAAGCCCAACACGCATCCTTCCCTCGACAAAACTCAGTCACTCGAGGAGACGACCGGTTCGGTGCATGTTGCCGAGAACCTGCACGCCCCTCAGACTTGGGGGGAGCGTTTCCTTGAGCTGAAGAAGTCATGGCGTGCGACCTTGGCATCCATCGCATGCTCAAGCTTGGCCGTGCTTATCGGTTACGACTTGACGCTCATTGGGTCCATCATCGCGAACCGCGAGTTTGTGATACAATTCGGACTCTACGATCAGGACCTCCAGGTGTGGACTCTTCCTGCTAGTCGACAGCTGGTATGGACCATATGCCAGTTTGTGGCTGCCATTGTCGGGGCTTTTATCGTCGGGACTCTCAACGACATGTTTGGTCGCAGAATCTGCTTCTTCCTCACTGTGGCGTAAGTCTATCAGCAATAGTCCCCCCTTATGCCTCGAGTTGTCAGCGGACTAATGATGATTTTCTTTCTCTTTCATCTAGGTTGACCATGATCGGAACCGTCACTGAGCTCTTCTCCCCTGACTGGAAAGTCTGGGTTGTAGCCAAGGTACTCTTCGGTCTGGCCATGGGTTTCATGCAGGGCAATACCCCGACGTATATCTCCGAGCTGGCACCAATCCATATCCGAGGCTTTCTTCTTTCCCTCTTTCAATTCTGGATTACCCTCGGCTCATTCCTCGCATCTTGCGTCTTGGAGGGGACGTCACACATCCAGGGGAGATGGTCATGGAAAGCGGCAGTGGTTTCTCAGTTCGGCCTCGGCCTCCTATCATTTGCCCTGTTCATCTTACTGGTGCCAGAATCACCATATTATCTGACCAGCAAGGCGCATTACGACACAGCCCTCAAGGCACTCCAGACTCTAAGGGGTCGAGAGAGCGGCTACTCTGCCGAGGCCGACCTGGAAGTCATCAAGACAACCATCTCCCACGAGCGAGAGAACTCGGCAGACCAAGCATCATTTTTCGACTGCTTCAAGGGCGTCGATCGCCGCCGCACTTTCCTGGCCTGCCTCCCGATGGTCATGCAGCAGTTTTCGGGGTTCCCTCTCTGCGGAAACTACTTGGCTTACTTCTTGAGCCTCTCGGGACTATCCAACGCCTTCCTGATTACAGTCATCTCGAACCTTTTATCCATTGTTGCCATCGGCGTTGCCTTCAGTCTAATTGAGCAAGTGGGAAGACGCCCTCAGCTCCTCTTTGGCATTTTCTTTATGGTTCCCTGCCTTATTGCAATCTCTATCTTGGGATGGGTCGGCGTCGGGACTGGTGGTAACGGTCGAGCCCTGGCAGCATTTAGTGTCATCTGGAATGTCCTCTACTTCCTCTCGCTCGGGGCCATCGGATGGACTATCGTCGGCGAGATCTCTTCTACGCGTCTGCGGGCCAAGACGACGGCTATCGCCACTGCTGTGAACGCCGTTATCAACATGGCCTGGGCTATTGCGATTCCTTACCTGATCAACGCGGACGAAGCTAACCTTGGCCCCAAGGCCGGTCTTATCTTCCTGGGGCCACTTGTCTTCCTCAGCTTCATCGCATTTTGGACCGTTCCCGAGACTAAGGGCAAGTCTTTCTCTGAACTTGATAACCTCTTTGAGATGCGTACACCGGCTCGCAAGTTCTAGAAGAGGGCTTGTTAAGGGAGAGACTGGGGTAGAAGGGTGTGCTTTCCTAGATGTTTCTCCATTTTTCGTCTCTGTGGCTTAGCTCTAGGAGTAAATATTCCAACCACGCCTCTCAGACGACCCGTATTGGCTTTTGATTTATTTGTTCCGTAGCTGCTGAACCTGTCCAAGTGCTTCTCGCTGCTGTAAGAGCAGGCTTAATAGTGTAATTGACACCAGTGCACGTACGAGGAAGTTTTCCTTGGAGCGGGGAGAACTACAGGAGGACGTGCCAGCGGACGGAAGACGCAACCCAGCATTTACAGACGAAAAAGTCAATCGGAGCTGCTGAATAGCGACGAGGAGATTCTTCCTTCCATAGTAGAACGAGGAGACACAGATAGCTACTCTTCATAGAACTAGACTTATTCTACATGTATCAAAAATAACACTTTCTTTTGACGGCTGAATGCGAACTATTCTAAGAGGCCGGCTTGGCCCGGTTGCTTCTGCAAAAATCTGGGCTTGTTAAGAGAGTCGGCTTTACCACCTTTGCTCAAAGGTATTTATGAACATGGAGCTAAGGAGGATCCCACAGGGGGATGTGACACGTTATTCCCTTGTGTGGTGTCTGGTCCTTTACTCCTCGTCCTGGGGAAATCTGGCACCCCCCTGTCGCCGGATCTCGTCCAGGATCTTCATGACACGAACCGTTTCAGACCACGGCATTCTATCGCTTTCAAGCTCACCGGCTAAAATGTGCGCCGCCGCAGCATCTGCCTCCCAATAGAAGCCCATACCCGGGTGCTCAAAGTCGTACCTTTTTGCCTTGAGACCCTGCTTCTTGGAATCCATCTATCCAGCGTCAGCAGGAGGTTTGGAAGTAAAAACCGTAAAGGAAGAAGGCACTGAAGGGCCTAAACCCTCAACTAAAATATGGCCGTGTGATCCTTCGATTCGACAGAAAGCATCGTCTGATTTCACCTCTAACGACGAGGTAATGATGCCTTGTCTCCCATCGGGATAAAGGAGAATTGCTGCGGTGGCGATGTCGATAGCGTCCTGCAAAGTCTGTGTTGCGACAATAGTAGGCGCCTGGGATTGATCCTTAGCCTCGGATTCGAGGCCAAGAAGCGCCCATGTCAGACTATAGATGCCTATATCTAACAGGCTACCAGCCCCGAGGGAAGGGTTTTTCAAGCGTGACCCATGTCCGAGAGACGCAATATCCATCTTTAATCCGAAATCGCTGAAGACTCTCTTGATATCCCCAATAAGCCCTTCTTTATGTAGGAGTTGCTGTAGACGTTCGACAAGTGGAAAATGACGAGTCCACATAGCTTCCATCACAAAGACGCCCTTAGCGCGAGCTGCCTCAAACACCTCTATGGCTTCTTTTGCAGTAATGGTAAACGCTTTCTCGCACAGAACGTTTTTGCCTGCAGCAATTGCATCCAGGCAGTTCTGCTTATGCAAGGCATGCGGTGTACCAATGTAAATAATATCGACCTCCGGGTCCCGATAGCATTCATGATAACTGCCGTAGATATTAGGGGTAAATCCTGGAAGGAACTTCGAGGCAAATGCCTGCCCTTTCTCGATGGACGATGACCCAATCGCCTGGACGATATGTCTGACAGGGGCATCGGGGCGTTCTAAGATAAGATCTTGAACAAAGTGGGACGATATCTGGCCAGTGGCGATAATGCCCCAGCGCAAGGACCGGAGATTGGCCATTCTTGTAGAGGACATGGAGAAAGTTTAATCGAAGTTAGGTGTGAACGATGGTAAGGTTTTCTCGGTCAGCGTTTCGTATCACGAAAACACCCGGGTATTAATATGTGTTATACTATAGTAACGACGTAGGGGATTTGGCTGCTTGATCGTTATGCTCTAGATGCCAAGACTCAGGCTGATGATCTGTTTTAGATTAGCTTCTTAGGTTTGGGGGTTCGTCGTCAGGGGGCGGAAAATAGGTTCCTGATGTGGTGCTACCTAGGGTTGTGGTTACGAAGGAAAATATATTCCACACGTAGCACACATGACGTCGTATTCCCAACCATCTTTGCGACAATTGATAGACGAATCCAACCTGGTTACGAGAAAGTACAAGATTACGCTTGCATGAATGCGACATTTCTTTAGCGTAATTATTGTCTCCCAACGGTACACTATAGAATAACCATAGATAATTTGATAGTGAAATAGTTGATTCAACAACAGACCACCAATTGCTTCCAAGCTGTTAGAATTCACGGCAAGTTGACTAAGCTGTTCAGCTGTCTCTCGCGCTGCCTTGAGCTGGCGGGCCGTTTGTTCGTGTATGCATCTAAGCATTTGGATATATGAAATCTTTACTTTAAGTGAACTTCATTGACCTTTGGTGCTGTGGCCAATCTACGCCGATCGGCGGCTCCATCGCTGCAACGCGGCGCAGCAATGCTGACGTCTGGGCGCATTATCGCAGCGATCTTGCAAGTGATTATAGTCATATCCTCCGTAATTGGCTTCATGTAGTTGAAGGTCATCTTCAACGTCTCCCATGATCGCAAATGGCCCCTCAAAAATACTCAAAATAATGTCATTTGTTCCCCTGACCCCTCCAAGTGTCGATATCGGCGATAGAGTCAACCAATTTCAACTGTGTCCTTTGCTCCTGTGGCTGACAGAGATGTCATCAAAAAAAAAAAATTGAAGAGTCAACCAATCTCTTGGGGCTTGTTCCATGTAACGGGGAACGTCTTTCCTCGTCAGCAGCACGTTTTACATCAATGTATTTGACTCTGAACTACATGGTATGAACAAAGCTAATCTCAGAAGGAGTGCTAATACTTCCAACGGGTACGGCGCTGAGTGAATTCGTTCCGAGCAAGATCTCGAACTCGGAACCCCCCCTAATGATCCACTTTGCGTCTGCAGGACTATACGCAGCCAACCCGTAGGCATCTATCTTGATCTGGACATGGGCTGATTCACCAGGCTTGATAGATTCTGTTTTTACAAACCCGCAGATCTGCTTGCTGGGCCGAGACAACCCGGACATCGATACCTCACGGCACCAGGCTATAAGAGTCTCCCGACCTGCGAGACCCTCGAGGTTCTGCACCTTGGCACTGAGCAACACGTGCGAGCCAGAGTACAGGTTAGATGGCTCAACCCGGGCATCAGACCACTCAAAGGTTGAATAAGATAGCCCGAAGCCAATGGGGAAGAGTGGCTTAATCTTGAGAAGATCCCACCACCTGTAGCCCACGTAGATACCCTCAGAGTAAAATGACTTTCCTTGCTCTCCGGGGAATGAGGAGTACGCTGGGCAATCTTCAATGCGGATAGGGAAAGTGACTGGGAGTCGGCCAGAGGGGTTAAAGTCGCCGAAAATAACGTCTGCCACAGCATTTCCGAGTTCTTGGCCCTGGTACCAGGCGTACAGCACAGCTGAAACTTCGTGGATCCAAGGTTCTAGCTTGATTGGCGTACCACCCTGGACCACGACCACCGTCTTTTTGCACACGGTCGAGACCTGACGGATGAGTCGTTCTTGTTCTCCGGGTAGTTCAAAGGTCGGGATATCTTGTCCCTCCGTCTCCCATTCACGGTCTCGGCCCACGACAATAACAGCGACATCGCTCTCCTTGGCAACCTGGGCAGCCTGTGCAGGGAAGTCGGCGTCACTGTATTCTTGATAGCCGATCCTGACGCCCTGGAACTTGTCTTCCATTGGATCCATGAGTGCACGGAGATCCGGGTCAAGTTGTCTGTCGTGCGAGTGCGCGTCGACCCTGATGTGATAGTCACGACCTGCTATGAGGTCAAGCTTGCAGATGGTCTCGTCGGAGCCGTAGGTAAAGAAGAGCGTAGACTTTTCAGTCCCGTCAAATGCAGCCAGAAGAAGGTCGTCGAGGTAGAACTTGGCTGGCCCGATGCTTGCGAACGAGACGGCATGCGGACCGGATGTCTTGGGTGTCAAGACCGTACGGAGGCGAAATGAGAAGTTGGTCTCGCCCGGCACTCCCTTTGGGGTGTTTCCAAAGGACATATAGTACAGGTCCTCGCTGGTCGTTGTTAGCAAAGCATATTTGAATAAGGGCTTAAGAAAACACTCACACAGCCGTTGTAGCGACTACGGGGCTTGTGAAGTCACGGCCCAAGAACCATTCGATTGACCCCCCCGGGGTGCCAGTGAGTGGGTTTCTTGCCAAAGAAGATGGCATAGTTGGCAAGTATCGATTGACCTTGGCTCCATCGTGATGCAAAATCTCAGTCGTAGTTCCGTCGAGCTTTGCCTTGATAGAATCGTGGATATTGGTCCAGTATGGTGCTTTGATGTATGAGCTGCCCCCACCACCAGCAACGACTCTCTTTGAGTTAGGACCGAGAATGGCGAGCTTCTTGATCCCTACCTTGGAGTTGAGGGGAAGAGCATTACCTTCATTCTTCAGCAAGACCACGCCTGAACTTGCGAACTTCAGCAACGCCTCCCTCTTCCGTGGTGAATCATCACAGAACTCGGCAGCATCCGAGGCGTCTTGAAACCTACCTGTCTTTTCCAATAGCTTGAGGATTCTTCTTACAGACAGCTCAAGCTGATGCAAGTCGACGTTGCCGTTTTCAGCCTCTAAGATGATCAGGTCTTCTGCGCGATGCGCCGGCGGGCCAGGCATCTCGAGGCTCAAGCCCGCGTTGATGGACTGGACACATGAGTGGGTTCCTCCCCAGTCACTCATAAATACGCCATCCCATCCCCACTCACCATATACTATGTCAGTGAGGAGCTCCTTCGACATGTCACAATAAGTGCCGTTGACCCGGTTATATGAGGTCATGAGGCACCAAGGATTCGCATCCCTGACCACCATTTGGAATGGAAGTAGGTATACTTCTCGCAAGGCTCTTGGGGGAATCTCCGCGCTGTACTTGAAGCGATCCGTTTCCTGGTCGTTTGCTGATGGCCAGCGACTGTTAGTAGACTGCGACCCAATGTCGTTCTGTCTCTTCTGCACTGACCAACAAAATGCTTCGGAGTTGCACCTATGCCCTGAGATTGAACGCCACGAACGTGCGCTGAAGCAAGCTTCCCGGTGAGAAATGGATCTTCGCTGAAGGATTCGAAATTGCGGCCGCCAAGAGGGTGTCTATGGATGCACATCGTAGGAGCCAAGCTCACCGAGGCCGACTTCGTTTTGCACTGCCATCGCTGCTTAGACTTGTCCCATAGTACCAGTGGGCAAAGAATACCAGTCAAACTTACTTCAGAAGCCAGGAGCTGGCCCACTTCAAAAAGCAACTCCTCATCCCAGGTGGCGCCGAGGCTTACACCGCAGGGGAGAAAAGCGGCCGGCACTCCCTCACCAAAAACCTCCCCTCGTGCGCCCGACGGTCCATCCGAAACCTATGATGGATTTCGTGGTAAGAATTCGATACAATTTACCACTTCTTGATTTCACTCACCTTGAGGTTTGGAATACCGAGTCTGGCAACTTCTGATGTGCGCCAAGTCGATGCGCCAGCAATCAGAGAGATTTTCTCACGAAGCGTCAGTTCTTGAATCAGTTGGTCAATGTTTGGGCGAGTCATGTTGAGCAAAGTTTATTCCTCAATAGAGAGAAGTGATTGAGAAGGAATTAATCTGAGAAACAAAATAGTAAAACGAGACAGGGGAAGAATATTTATAGATTAGTTTAATAAGGTGGGTGAATCGATGCACGGAGAGACGGAAAATATCTTCCGGCTCGGGCCAAAGTGAAGTGCTGTATGTAGTTACCCGTTGACTCATGTGGGCCAAGGTCCAGGCGAGCCAACCTAGAAGTAGTTAGTGGTTCTTTCCCAGGGTTTCTGGTTAATCGGTTTTAAAAGTTACATGTGCATCGGCGCCCCTGGCATCCCTGGCCACTTGAATCGGGCTGACCGTCCGGCAGCAGCTCCATGAACCCGGCGTAGAGATGTCATATAGTACACCAGCATAGCATGAGGACGACACTTGGTAATTTCAGAATGGGGGAGGTGGAGAGCCGCACCGGGCACTTGCATGATCATGACATAATGATCGTATTAGTACAAGTACTAAACGAGTAGATGTAAATAAAATGAGAGGCCATAGAATCGAAAATAGAGCATAGGGGCCACCATAAATGAGAGTGGTGCTCCTTTGTGCGCACTGTACAGTCCATCGTGTACTCATTCTGAGTATGAGTCGGCAGTTCCCCAAGTACCCGGAGGCATGCGAATACGAGCGCCTCAACCAATCATATAAACACACTGCACTGAGCCAGATCCAGCACACTGCTGACCAGAAGGGAGAGGTTAACTACTCCGCGGTAGTGTTTCGGGCAGCGTTGTAGGCACGTGAAGCGAACGAAGCCTCTGGGAGATATTCGTTGATCCACGCTGACACATTCGCTGCTCCAGGAGATGGGTTGCGCCAGTCTCGGAAAAGGTCCGCCAGAATGCTACTGGTTCCCACTAGGTGCACGCCTGCAGCCTGCAGGCGGGAGTTACTCACGTCCCTGATGAGCGGAGTCGTGGTCCCGGACGCTTCGACATTGGCCCAGACGCTGTAGCCTTGCTCCCTTAGTGAGAGAGCCAGAAATGTAGTACCTATTCAGATTAGATAGGGTTAGAAACAGGCCTTGAAGTACCTAGTTTAACCGACTGAACGGAATACTTACAGACATCAGTTGCAATGCCTCCAATGATGAACTGCGTTCGGCCGGTGTCTTGGATAGCCTTTCTCACATCAGGGCTATCCCAGGCATTGATCTCCCCTTGGCGCTGAATCACAGGAACGTCAGGATACAGGTCGAGGATCTCGTTAGGGATTGGGCCGTTCGGGCCTAGTATTGATTAGTTTGAAGCCGAAACAGGAGTTTTTTCTTTTCAACAATACCAGTTTGCACCGAGGTTGTAATAATGACAGGTAGATTAAACAACTTCCCAAGAGCTGCATGGGCGATGGTCTTCTTGAAAAATGGCTCTAGCTCAAAATCGCGAGCTACACCATACAATCCGATTTGATGGTCAACAATGAGCAGGACCTAATGGAATTAGCAGGCATGGAGTCAGGTGAATGCCAACATACCGAGTTGTTCTGATCAAGGCGTTCGAATGAGACGGCTATGTCGTGTTAGTTTCTACCATGACATGCTCCATGTTGGATAACGATACCATCAGCGTAAACGGCACTCAGACAACTGAGAACGGCGACAAGGCCGGACAATGCAGTAAACTTCACCATATTTCTGAATATGCTATCCAACAAAGATCAATCGAAGGTTTGTATTTGTGTAGAGGAATCTTAAGAGTGAGCCAAAACTGATGAGCTTAGGGGCTAGCGTCCTCTCTTTATAGAAAACAGATGAGCCCGGGGATGTCGTGGCAACTAACTACTCTTCACATTGATTTCTAATGTTCCTGGCAACTTCGAGAGGACGGCGACGAGCGTTTACACTTGCTGATGGGGTCAATGACATCTCATGCATACCAAACTAGCCGGTATTCCAGGGGGATCGTAAAGGGGGACCATTCAGAAAACAAACCGCCGAACACGGCTCGAACGGAAGCACCACCCATGAGATTGATGTCACGGCCACGCTCACCCCCATCCAAGTGCATTTTGTGAGGTGATATTAGACAGATGTCCGGTGACCTGTATCCAGGATTCGGAGCTTAATATCTGGGGTACACCATTATATGACCGGCAATATATCTCCCTCTAGGCTTAGCTGAATCACCAAGAATTCTTAGCGAGATGTATAACGTTGAAGCGACTGGGGGCGCATGCCGTGCGGGGTCCGCTGGAAGGGGCTTTATGCAACCACACCTGGCGATGCTCGATTGATAATCAAGGCAAGGGAAGAAGTCATCGCCGCCGACCATTGTTGTTTTCCTGGGCTTTGAAAAGTCCTGTGTTAAGCAAATGGCACCGAGTCAGCTACCCACCCCACCATAAAGTGAAGACCTCCAAACTCCCCGAAACAACCGAATGGTAACTCCGCGTGCTGTTGATATTAGCCTGAAACAGTGCTCTCGGCCGATGTTGTGGCCTGATATGGATATTGGATGTGCTCGTGGGTTTGCCAGTCGTATCTATCTCAAAGTTATTGTCTAGACTCTGGCTGATATCTCCCGAGCCGATTTTTGAGACAACAGCCATTTATTCATGGGCAATGAAACCTCGCGTTTGATCCAGAGGTCCTCAAAGCGAAATATGCCGAAGAACGGGAAAAGCATCTTCGAAATGACAGGGTTAACCAATATCTTTCCATCGAGGACAGTTTCAGCCATATGGAAATAGGCCGATACGTGAAGCGTGGGCCTCATGCAGAAACCAGTAGACATCCAGTGCGAGGTAATTATCATTTGTGGTGGCTATGGCGGCGAGTTAGTTGATTGCTGCCCGGCTGATGCAGCAAGGAATCAATGACTTTCGTATCATTGAAAAAAGGCGGTGATTTCGGTGGCACGTGGTATGTTTCCAACCTCCAAGATGATAATAATCGGCTCATGATGCTAAACATCCACCCAGATATTGGAATCGCTACTCGGGGGCACAGCGTGATATTTAGTCATACATCTACATGCCACTATTAGACGAGATAGGTTGCGTGCCGACTAAAAAATACTATTTGGTCGATAAACGCGTTGGGATCATCGGGACCGGTGCTACGGCCGTCCAAATCACACCACGTCTCAGCAAGTGGGCAAAGGAGCTGTTTGCGCTTCAACAGACCCCTTCATCCATCAACGTGTGCAACAGCAAGCCTACTGATGCAGAGTGGGTGCACTCTCTCCGCAAGGGTCAGCAGAGAAAACATATGAATAACTTCAATATTCTTGTTTACGGAGGCAAGCAGAACGAGGACATGATTCAGGATGGTTGGACCAATATCTTCAAACGTGGTACTATGAATGCCGCCAACGACTATAGTGGCGATGATTCTCCTGGCCTCGACGCACAAGCAAAACTTGCCGGCTTCCGAATGATGGAAGCCAATCGCTTCCAGATTACCCAAGTCGTTCGGGGCCCCGAAATCGCAGAGAAGCTCAAGCCATGGCATAATCAACTCTGCAAACGACTATGTTTCCATGACGAATATCTCAAGACTTTGAACCTTCCCAATGCCCGGCTTATCGACACAATGGGTAAAGGGATATCCAAAGTCTCCAAGGGCGGCATCGTAGCAAACGGCAAGGGATACCCACTCGAATGCATCATTTACGCCATAGGCTTTAATCTGGCGTCTATTTGGACCGAACGGTCCAGCATCGAGGTGTACGGACGAGGGTGGTGTACTCTTACTGAAAAGTGGAGTGGGTACATCGCAGCATTCTACGACTGGATCACGAGCGATTCTCCTAATTGCTTTTTTTTATATTTTTTTTTTCTCTCTGCTACACATGCTTAGGCAGCATTCAGTCCTAATTTCTTTTTGTCACGGATGAGAGAGCCATACACTTGACATATGCCATCGCCGAGTGTAAAAACGCAGCATGTCAACCGTTGGACCTACCGAGTCAGCAGAGGCTGCTTGGGTCCGAACTATTATCGAGAAAGGGGCATCGGGACTCGAATTCCACAAAAGGACCCCACTGAACCTCGATGAGTTCAATCGTACCTTTTGACCCCTGCCTTTGTGGTTCCCCTGTTGGGTAAAACTCTCAACACTCGGCTTAGCAATGATTGGCATGCCCCGACCCTTGCCTCTCAGGTGGTTGGCTCTGGCGACGCTTGTGACCTTCGAGTAGGGCTGGGCTCTCGAGGTTAATCCCTTCTCAGACTCCATCGCGCGCGGAACAATACGTCATCACCGCGCGGCTGACTGAGGAGCTGGCGTTATCGCCGCCCATTTGTCCATAACCTCTTTGGCACTTTCTGAAATACCGGGGACACTTAGTGATTGCTTTGTAATGTAGGAGCGGGTGTGCCCGGTCATTAATGCCTATATCATGAAGTGCTCTGTGCTCATCAACCTCGACGGCCCAAGTGGTCAAACTTGGACTCAGCAGCAAACATTTACGATGGTAAGGCCATTATCATTGACTGGTAAAGTCATTGAAGTTCCCTTTGTCGACCCCATTGTGACCACGCATGCCAACAATTGTACATTCACATTAGGTCAGCTAACCCCGTAATGCAGGCTAGTAACGAGGGCGTCGATTGGAAGCGTCTGACCGACGAAAAGGGTCACTTCCAGCGCCCTGCCACGGTTATTCGAAATTTCATTTCAAGGGAGTCAGGCTCGAGATTTCCAGCTGAGCGAGGCAGGTATCATCTCTATGTGAGCTATGCTTGTCCATGGGTATGAATGAGAATCATAAACTTGCGCGAAGTGCCACTAAAAAGAAGGACAACGTAACAGGCGCATCGAGTTTTGATCGCCCGCAAGTTGAAGGGCTTGGAGGATATCATTTCCTTCTCGGCTGTCCACTGGCATCTTGACTTTCAGACCGGTGAGTTCCCGAGGCTCTCGCATAATCGTGCACAGTCCTCGATATGAACAGTAGGACTAACTGACAGCGAAGGATGGCGCTTTGCAACCCCAGCCGACACAGATGCCGAAGGCGAAAACGTCGTTCCAGATCCGCTGCATGACAACTTCACTCACCTACGCGAAGTATACTTTGAGACAGACCCAGACTATGCAGCAAGATTCTCCGTGCCGGTTCTATTTGACAAGATCCAGCAGGTCATTGTGAATAATGAAAGCAGCGAGATCCTGCGCATGTTTGGAACTGAGGTAAGAGGCCAAGTTCTTGATCATCTGATAGTATTCTCGAAGCGGCGTGGCTCCTTCTTTTTTCTTTCACTTGGAGAAGCGTTCTGATGTCTGACAAGCTCTTAGTTCGATGATCTGATCGAGGAAAAGTACCGGGCTGTCTCCTTGTACCCCCCAGAGCATCAGCATGAGATTGACGAGGCGCACGAATGGCAATATGACAACATCAACAATGGGGTTTACAGATGTGGATTTGCAAGTACACAGTATGCCTATGATCAAGATGTAATGGCATTGTTCGGGGCGCTGGATAGAGTCGAGGCTCATCTGGCTGCTAACCCGGGACCCTATTGGCTTGGCAATAACATATCTGAGATTGACATAAGACTGTGAGTATTACCAACACCCATATTTATTTCAGAGTATGGGACACTAAGCTCCTGTTTAACTTTGTAACTATCATCCGGTTTGATGTAAGTTGGCGTCTTCTTCTGATCCCTATGATGGGCCTCTACAACTCGCCACAGTACTTTGGCTGTTGCATATCCGACTGAATATTACGTCCCGATATCATGAAGATTTCTAACTGGGTTGATAGCCGGTCTATACATACCACTTCAAGTGCAACCTAAGGGATATTCGGTCTGGTTACCCCCATATTCACAAATGGCTCCGTACCCTCTACTGGGAAGTGCCGGCGTTTAAGGACACAACAAATTTCCTTCATATCAAGAATCATTACACTAGAAGTCATATTAATCTTAACCCATCCGCCATCACTGCGGCCGGGCCATCGCCAGACATCCTCGGGCCAGCCGAAGACGTTGCTGCAGCCAAGTTCGCCGCTCAACGACGACAGTAGTTATCTTGCGTCACAAAAACGATTAGGTCTTAAACTAGTGCCAATGTTCTAAACCTGCAAATCCAAAGGCGTTTGTAATATATAGTAGCCCAAGTGTATCAAGTGACAAGGCTTTCCAGCAATGATCTCTTCGTCGCATCACCGTACATGGGTGTTGTAGTCTCAGCACTTCCAGCGGCCCTAGCTATCTATCACCGCTGACAATGTAGCTTGTGTGCATCAAACACTGGTTTGGCACATTGCTAGTGGTGATGTGACTCTTGCTCCATGCAAAGCCCTGGGCCTCCTGCCAACACAAACCCGCCACGGCCATGTTTATCAAACAGGGACACCCAACTGCCAGTCGTTCTAAGGCCTCAAGAATCCGATGTTTTGACCTAGGCGTTTGATTGTTCATATACCCTGGATTACGCGGCAAGAGGCGTTGTTCACAACATTCAAAAACAGGAGGAGGCATTGGAACTGGGTGCGCGAGAGTTTGTGCTCCTAGAACAGTTGCCCTTGAAGAGGCCACTAGACGTTTTGGTTATAACAAGCCCCCGATACCCTGACTGGGAGAAGTAAGTTTCTCTACCCGATGCTATGAGCCCGAAATTTACAACAGTTTCAGGATCTTGGACCAACACCTACTGGCTCGATGCGGCGTTGTGGTGCCGCTAACGCCGTCTCCCGCCCCCCTTTCTCTACCGTGAGTCAAGGTTTTCTTCAATTATTAACCAACCAACCACAAGCTGACTTTTCCTAGCGCTGGTCCGATGTTATCCAACGGCTGGCGTGTTCACTTCAGCCTCGTGGCATCGAGAGCGGATCACGACGAGATGCTTCGATTTGCAGCAATCCATGGAATCAGGCCTCTTATTCAGACGTACAAGTTTGACGGAGCCTCAAGCATCGAAAAGGCTTTCAAAGATATTAGGGATGATAAAGTGAGGTATCGAGTGGTACTAGAGCTCTGAGATGTATTTAAGTCGTCGTGGTTGAGCCGATTGTAGGAATTAGGAAGTATCAAAATGGTCAGCTCCCCTCTCATTTCTCTAGCACCTTAGCTTAGTAAATGTGCATTCGATTATATCTTGATATACGTCGCAAAAGCTTTATCTATAGTAAGAAACAGGCTATCTGCTTCGGCGTTCTTATATGATTACTCCGACCCCTAGGCAGATCTTGAGCCTCTCAAGTCACATGCTGCAGAGCAATCAAAGTAAAATCTAAACGGCATTTTATTCACCCCCGTAATAAAAAATAATACATAGTTGTTAATACAACTCTAATTCATAAATTAACTTCCATTCAGGGAACACGACTAGTTCCAACGTCTTAGTCGATGACGTGCCGTCAGCCAGAGGCCCAGTTTCACCGATGGCGCCAATCCCGGGAGGATAGCGCAACGTATTTGAAATCCCAGCAATTCATCATACGACGGAAACTTAAGAACAGGCGTTACTCTTGAGCCTGTATAGATTCCATGAGGGCGGTTCATAGCAAGGGGCCAGATCTCGTCAAGGGGACTGCTCTGCGTGAAGAGTAGCGCCCCTACATCATCCCACAGGACACTTCCAAGCACTCTCACCTTCCCCTCGTAGTTAGGGCGCCTTCGATCCTCGGGTTTTGTTTCAGGATCAAAACCCGGGTCCACTGCTAGGACGAATTTTTCACCGCCGCTGACAGGGTCGAGGTACGATTTCACGACATCTTCGTCAATGACTAGAAACGCCTTCTCGTGGACACCACGAACGTCCTTTGAGTCAATATGTTTGCGGAAGTGCCTAGGGTCAGGTGTAAGATTACCAGAAATTGGACTCTTGAGGAAGGTCAACTTACTCCTTGGCAGCCTCGATATCCCCGTCAGGAATTTCAAGCTCTTGGCCATCCAGCCAGTGAATCTTGCAAGCAGCACGGACATCGTCAATGCCCTTCACACCTCTGCCCCAGTCGGAGATGTCCGACTCAAACTTGGCCTTGAAATCGTTCCATGCCTCAGAAGTGTGGCTATGGCACAGCCGATACGCGACGAAACCACATCCCCAATTGCCATGCCCCAAGTATGTCTTTGTCAAGTCCAACCAAGGATCGAGATCTAGTTCTTCGGGTACTCCACGCAGTTCTCTCCGGCATTGAGCCTGTGCGTCGAGCTGGCTATGGCACCGGATCAGGAGACGCGCGGGGTCATTACTCTCCAGCAGGGGAGTTATTTCTAATCTTTCATAGGCCTCGTATTCTTCTTTCCGTGTAAGATAAGCCAAACGCCCAGCGTAGTCGGCTTCCCGTTTCAAAAGGTGGACGGAACAGGAAATGGGCTTTTCACGGAAGCCTCCAAGGGGTGTCGAGCCCAGTGGTTTCTGAAGCGGTATGCTGCTACCTTTGTATCCTTCCATTGGTAGGAATATCGTATAATCGGCATGGGCGCCATTATCGACAAGGTCGTAAAGCTTGTTGGTCAAATACAATTGCACCTCGTCAGCTTCGCTTTCATGTGTTGGGTTGTGGAAGGCGAGCTGGTCTAGCACAGGTTGCCGAAGACGTTCGATGTGCTTAGTGACCCATCCATGGGCCATCTCGCACATGGAGTCAAAGTGAGATTTGGTATGCTGATGCCAGAGGGCGGTCAGCGAGATCTCCTCGAAATCGTCCCCGTCGGCCGCCAATCTTCGACGAGCGTTGATGGCTTCCTCGCAGTCGTGCAGGTCGTCCCAAATACGATTATAGACAGTCCGCATAGCTTTCTTCATCCAGCCTTCGTTCAGGTATTGGAAGACGTCGATGACGGCCACGATGTAACGACAAGCCATTGGAAAATTCCACTCATTGTCAAGATCCAGTTCCTTCCAGCGTCTTTCCGACAAGGGCGCGATACCCTCCCATAGTCTCTTCTTCATGGTGTAGAGTTCAGTAGCGATAGGTGGAAGTTGTTCGTCGTCCTTGGTGAGGTTAAGCCGGCTAGCCATCGACTTGACCGCGGCCTGCCCGAGATGATGATACTCAGCAGGCGCCCATTGAGAATATGGTTTGGTCATGTTGGTGAGTTCCTCCTTCGTGATCAGTGGCAGAATCGTTTTGCGGCCCTGGGGGAGATGGCCCCCTCTGGCGAAGGATAAAAAAGGGGCAATTATTTGAGGTTCCATCGGGATGTCTGAACTCCAAAGGACAATGTCTTTGAGGGGGTTTCGATTATAAAAGACTTTTTTGAGAATAGGGAGGGTGACATTCCCTCGTTTGACGGCTTCTTCCCTCCTAGAATGCCCAGGCGGAGACGGGTCAATCTCGGTAAGGGCCATGTCCAGGCGTAGCCAGAATTCAGATCGCGAATGGTCGGGTTCGTCAGACATAGTGGGCGATTTTTTTGATTTGTGGTTGAAATAAGAGTTTTGCGTGCGTATAATAGGCCAATATATAGCTCGGCCTCTGTAATCAACACGTCTTGGGGCTGCCGTGAGTAGAGTTGTAAGTATGCTCGTAACATTCAGGAGAATGAAAAAAGATTCCCTTTTGTCTATGCCTCGGGTTTTAATCGGTTCTTAATCCAGGCCCCTGGTCGACCCTCCCTTCACGTGGCGAATGAAAGAGGAAATGCCCGAGCGTGTGTGGACAACCAACAACCAACAACCTCGTATGTTTGCATTCACGCTTAACATGAAGCCCCACCGCTTCAACGTGAATTTTTCATGAGCCCGTATATTTAAATTGCTAGTACTTAGACTTCGTCGTCGATAGTAACAGGTTCCTCAAATAGAGATACTGAGCGTTTCCGGGCCTTCCGTAATAGCTCTTTGACCTTCGTTGACTCCTCAAATCTTCACAGTAACTGTCTTGGTGAAAGGAGCAGTGTGACTCGGCAGGTGGTTGCAATCTCGGTTCAGGGGTGTCTATGGGCCATAACCAGCCAACAGTTGCCACAACCATATTGCTTCCGTTAACCGATAGCTTGGCAAAAGAAATTGCACAAACACTATTTTCGTGCATCAATAACATGACCTATGTACAGCATTATGCTGCCTTCAATTTGCAGAGCGTTTGCGATCGCTGGGTGTCGATATGAAAACACAATCTCCACACATCACCGTCAACACAGACTCGACCATAATGCCCAAATGGACATCTGAGAGAGTATTTAAGTAGGGTACCTAGTATATGATGCAGCAATAGCAACGTCTTCAGTGGGGTGCACACGGCATTCACTTGTCACCTGGGTGGGTTCCATGCAACGCTTAATGACGATGGCTTTTGCAACTTAAGGCCACACCCTCTTATCTGGGAGTCGAAAGTGTGCGGCTTAGCAATATTGCTGCATTCATGAAGTCACACTTAGTACGAAGTACTCAAAGCTTGATTCGATGTGTTTCAAACTCATTCGCCTGGGGTTGATGGGTTTGACTTTAGGGTAGGCGAATGCTAGGGGGTTCTGTCCAACCGCGAGTCTCTTCCTTTTCTACGCTTCAAGTCACCTGAAACTAACTCTTGGTTAGATGACTGTTTATTCTTTCCTTTGTATCAACTACTAGTGCTCGATTTTGCCCTGTTTAGAGCTGGCTTGTCTCACTGTTGTGACTAGAGTCCCAAGTGAATCCGCCCCTCATTCTGGCAGCAAATACAGCACACATCCCTTCACATAGCTTCTTTACCACAGTAACCTGGGACAAACATGAAATTTCTATTCTTTACTGACAAAGCTGGATCTGTCCTTTTACTGCCCCTTTAATATCATAGGGCTGAGCCACATACTTCCTGCCCCTTGTCTCCGGGCTCGGGATCTTTCTAACGCGTTGCTGACCCAGTACCTTATTACAACCCCAATCGGCCTATTTTGTGTTAGAAATGAGTTGCTGGACTCCAAATGTTTCCGGAAACGTACCATTGGACTGCCCTGAGTCGCTGGCTGTGGACAAGTGTCGACCCACTTGACTTGTCCGATCTTGTTACCATTTTTATTCCCCTCGGTTGATTCTTGAGAAGATACGGTGACTATCCTGGCGTTTCTTCCCTTGAAATCTTGTCTGCCGGGATATTGGCGGTGGTACAGCTGAAGAGCCGTGACCTGGCCGCACATGGCTTGATTTCCACCTAGCCCGCCCAAATTTTGTGATGTAACCTTGGCAAGTTGGCAGAGTTTCAATGCTGAATAGACCGGCGTATGCTCTAGGTCGTACGAATAGGATCCGTATCCTTTTTGCGAAGAAGCCAAAATGACTTCATTGTCAAAGGCCAATGCAGTCATGGCGGAAGGCCTCGCGTCCTGACTGGCGCCGTAAGCCTTGATGGCATCAAGCATTTCGCCATAGGCATCCATGGCCAGCTGTAGTAGTTGACCATCGGAAAGTGATCTCGGAATCGACTTGATGTGGCTGGTGGTCACCCAATGGTGAGAGAGTGAGGATACACTCGGGGACTGGTTGGGCCATTTGTTCGTCACTAACGGCCAGTCGACCTTGACCTGTAGGTTGCCCGGAACCCGTGGCTCCGTTTCTGGGAGTACATATGGTTTCTTTGAGCTTTTGCCGGCCCCTAGCACATCGTCGATCAACGCGCAGAGCACGATAGAGACCAGCAAGGCCAAGGCTCGCGAGGCTGCGATGATCATGGTGAAGAGGCGGGGAGGCCCTGAGCTAGAGGTCTGCGTGAGGATTAGCAAGACTGAAACATGGTGGAATTGCTGCGATTGGAGTCTCGTACCGGAATCACGGGTTTCCATGCGCGATCACGACGAAAGAAATGTTTAATCTTTGAGGTGTCAGATTGTCAGATGGATCTCCGGTCGCATCTCAGCTGTCTCGGCTATTGCCTGGGTTTTGTTTACGGATTAGTCCGAACCAGGCCCCTGAAGGAGTGCCACTTGGCAATCTAGCAGGGGTCAAGGGGCCAGTTAGAAGCCGCCATTGAAGCCTCTATCAAAAGCCACAGGACTGATTCGTTCTAGCACAAGCGCACTTTGACGCGCCAGAGGCCTCGCGTTAAAAAGTCCAGGCCTCTGAGCCAGAGCAAACACCCCTGAGCTAGTCTTACTCAGGTCATTCCCCACCGTAGAGCAGATTCATGGACCAACAGCAGATTGGCGATAATCAAAGGTTAAAAATACACAATCGCGACTTGGCGCGGAGTGCCACGGCTGTCACGGCATCCCCAGCCCCTGGAACGCGGCCGACTCCCCTGTCTCCAAGGCTCTGGGCGCCCAAGGTGACATCTTTTGTTTGGCATTATTTGAACTTGCCGCGTGCTGAATTGGCGCTAATCCAATAGAGGGGATTCATCAAGGCTAGAGAAATGTCCAGCAAAGGCCAGCGTATTGCTTCATGGGAAATAGGGGTCTGCATTGACTTACTGTGGCTTTACTCAATCCTTTTAATTAGTTGATCCTTCGCTGTGGCGCACCAACATTGACAATATCCATCCTTCTAGAGCCTGCTCGCCTCCTGGCTCATCTATGGACGGACATTTGCTGGACAGGGGTGGGTGCCTCAGGCCGCCACCGATAGCTTAGCTCCAGCCACTGGCTCCACGCCTTGGTTGGTCCCAATGCATTCATCACACTCACTTCGCCCATTTTTCTCTTTGCCTACGTCTCTCGTTTGGCTTTTCAAGATGAGTCGCCTAGTATGGCATTGCCTGGCCATCACCGCGCTCATCCAACAGGCAACTCCTTTCCCGTCGTTCCCGAGCCTGGGGTCAATGCTGATCGACAGAGACGGAAATCAGTTTGATGACGTTGACTCGTGGGACGCCAGTGACCTTTCATACATCACGAAACTTGCTGCTATCGGAGATTCGTATTCGGCTGGAATTGGCGCTGGAAACAGGTTTGGAGACGTAAGCCAAGCATCAGATTCCCAGAGCGGTAAGTTTTATGCCTTGTTCGCAAACAAACAAGCATCTGACATGATCTTAGACTGGAGCTGTGGTCGACATGACAATGCCTATCCTAGTCTAGTCAACCAGGACGGCAGGCTTGGCGACAAGTCTAAGAGAAGATTTCAGTTCCAATCATGTTCTGGTGCAACCCTAGAAGATGTCAGGAAGCGGCAGATCCCTCACATTGACAAGGGTCAACAGGCCATTTTGGTCTCTGCTGGTAAGTTTGAGAGCTGACTTGCCGACAAATCCAATCTGACAGAATGTTAGGTGCAAATGATGCCGAGTTTGTCAACATTTTGAATCATTGCATCTATCAATGGGCTTCTTTCGACTCATCGGAAAAGGCATTCGATATACTGGGAAATTCCATTCCTGGGCTCCTCAAGGACTATCCACACCTGGCCGAGTTCCAAATCGAGGAGTTGACGCGAAGTTGTGACGAACAACTAGAGATTTCCCGGGAGCTCGTCGAGAGTGATGAATTTGGCCAGAAGATCGATGATGTGTTGAAGGAAGCCAAACGCAAGCTGGCACGCGAGTAGGTATCCTTTTCTGCCTTGCTTTCGCTGCAGTTGCTAACAGAATTGCCAGTGGTACTATCTACTATACTGGGTAACAAAAGGGCTATTCCTTGTTCCACAACTTGTGACTAAACGTTGATAGGTACGCCAGGTTTTTCTCGACAACCATGACCGAGTCGTGCAACAAGGTTTCCTGGTCGACATGGACTGAGGTTAGTTACGGCCTTGAAGAAACCAGCGGCTTGAATGCCATATCTAATATGCGTAGGAATCTCACGACTATGCAAGAAATACGGAGCATCTCACGGTTGATCTACGGACAAAGATTAATGACCTCGTGGATCTGATCAACGAGAAGTTGGTAGGACTTGCTTGACTGCGCCTTTTGGAGTTCTATCTGACATAGTTCCCTCACAGGCATCAGCCGTGGAGAAAGCTGGATCAAGCGTTCAGTTCGTTGATTATGACTCGATGGTGGGAGACATCGGAGGGCGATACTGCGAAGCCGGAGTTGATGAGAGGACATTAAAGAAAAGTACAAGGTATTACTTGCACGGCTGGATGAGACATGCCGAAAATGCTAACTTTGTCATAGGTTTGGCCTTATGTTTTACGAGCTCAACACCGCGGATCAAGCAGATAAGACGCCCTTTGACCGATCCGAGGACCGCCCCGGAAACAAGACCTTTTCTGGCTCCCAGAATGTCTTTGCTCATATTGCTCTTGCCATGGGCCCAGATGCAAAGTTTACTTTTGATCAGAACGCGAACGGCACTGCTTTGAGTGATTTTAACATCCCGACAGGAGATGATGACTCAAAATCATCCGATTGGGGATGGCGGATTCCCAACGTTCTGCCTGATGGGTAAGATTTCTCTTCATTTCTCATTGTGTGACAACGGCTAAAATGCAACTGCTAGATATGCTCGAACTTTCCATCCTCAGATTCTCCTCCACCAAATCATTGCTAATCGCATCGTCTTTGACATGATGAGCCAAAACAACAAGGTCAATGGCTACGGCGAGCTCCCGCTGGTCACCGAGATGGGCTCATGCCGCGCTGATTCCGGACCTACAACATACCTGACACATCAGGGAGCCAAAACGGGCGAGTTGATCCAGAATGGCGTCAAACTCCGAATTCTCCCTGTGGGCGATTCCATCACATATGGACGCCATGAAGCGGGTGATGGTGGCGATGGTAATGGCTACAGAGGAAGACTGAAGGAGCATCTTACGCGTAAGATCTATTGACTCGAATTGCTGCGTCGCAAAATCACTGACACCCTTGCTAGAAAACACTGTTGTCTTTGCCGGCGCAAGAGCGGCCGGAACCATGGAAAACGGAAACTTTGTGAGCACTGATGCATATCCCCTATCAGATGGATGGCTAACTATGAATTAGGCTGCTTGGCCGGGAAAGACGATCCAGTTCATGGCAGATCATGTTGATCCTTCTCTACTGCACCGCCCTAACCTCATTCTTCTCCACGCGGGTACAAATGATCTGGAAGACAGAGCCCGGTACTCGACAGAAGGAAACGACCCTCAGGGGATGGCAGATCGTCTGGGTGCTCTGATCGACCAGATGTTTGAGGCATGCCCCGACGCCGTGATGCTTGTGGCAATGATTTTGCCGACTTGTGACCCCCACAAGTCAGCCAACCATGAGGCATTCATCAGCATGATTCCCAGCCTTGTCAAGGAGCGCAGACTACGAGGCAGACGTATCCTTGCTGTCGACTTCACCGATTTCCCGCTTGATCAACTATACGACTGCATTCATCCAAAGCCCGATGGTTATCACAAGATGGGTGACTGGTGGTACGACTACCTTACTCAAATTCCCCCGTCGTGGGTTACGGAACCTATTGGGGATGATCCGGTCTTACCTAGTGGTGACGGCCATAGATACGGAGGAGTTAAAAAGCCCGCTCCCGCGCCCGAGCCCAGCAAGCCTGCTTCTGTCCCCTGAAATGGGCGTATCTGAGACACTGGATGATTGTGAGGGCTGAATAGACCATGTACAAAAGTCGTTTTGTTTGAAAGCCGCCAGTGAGGCTGCGCTGCATGTCAGGAAGACCAGGATCTGCATGTACACGAGGTATTGGCATAGGAGTTGTCAAGTCTTGCATGATTTGGCACGGCGATGCAGGCGTCTTTGGATTATCTTGGCATTGAGTATTAAGGGCATATACATTATCATAGATTAAGCAAGCTGTAGAATTGAAAACACTTGGCATCAACAATGCTGCGGCAGTATCTGCTGAGAGGATATAGAAATGTGAAGTAATCTGTTACCCGAGAAATACCCGTGGCGTCTTCAAGCCAGGCACCTGCGTGCGTTGCTTTGTCTACTCTCAAACACTGACATCGATCGATCTCTCATTCTCCCGGAGCTGCTTCGGTAGCTAATCTTTACTCTCATATTTCGCAACATGGAGGATGTGATTCGTCCTGGAGAACAGGCTACTCGAGCCATGTTCGAGCGAGGATACCGGACGTGGTCCAGGCTGTGCGAGTTGGCGTCGCAAGACCCAGCACTACCAATGAATTGCCTATCTCGCCTGGAAACTGCCTTTCCAAACCACCCCTACTTCCCCGAGAATCTCCTTGTCAACACTTTCAGCAATGCTGCTGTCACAAAGGGGAAAACTACATGGACCATCAGTGATGAGCATCTTCCTCCTTTCCAGGATGAAGTGCTTTTCCAAGTGGCTTGGAAGGAAAAGACCCCGGTAGTTCTAACATCGGATCCGCAACGTTCAATGACGGTTCTACCGGATATCTTTGGCACAGACAACAATCACATCCCAATATTAATGTTGGGTTGGTCGTATGTCCTCTCAGCGCGATGGGCCGAACTCATCCCGGGGGCATGCATCTCCCAAACCAATCAAGACGCCCCCAACGGCTCGGGGATGCCGGAAGTGGGCAAAGACCCTGTCCTAGTTAACATTGGCCAAGCTGAAGAAAGTGCTGCGAACTGGTGGAATTCCATCTTGTCGGAAGGAAGCGGTTGGGAAGCGGAATTCTGCAGCCCTAAGGGAGTTCTTCAGTCTCCGTGGACTGTCAAACTGGTTTCGGAACAGCGATTCGTCCTTTCATGCAATTCTCCGGACTCAAATTCAACCCTTGAGCAGGCTACAGTCTCTTCAACCGCTGCCCTTCGCTACTTATCTGATTATTGCGACCTCCACAATATTCATGATCAAAGTCAAGCAGCCCTCACAGCCGCCCTGTCGATTCCACTGGCCAAGTACGACAACAGGCAAATTGAACTTGCCATCCCTAAGCTTTCAAAAAAGTCAGACCAGAAGGATAAAGGACCTCTGGCCTCGTTGCTTACGATTGAGGCCCATCATCAATTTGACCGACTTCTAACGCTGAGCTGCAATCCGAGAGGTCTAAAAGCACTTCTGGACAGCATCTTTTTTGAACCTGACGTGGCATCCAACATCTGTGGGATCTGGCTACAGGGTTCATTCGCATTTCTGGATGCAGTCAAAGATCCACATCAACTATTGCGGACTTTGATAAAGCGTGACCCAGAACTCGGGTTTCTATGGGTTGGCGCCTTCCTGACCGGAACCCATAACCGTTCCCTCCGAGAAGCCCGAGGAGGTTGGTGGGCTATTGATCTCAGTGCAGCTGCATGGACAGGGACATTCGCATCATTCATTCAGGCCCCGGCGCTCTTGGAGACACTCGGTGAGGGAAAGATTTCTCGTGCTGACGAATGTCGTCTCTTGTATCTTACGCACGGGGTCGACTATACAACACCGCCGCTCTTCCCGTTTCCGCCATTCGGCTCCACTGCAATTGAAGACACGAATTTAGATGTCCACGAGCACGCGCTCTGTGGCATGCCTCACCGTCTCGCGTATGCATGCTTTACCTGGTCCTGCAACGATAGGAAAGAGGTACAGCAGTATTGCCAAGATCGTCTCAAGTCAAGTATCCTCCGCTCGAAAAATGGTCAAATTACAAATCATTGTCATGATCATATTGTTGACAACTATGAGGGGCTCGACTACGATGACCTCGACTCAGAAGACGAAAACTCAGAAGCTGTGACCCGAAATATCTTTACATGGCTTCGTGGTGAAGATGGGTTCCCCGTTGCGGAGAGAGCTATCCGCGAACATGAGTGGATTGATAATCTAGACTCGGACGACGATAGTCCAATCGAGGGGGATGTCCGCTCAACAGTGGGGGGGAATCTTCATGGGTGGATCGCGAGGGTATCAACACAGAGATCAAACTCAATCTGAGGGAATCCTGGGGGTGGATTGTGTTCAAGTAGCGAGATTTGGACCCTCTTCTGGGGCATGAGGTGTCTGATGCGAACGGGTTTATTCACTGGAAGCAGTTCAAATCGATACTATGTCTGACGCATTCTTTATCTGATAAAAAGGTGATGACTGCTTAATAATACCACATTGTTCCAGACCGTCGATGCATGCTCTCCCCTGGGTGCTACGAGGTATCCGTACAGAGAACTCGGGGGTTCGGGCACTAGAGAGAAAGATGAGCCTATCATCTGTCAGCAGAAAGATGGGACGGACATGACAGCATCATCTCGGGCTTTCAACGGAGCCCGAATATCCATCACAAAAAGTCTTATCACCATATGGCCACAGCCATCTCCCGAGCATCCCAAAAGAGGCGGTCATGATAGAAGACCTGCTATATCGCGAGACTGAGGGTCCTCCTAGCCCTCTCTGGGTAAAAGGATGCAATTCCTGAAACCTTAACCCCAGCGGTCAAAAGTCCGGGGTCCGATGAGCAAAGATCCCTGCAACGGTCGAGGCTTCCAGGGGCGCATAACAAGCATATTCACCCGCCAGGCTACTCCCAATCGGGGCGATATAGCCGCCAGGCACGAACTCCTGCAAGTGGTCTGTAATGCTGGAGATTCTGGCCTCATTTTCTACCAATAGTTCTTGATCCTTCGTAAAGGCAAGGTTGTTGTATTGCTGATCACCCGTGGTTGAACCCCGCTGCGGAGAGCAAGGACCAGCTCACGATCGATACTTATAGATGCTTTTCCCGCATCAAGACAGAGCTGTTTCTCCAAGGCCGCATCTTTTCTATCGCCCATCGTTGGTACATCCTCTACCATGGCCCGTGGTCTTGTCTCTCTTTGTGTTGGCGCCTTATTGGCTGCCTTGAATCCAGTTGCCGGAGCTTCAACTGTTGCACAGCCCGCCGACATCGTCCTTCGAAATGGAAACATCCACACCATGGGATCGTGCGATACCCCGGTATCGGCACTAGCTGTTCATGGTGGCAAGATCACTTATGTCGGAGCTGAGAACAAGATCAAGAATTACATCGGGAAGAAGACCAAGGTCGTAGATCTTAAGGGTCGCATGGCCATGCCTGGACTGGTTGATTCGCACATGCATCTCCTTTCTGGCGGTCTCTTCCTTCTCAAGTGCAACCTTAGTTACCAGACTCTGCCCATTGAGGACGTCATCAAGCACATTCAAGGATGTATTGATGGGGAGACCGGCAAGACCGACGATGACTGGCTTGAAGTTGTCAACATGGACTACGCCGGTCTCGTTGATAAGAGTGGCACAGTGGGCAAAGCTCAGCTGGACAAGATCAAAACCAAGCGCCCCATCATCGTTCGCTCTAGCGACTACCACACTGTCATCGCCAACTCTAGAGCGCTGGACCTTTCCAAGATCGATGCCAGCACGAAGGATCCCTCCAATGGCAAGATCGTCCGCCTTCCTGGCAGCAACGAGCCCTCCGGTGTCCTTCAGGACGATGCATACAACCTCTTGGTAGGCCCACCTCCCGCTACGGAGGAGGAGAACCTGGAAGCTGGCCGTGCTGCTCTTAAGCTCCTGCGCGAGGCCGGCATCACCACCTTCCAGGATGCCGCCGCGTCCGAGGAGCACCATACTGTCTTCAGGGCTCTCAAGAAAGAGGGAAACCTCACATCGCGAGCCTACTTTGACTGGCGAATTGAGGCCCCAAAGACTCTCGAAGATGTGCCTGCTCATGTGAAAGAAGTTGTGGCCCGCTTCAAGAAATACCACGACTCTACCCCCATCGGACCCAAGCCCACCACCAAATGGCAGGCTATCAAGGCCTTCATTGACGGCGTCATTACTTATCCCGCCAACACTGCGGCGCTCATTGAGCCCTACTTGCTTCCTGTCAACGGATCCGATGACAAGTGGGCGCCCGATCCGGATTCTCTGAACGATCCGTATTGGAAGCCCGAGATCCTCACCAAGACCCTTGAGCTTCTGTTCTTGGCAGGCATTGACGCTCAATTGCACGTCGACGGCGATCTTGCGGTCCGGATCGGTCTCAACGCAGCCGAGTCGTTCCGCAAGAAGCACCCGCGAAAGAGCTTCAAGCTGGGTCTCGCTCACGACGAGCTCTCCCACGAGAAGGATTGGCCAAGATTTGCCAAGCTTGGTGTTGACCCGATTGTCAGTTACCAATGGGCGCAGCTTGCCTCTTCGTACATTCCCGACACATTCAAGTCCATTGGCGATGATCGACTTGACAACCTGCAAGCCTGGGCTCAATTCGAGAAAGGCGGACGGCCTCTTGTGTACGGAAGTGACTGGCCAGTAAGTATTAGCCAAATTCTTGATGTTTTCGCATTCTAACAACCACAGATTGACCCCCTTGACGAATTCCTTGCTCTCAAGGTGGCCGTCACTCGCTCGGGAGACACAGAAAACCCCAACTCGCCCGCCAGCCAAGGACCACCATTTGTGGGCGTCTTCCCAGCAGGCGAGGGCATCTCCCGCAAGTCTGCCCTTCACTCAATCACCATCAACGGCGCTCGGTTCCTGCGGGCCGATAAGCAGATCGGCTCGCTCGAGACCGGCAAGCTGGCGGACATCATCGTTCTCGAAAAGAACTTCTTCAAGGTTCCCGACGAGGAGCTCGGTCGCCAGCGCGTTCTGCTCACCATGGTCGGTGGAGAGGTTCTTTACGTGGCTGATGGACAAGACTTTGGAGTCAAGGCCAAGTTCCCCAATGACGACAAGACCAGCACAAAGCTTGCCCGTCGCACCATCGGAGGCTTCGCCGCCAAGTCGCTCTCGGATGAGGGCAAGGCTAATGCAGCCAAGCTGAGGAAGAGGGGGGTCTGTGTGCACAAGCACTGATAACAAGTTAATTATGTCTGGGTCCTTTAGCCAGCGGCCAAGCCGAATGAGCTTGGACAAGACGTTATTTATGAATCCATCGTGTGCACCGCCTCTGTCGGAATTAAACAGTGATTCCTGTAGAAACTGAGTCATGCACAATCAATGATCTGGCCACTCCTTAATGAAGAAGCTGGAAGAAACCCAACAAATCCACCTGATGCCGTAGATGGGAATAGTTCCATGTAGGATGCAGCCACTTTGACCATGGCGTGCATTAGACCGTTCCCCTGCATAAAAATGGCTTTAATTACCCTTCCCTATCATTGGGCCATCTTATCGACAGACATTATTTCCGCAAATCAAGGGTTGTCCGCGCAGGATTCCGACATTCCAGTACGAGTCGCCGCATCGGTGGCGCCAACCTCGATATCGTTAGCAACGACAGTGATTAAGCTTAGAACGACATTGCCGGGGTAGCTCCCATTGGCAGCATGGCTCGGTTACTTCCCAGTGGCGTGCATATCTAACCATGCCTCCTTGGTTATCTGCCTGCTGTTCCGGGGGGACCCTTGAGCCCACCTGGTAACAGCATGCTCTTAACTTGCCTCTTCCCAGGGATTCGGTAACCTGCCATGTCCATCTTTTGCTGAAGGTTTCACCCTCCTCCAACTACAGAGCCTCTTTTCTTCTGGGGTGTCTTGTTGTTGGTTGACTTGATCTCCGACTCGGCCAAAATGGCTCCGGCGCCGTCGGGTGCTGCCGTGCTGGTAGGTGCTGGACGCCACCCCGGATCGCCGGGCGAGGCTCCTCTTTCGAGTTTTTTCCGGGGTGATCTGCGTGTTTGTGATGGGCACTGACATTCAACAACAGGGCACCATCTACACGCTCATCGTAGTGGCAGCTCTGGTCATCGCGGCGCGCATCTATCTTCGCATCGTCATTCAGAAGCGACGACTCTTGGTTAGCGATTTCATCATGATCTTAGCTTGGCTCTCAGCGGTGTCGACATCAGCTTTTGACATTCTACTCAAAAAACACGGAGCATTAGAGGCCCACATTAATTATACTCTCACCAACTACGAGGCAGACTCGGTAGAAGAGTTTGAGCATGTACTGAAGGTAGGTCACGGCTGTTTTTGGTGTTGACCTGTCCCCAGCGGGTTCCATCAACTTCGTATTGGAGACCCGAAGCTGACATGCTTTTAGATGATCTGGGCCTCAGTCATCCCATTCTTCACCACGTTCTACCTCTGCAAGGCTGCTCTCATTTCAGTCTACCTCCAACTATTCCCACCGTTCATGAAGAAGAGAAGGATGCTATTGTGGGCAACAATCATTTATTGTGTGGCTGCCTATATCGTGTCGATCGCACTGCAGCTGTTCCTCTGTTTCCCAATCGAAAGGAATTGGTACGTCGAATGCTCATTTTCCTTGATGATGATCGCTCTCGTTGTTACGGGTGGCCGTTACTGATAAGGGTCCCCAAGGTCAATCAAAGAGCCAGAGAAAATGTGCCCCGAAGATGATCTCAAGCTCGTTTTTGAGGTAGCTTGGGCTTTGCACTTCACCGGAAGTCTTGCTCGTAAGTCATACTCAGCTAGTTGTCTAACACTTGATGAAACTCACTTTGCCTTCAGTCTTTGCCCTCCCTTTCCTCATCCTACAAAACCTAAACATGCGGACCAAAACCAAGATTGGCGTCTATTGCGTCTTTCTTCTTGGCTTGATTGACATCGCCTTTTCTTTGACGCGATTCTTGACAGTCCTTCTAAGTCATGATGGGAGCTTTCGAGCCATCACAACAATCGGTATGTGATACCTAAAAAAAACATGCCCTCTGACACGTGAAGAGTAACTAACAAGACTAACCAACTTCAACAGAACTATGGAGCGCGTTGGATGTTTACGTCGGCCTCATCATTGCCTGTCTCCCCTCCCTCCGACCCTACCTCCGCCGCAACTTTGGAGCATCTTACCAATACGACTACAACGAGTCTGGAAGGGTGACAAAATCGACAGTTACTCGAAGGCCAGGCCAAAGTGGGTTCGAGGAGCTTGGCGAAGGTCCATACGCTGGACCATCAACAGGCGGGAGCCGAGCGATAGCGAGTCGTCATGCTGCAGAGTCGGCCGAGTTTAGCACCGATGGTGATGACGACAAGAAGAGCAACAGGAGTGACATTGAGCTCGTTAATATTAATGTTGGAGCTAATGGTAAAGAACGAGCCCATGCCTAAAACGCAGCTTAGATAGGCGTGTAAACTAGAGCATCTCGTGGAGACAAACGGCTAAACGCAAGAAATGCCACGAATGAAGACACGAGATAGAATAATTAGATAATGATGACAGTGCATCGAGGCGCCATTTCCAAGCAGATGTGCTAAACTGCATCGGTAGAAACGGGGCGCCATCCACTAATGAGGCAGATCGATGTGAGACATACAGTAGAAGTCAGGTTGCAGCTGGCGAAAACAAGGACATGCAGTCAGCATCTAATCTAAAATAAGGATGGGGTCAGTACTATATATGAAAGTTAGAACACTTTTAAATGCCCCGAATCATACTTGAGTCTTCTCTCCATCTGCCTAGGGCCTCACACTGAGTCGGCCCCGTCATCCGCAGGTACCAGACCCCGTCAACGCCATGGCCTCGAATCTCTCATCTGAGGAAATCATCTCCTCATTCGAGGCTATACTGGATTGTCAGGACTATGGCAAATGGGAAGAGCTTGAAGCCTACATCCAGCCAACTGTTGATATCGTTGGCGGCTCACAAAAGCGCGACGAGTTCATTGCCTTTCTTCGCTCCAGCGTTGAAGACGGAAACCGAAAGGCGGAGCTAGATAGCTATATCGTGGACCATGACTCCCAAGCTATAGCTGCCAGAATCATCAGAATCGAAAGCGCTCAAGATGGGAGTGCCACTTCCGAGTACCAGGAGGTCATCATGGCCTGGTTTGTTGATGGTCGTCTCTCAACCTTCAAAACGATACAAGACAATGATGCACGTCAAGCAAGGCAACCTAGCGCACCGAGAACTCCTGATGGAGTTGCACAGCGAGCGCCAACATCACTGGACCTTAGGGCACAATACCACCAGTACATCGCCAGCATGAATAACAGGACTATGGAAACCGAGCTGGGGAATTTTGTTCAACCCATTGTCACCCACAATGGCCGCACGATGACAACATCAGACTACATGAAACCAATCGGAAAGAGCCAGGAGGCAATTGAGTCAATAAAGCTGGAGCTAGAAGACATGCTGGTTGATAACCAATCGGGGACGGTTGCCGTTCGAATCAAGTTCACGGGTGTTTCAGTGGGAGTGTGGGGGAACGCGGGACCCAGTGGAAACCCTGTGACCTTTCATGAGCATGCCATCTATTGGTTTGAAGGGGGAAAGGTTTCATTTGTCTGGGCTGCTCTGGACTTTGATGAGTATCGACAGCAGGTGAGGGGGGGTGATTGATGGGGGGTTTGTCACGAGTCTCGACGACCTGATATTGTTTCGACTCCACTGTAAATCTTAAAATACTTCGAACACCCGTTAAGTTGCCAAGGCAAGGGACTTAACGGCTGAATATTCAGCCCGAAGGGTAAATACCGTCTACCTGCTATTAAACTCTTCTGGGAGGCCCCCTTTCGACTGTGGCGATAACCAGCTATCAGAACCACTTCAAACCTGTAGTAAGGGAGTTGACTGATAGACATAGGGGTCCCTCTACCACTTCCTTCTAGGCCTAATTAACTATATTCTGTATATCGAGTTCCCCCTTCCCTGTAGCTTATAGGAAAATGTCGTTTAGTCAATGTACCGTGGTGGATATGGCGGATCGATCAGTAGCTGAGCCTGACGGCGTTGTTGGTCAGCAAGGCGTATCTTTATCCCTGCTTTGTAGTTAGCCATAATCGCAGTACGTAGGAAACGCAGGCGTATAAACCTTCCGTGGGCGTGTGGTTATAGAGGCTGTGACGATCGAAAGGCGCCTCAAGCAGTAGGCCTTTCAGCGAGGTAACTCGTGAGACAGCAACATAACTAATACCGGCCTGGAAGTCGCGTGTAGCGAGGTTAGTAACTATCTGATCCTTCGTTAGACTCTGGCATTTGTGAATAGTGATAGCAAATGCCACGATTAGGGGAAACTGCTTGCGAGCGCAAGTCTCGTTGCCCACTAGGAAATCACGCGTGACTGGAAGGATGGGTACGATTTTCCTGCCCTCGTTAGTTGTTAGATACGGCGGTCCATCGTAGCTATCGAAATCCACCATAATAACGGCCGGAGGGTCTTCCCATGGTTTGGCGCCTTTATTCCAGGCGATATCGTATATCGTACCCTGGGCGCCATTAACCAGGCCAGCTGGTTGCCACAAATTAGTTGTGAGCATTACCCTGGCACCTCTAGCAATAGCAAACTTGTTGGATAGATTGCTAGCATGGTCGCTTGGCGCCTGCCCCGCGCCTTTGCCTAGGTTCTTTGCCTCCACCTGTATTGCCGGGGCGTTGAGGTGCACTATATGCTCGTAATTGTATTCGTTGACCCGGGCCTTCGTAGAATATACCCGCATAGCGGCCTTGAATCTGTTAACCTCGCTCTGCGTTAGCTTGGCCTGCACCCGACTGCTAAGGAGGTCCCAGGAGGGTATAGATAACTTGACTTCACGCAGTTCTTGCAAGGCCTGGCGGAACCGGGCCTGATTATCACTAGTCTGGCGCTGCACCGTGGTTAGGAAGACGGTGCGGTCAAATAGCCGGTAGGCCACCTGTCCTCTCCTTTCCAACGAAGATAGGCCAGTGCTGGCGGTTGAATATAGCGGCTTTTGTCGGACGGGTGGTAGCTGGAAGAAATCGCCCATAAGCAAGATGCTCACACCACCAAAGAACTCGAGGCTACGCTGTGGAAAGGCCTGTCGCAGGCGAGAATCAATTCGCCCGAGCTGCTTAAGTCCTAGCATGCTCTTTTCATCGATGACGAGGTACCTGACGTGCCGTAGGCGGGACTGAAGGGCAGCAGCGTTAGCTGGGCGAAGCTCGGTAAAGGCACTGCCTACTGGGAGACGGAGTAGCGAATGTATGGTGCTGCCCTGTATCTGGTTACTCGCAACGCCTGTTGGCGCTACGCGGCAAATAGGACTAGGATTGGGCAGGGCAGCCGCCTGAAGGTGGGAGGAAAGTACCTTGATAAGGAAGGACTTGCCCGTGCCACCGCCGCCGTCAACGTGGAGAAGGATTTGAGTAGGATTTTGCGCCTGGAAGTGACCTATGAAGGTATCGTACACTAACCGCTGTTGCGGGTTGAGCTGATCACGCCAGTGAGGGCCAAGGACCTCCACATCGTTGGCTATAGGGTTGCTAGCGATGAGGTCTTTCTAGTAGCTGTCTCGAAACTCTGAATAAGTGCCCACATGCTGTGTCTAGTCGTAATTGATATCGATATCGCGGCGGCCAAGTAGGTCAAGACCTTCCTGGGTAAGGGGGTTGTCAGGTAAAAGGGCGGCGAGACGGATCCAGTCTTCGTCATTAAATTCCTCCTCTACTGGCAGAGCCTCGTATTGATCCTCTTGAGGTTGTAATCGAACCTCTTTTGGCCGGCCGTAATGGTCATTACCATGACTGTGGTGCTGCTAATAATAGGAGAAGGCCTGAGCGTGAGAATTAAAACGATGGCCGTCAAATATGAGGAGCTCATCATGCCGACGATGTGGGTGGTTCAATGCCAGCTTTACGCGGCAGTACTCTGGCCACTGTTGGCCTTCTGGATCAGCCTGATAGCGAGGAAAGTAGACTAATACATGCGGCCTGCCGTTGATGTTGGCTGGCTGCTATTGCTTCCACTTGGAAGGGTCCCTAGAGTGGAAATTCCAGTATTTGAGAAAGGAAACATAGGTTAGGTCCTCTAGGGATTCGGGGCGTTGATAGTACTTTTCGTAGACGTTGGGGGCCTCGTTAACCTTATCGGCGTCAATCCGTAAAGAGCGGGAATGCATGTCAGGATTACGGCAATTAATGTGTAAGTAGGTTCGTGAGCCCTCTTGTAATGGCAGACTGAGGAGTAAGTGGCTAACCTCCTGCTTCGAGTAGTCTCGCTTAGCAATTAGCTGATTTAGGAGCTTTGACGTGAAGGAAATCAGCGGGTTGTGGTCCTTGACCCGGGGCATCAGGGCCTTCCCAATCTGGGCAAAAGACTCACTCTTCTTCTCCGACTTGGAGTAGTATTTAGCTGCGTAATCGATCACCTGCTGCAGGCTCGTGCAGGGTGAGACATCTGTATTGGCTAGCCACGTAACGGCAAGTAAGCGGTTGTAGTGGTTTATCTGGCTATTGTTCCGCTCGCCCCTAAAGCTCTAGTGCTTAGAATGAGGAACCTTTTCAAGGGAGGCTAGCAGGCGCTGCCCGTGAGGAAATCCAAAGCGGTACTCTACCTGCTTGGTATGCTTGCTGAGCTGCATATAGTAGTTGTTGCAGTGATGGCGCTGCACGCGGTTTACCACCATCGACAGGAACTGGACGGTAAGGGGATGTTCTAATAGATTACTGATCAAGGGATTCCCTTCCCTAGGTGCCTGCACCCTCTGAGGCTCTGGGTTGATAGCGGATACGTGATATCCCTAGATTCGGGCAAATCGCTCCCGGGACTGGCTGTCATCGGGATCTAAGTCCGGGTGGCCACTTAGCTAATATAGGCCGTGGTGGTGACTGGAACCCCTGCCCTGCCACTCGTAGCGACCCTAAAAGTCCGTTAGGTTGAACTTCTGCCTTAGGATAATAGTCCTAAAGAGCGTATATCGCTTATGGAAGTGATAAGCGGCAATGTGGGCGTTGTCTCGCAGCAGTTGCCGGGATAGAGCCATTCGCGCCGCCTCAGGAGCTGCTTTCTACTCCTGGAATCGAGGCATATGACGATATAGGGACTCCCAGTGGTAATTAGCCGCACTTGCTGTAACGAAAAGGCCAGGCCTGCCTAGATTGTAGGCACATGCCTCCAATTCCTTCCTTTGCTTATACCAATATGGACGGGTGCCCCTGATTATGGCGGCTTGGCGCGTGATCGACTGGATCAGGGCCTGAGCCTCTGGCTCGTTAGGCTTAGCCATCGCTTCCTCTATGTCAGCGCGCGTAAGGGGTTGACGGCGGCGGCCTTCGTGTTGCTTGACCGAGTAGTTGCTCCGCTTTCTGACCTGCGCACGTAATAGCGTGTTGAGGGCGACAAAAGGCCACGTCTTATGCCGGGCAAAACGTCCGTCTTGCCATCTCATCGCATGGGCAAGGTAGTCCTGGTACGTGACGCTCCGTAGGCGAGGCTCCACGAAGTCCGCCTTGCCGTCGGGGTAGAGGGTGGGGAACGCGAGCGTCAATAGCGGCTGGGAACGGTTGAATTCGTTGATAGGAGTCCTGCGAATGGAAGGTAGTGGCATCTGGTGTTGAGCCTGCGCGTTAGGCGGTATATGCTTAAGATCGGCTATACGCTTAGGGTCAGGGGTACTATGAAGCAATCGGGACTGCAGGGCGTTTAATTCGGTGTCTGTAACCTGCAAATCGGGGATCGCCGATGCATCTGCATCTGCTGGATCCTCTTCTATATCCTCCTCAACGGGACCTTGGGGGGCCTCGCCGTTAGGTATGTTAGCCACTTGGCTAGCAACGGAAGCAACTATGCTGCCGTCAAGAGGAAGCCGTTGCAAGCGATCCTGCCTCATAACGATATCGCGATAGCCCGGGTGGTGGCGCTGTAGGTAATGCAGCCAGGTCAACAGGCATGAGCGGCGTACCCGGAAATCGCGAGTAAACTGCTGCTGGAAGTGAGGGTCGCCCTCCATATTAGGAGGCCGCAGGAGCACGATATCTAGCTCTTTAGGTAGGACCGGGAGCTCTTCAAATAGCCTACTAACATTGCGAAGGAAGTGGACAATATGGCCGCGGTATTTATACTGAGAGCCACGTACCTGTAGGACCTTCACGTGTACGTGAACCCTAGCAATCAGCATCTCCTCAACCATCGTTAGGCTAGGTAGATTACCGGGGACTTCCCCGAAGTCAAGGCTATTCGCAGCGCTAAAGAAGTAGGGCTCGTCAGCGGTTCTCTCCCTATCTCGACTAATGTAGCGGCTGTAGACTCCTAAGCTGTTTTTCTTCATATCGAACCAATGCTCCCGGCAGCGAATGCAACTATGCATCTTGTCGTCATTCAGGGCAGTATAGAACTCCCGCATAAGCGCCCGATCCTCCTCACTAAGGGCAGGCAAATCAAGGTCCCCTGTAAAAGGTGGATTAACTATCTGATTAAACTGTCGTTCTTGAAGCTGTGGCCGTGGCCGTCGGTTCATGATGCCTTGATGTGTATAGCGGCCGCGGCGATGACCCTGTGGCAGTAATGAAGCAGTGGTAGGGAATGATTCCTGTGGCACAGGCGTGCCTAGCACAATAGGAGCCGTTGTGGTCGTGTCACTAGGAATCGGCGTGCCTAGAACTACTCTTGGCGGGCTTAAGGTGGGAGGGATAGGGAGGGCTCCTTCCGCTGCGCTTGAGGTAGATGGGCCCAGCAGAGGTCTAGGCAGTCCCTGGAGGACGGGCGCTAGACCACGGAATATAGCAGGCGTTGCAGGGGGTTGTGAGCTATTGATGGATACGAGCGCTTGCGCGTTTCGCCGTGGAGGCGTTAATTGAGCCTGAGAATCGGTCCTCTTCGTCGTTCTGCGCGGCGATAGCCTCGAGGCGATGTTCCGCATGGCGGCAACGGCGGCTCGGGATTCGGCCACTCGCTCCTTTTGGCGTGCCCTATAGCTACTATACTGTCTCGTAAGCCTCGCAGGGTCCTTGACGCTTCGAAACTCGACCTCGGGCAGGTCTTGCTTGCAAGTATGGCAGTTCCGAACTGCCTGGGGTATATTATTCTCCATCCGGCTGCATATATTGTTATCCGCCTCTTACCCATGCAGACGACCGGGTAGGTACCGCTTGGGCAGCGAGGGTTTGCTTAGATGTACCGTAGCGTGACAGATCTCGATATGGGAGGTTGTCTGTAGGGTGTTTTGATTAGGTTCGAACGATCAGGGAAGGAGGGGACACTTCACCGCTCGACCGGAGGCAGGTGATATGTGAGCCGAGATGTCGTTAGCAACCTCGTAAGGTTTGGTGGATAATAGTTTTGACGGCAAAGGGAAAGCAGACGCCATGTCGGTGCTCCGGCCAGAATCGCGCTTGGAGGCCGGAGTTGATTGAAGGACAACCTTAAAGCTCCTGGAGAGCTTGCCAAAAGCGTTACCTAGTCAACGATCGCGGGCTTTCCCATGTAGTGGCGTCGTTAGCGTTGACAACTGACCAATTCAAGCACGAGTTGAGCATAGACCATGCCAATTAGCCAATCAGAAAAAGTTTTATGCTCTTTTTTTCTGACTGAGTAAAACGCCCTTCGGGCTGAATGAATACTAGGCTTCACTGAAGAATTCATAACCGCATGAAGTAAGTGAGTCAGAAACAAGACGATATTTCACGGAAAATTCAGCTAAGTCTTGCTTCTTGAAGGACAAGTGTTTTTTAGAGTCACCACCTCGTGTAATGAGTTCTCAATCGAGAAATAGGTTACAATATCTTCAACTCACAACTGTTCTGTCGTCCCTATGAGCTTTCCTAGCCAACGCCTCTCTCACATACGACCATACCTGCTAGAGAATTCTGGATCCCGTCTGCTCTCCGTGCGACAAGCTGGCAAGGGGCGGATTAGTAGTTGGGTCGGTGACGACCAGCGAATACCCGCTGTTGTATGTTTTTGCATCTCATAATGGCGATGTGGTCATTATTTTTGCACACTCTCTAGTTGATGTTGATTGATCTGGCTAAGAATTACGATGTGACCCCTGCTCACTACCTTAGAAGAGATTCAGATGCTCGAGCTATGCAAGATGTAGCCTCCGATATGTGGAACAGTGTTCTGTGATGTAACGAGAAGCATAGGAAGTGGAGGGGAAGTATCCTCTGAGGAGCCAGGGACTTCAAGATAACTTGGGTTGTATTTCGCCCCGAAAGAAAAAATCAGGCTGCTTCGTTGCGGACCGAGTTTGCTGTGTTGTCACACAAATACCGTCCGGCACCAGCCAAGGCGGATAAAAACGGCAGGGTGAGACATCTTCTTAATCAATGTGACCGAAAATGCATTCTCATTGGTGTGGTATTGTGAGTGCATCGACTGTGGCTGCGCCCGTCATGCTGCACTTTCGCCCGGTTATAGAGGCAGGCATTTTCCAGGTCTGTTGCCGTTGCCCAATCACAGCCTACCGTTACCGCCCAATGGGCTCTACCGTATTGCCCCTTGCAAGGCGCTTCCAAGGTTGACTCGCTGGCTGGGCAGAAATCAGGCTGTGGCTCAGGCTCAAAAACACCTCGCTGATGGCACATCTGTTCCTGCTCATCCATCCTCAACGGCATCATGGCGGCACCTTCATCTAATGCTGTGAAGCATGCCTTTGATAGGGCGATCGAGAAGTTCAAAAAAGACCTCGAGAACCCCGACCTCTATCAGCAGATTCTTCAGACAACCAGCATAGACCAGGTCTACGATGCCACCGATCAGCTACAGAAGGAGCAGAGCAAGACCGGAAGCCTCCGGCACCTGTCCAAAATTGGGCCATTCTTAGGCAGGCTCAAAGAGTACGCCGATGCGGTGGACACTTTTGTGCAGGCAAAGCCCGACATCCTCGCCTTAATCTGGGGTCCGATAAAGCTCCTCCTGCAATGGGCGAATGTCTTGAAGCAGTCATTCGATGCAATTTCGGACACTCTTGAGGAGGTCGGGTCTCTGATGCCCGAATTTTGCGAGGTCACGAAGATATTCACCGACAGCGTTCCCCTGCAAGAGATACTCGTTCTCTTTTTCCGAGACATGCTCGACTTGTACATGATTGCCATCAAGTTCTTTAGCTTGACCCGTGGGTTTCTAATGGCTCTGGTGACCTGGCAGAGGAGAAAACTAACAGAAGGCGATCCAGGGCTCAAGTTCCTTTTTGAGGCGCTTTGGCCAAGGCGACGAGACGAGATAAAATTGGTCACAACACACATTGCCCGACGACGCGAGTTGATGCGGACCGAAGTTCGCCTTGAAGAGATTCGTGCCGCTGACGAGGCCAGACGGCGAGAACTCGAGCACTTCGCCAAGGTTGAGGAAGCTGCCATCAAGCAGGAATACTCTAATCTCCGTGCCCAGGTTTCTCCCAAGACTTACGATCATGAGCTGTACCTGCACCATGGAGCTGTCTGCGAGGGGACTGGAAAGTGGCTCTTTCGCGACCCGTCGTTCGAAGACTGGGTAGACCATTCCAAGGAAACAACCCGGATCCTCTGGCTCAAGGGGATCCCAGGAGCCGGTAGGTGCACATAAATATTGAGAGACCTATGGAAGTCCGAGTACTAACGTTGTTCCTCAGGCAAAACACTCCTTGCAAGCAGTGTGATTAGACACACCCAACCCCTCAGCCAGACACTCTTCGCTTTCCTCACCTACAAGGATACCAGCACAACTGCTTTGTCCATCTTCCACTCCTTGGTCTTTCAGCTCGCCTCGGATTCTCTCGCCCTGCAGACGAAGCTGCATCAATCTAGCCACAAAAACCTCAGAAACAGCCTCGAGGAGGCGGTTGATCTTCTTCAGTCACTGATCGAATGCGCAGGCGAGGTCTACGTGGTTATCGATGGCATCGACGAAGTCGACCTAGCTGAACGCTCGAGACTCTTGAAAGAATTCCTTAAGCTGGGAGACGCATGCAAGAAGTGTCGAATTCTTCTTAGTAGTCGCTCTGAGGACGACATCAGTACCGCCTTGCGAGGAAAGGTGGTGGATATCAAGGTGGACCAGCGAAATGCTGGGAGTATTCAGACATTCGTGAATCACCAGATGAAGGCTTGGTTTGATAAAAGAGGCTTCGACCCGGAGGTCCGTCACGAAATTGAGGGCTGGGCTGCACCATTGGCGTCCAACGCAAAAGGTAAGGGTTTCTAAATGTCCTCTAGAAGTTTCCTGTGGCAGGTCTGCTTCCAAGTCGTTCTCTGTTATTTTCTAATGATATGAGCTAACGGTTCTTGCCAGGCATGTTCTTGTACGTCAAGGTAGTCTTCAGCATGATTCACTCCTTGAACAATGTAAAAGCAATTCTCAATGAGCTGAGGGATCTTCCGAAGTCTTTGGACGAGGTGTAAGGATTCATTCAATTTTCAACTCTTCCCCTTTGCCTGACCCTTGTAATAGTTACGAAAGAATCCTCCAAAGAATAGAGACATCGACTGACAGGGCCTTCCATCACAATGCTCGTATGATCATAGGCTGGGTTAGTTGTGCACCTTCACCCATGACCAGGCATGAGTTAGAACAAACGTTGGTACTCAATCCGGGTCAACTTGATCAAGAGCCCAGAGTCAACTCAGTGCTCAATGTGGTCGAATTTTGCGGTCCAATTGTGGAAGTGATTGATGACTATGTGCAATTTGTTCACTTCACCGTCAAGGAGTAGGTTGCACCCAATCAGTCAAGGTAACAAGCTAAACTCTATTCTGTCCAGGTACATTGTTTTCAAAGAACAAATTGACGGCACCATCTCACTACCAGGCATGACCCTTAGCCTTGCTATACGCTGTATCTGCTACCTCTGCCAGGATCATCACGATTTGGAATCCATTGAGGAAGAAGAGATGGAAGACTACATACTTTCGGGAGCTTATCGACTTCACAATTTCGCATCTACGTACTGGTGGAGACTTATCAAACAATATCTGGCTCTATCTAAGTCGACCTCAATCCCCGAAAGCCTGATAGACCTGCTGCAACAACTTCGCGACACAAGATTAGCTGAAGGCTACCAACAGAGTGATCCAGAAGTGGACATGGACTTGAACACGAATGAGGTCATTCTAGCATTGGAGCCCACACAGCCTGACCTGGCAGAAATGCTTCGGAATGTCTTTCAATTCCAGAGGGATTGCTCAAAAGCTGACTATAGTCTCAAAAGTTGTGAGTACAGCGTGCCTCTGGGCGACCTGCCTTGCTGATGACGATTTCTAGCTGAACGATGGATTCATCTTGACCCACTCACCATCTCTCGAGTATCGATCGAATTACGCCAGCGATTCAACACCAGTCTCTACGAAACAAAGCACAAGAGGCAAATCATCGCGCACCATTATGGAGCCAATATCTTCAAATGTGGATTTCTGTGCTGCCGGTTCCACCGTCGTGGTTTTGACGTCGAATCCGATCGCCGATCCCATGAAAACAATCACGACAAGCCATGGAAATGTGACGTTCCTGGTTGTGAGTATGCGGAAATTGGATTCATCTCGAGACGAATGGCCGAGCACCATCTACAAAGTAGTCACTCGATGAACAAACATTCAAAGCTAGCCGAATTTGACAAGTCCAACGTGGACGAGATTCAGCCGCTTCTGTTCGACCTAGTTGCAGCCAACAAATTTGAGGCCGTGAAAGCCCTTTCGCCCTACATAGAGAAACTCACCAATTCAGTACGAAAGGAACTCGCAATCTCTGCCGCTTCAATGGGATCTCTTCCTTTGTTGCAGTTGTTTTTCACACCAGAGATTTTGTCCAAAGAGCTTTGCATCAGGGCCATAAAAAGTGGCAATGTCTCCTTATCAGAGATTCTACTCACCGATATACAAAAATGGCAAAAGGCGGTTTTTGACCGTTTTAGGTATAAAAGCACGTACGACACTGGCGCTGCGGAGGTGTTTGGTAGCATATTTGCCGCTGTGATCGAATCAGATTCACACAAGATCCATGGGTTTTGGAATCCAGTTCTCAATTCTGTTTTTGACACACCCGAGCTTCTGAAAGTGGCATGCCAGGGTTCCGTGTCGGAGCATGTCATAGGGGCAACTAAAAATGACGCGAGCAGAGAACAGTTTCTCATTACATTTTGGGAAAAGCACAATGCTCTGGGACGTATGAGCAACAGTCGAAGGCGAGATTCACTGGACCATGTTGCTTCAACCACATGCTCAATCAACTTGGCGCGATATCTCTTGGAGCATGGCTGCGAGGTGGACGGGAGGCGGGGTCCGAGTTTTTTGACTCCTTTGCATCGAGCGGCCCAGCATAACACGGCACAAGCAGCTCATTTTATGGAATTCCTGATGATGGAGGGTGCAGATCCAAATGCAAAGACTAGGACCAAATATCTCCGAAATGAGAAGGGAGCAGTGAGAATATCAGCCTGGCTTGGTGTTTCGTGGGATGATCTGGTTGAAAAAGTAACAAAGGAACGCCAACGGCAAGGGAAAGGAACTGATGAAAAGCGTGGTACCACGACTAGTCCGATGTAAATGAGAGCTCTATATGAGAAAATATGTTTGAGGTACGTCCGCCGCGATATTAAACAGAGCCTAGACAAAAACACATTCATACATCGTCCTCTACATCAAGATAACGCCTCAATGTCTACTTGTAATCAGGACCAGAATCTCTCTCTGAGACATTGACTCACCTTCCATCGCTCACTGCCTACTTCCTGCTGGGAATTGGCAGCGAAGTCCAGAGCCTTCCGGCTTAGCGCGAGCTTCTCCTTTTGCATTTCTAGAACATACTGGTTGATAGAACCGTTAGCTGGGTCAAAGTCTCTGTTGTTTAGAGTGCTAAGGTAACCTACTTCCTCAATCGATCGAGGGGTTATGTACTTGGTGGCGATGACAGGGCGCCGCTGACCAATTCGATGAACGCGAGCAATCGCTTGCTCTTCTGCCATGGGATTCCAATGAGGCTCCATCAAATGCACGTGATTTGCCGCCGTCAAGTCAATACTGGGTAGCGAGTAAGTCCTCGTGTCAGCCTCTTGTCACACTATCAAAGGCAACCAACTTACCCTTCACCAGCGCTACCAATCGTCGCCAGCAATACGGTACATGCAGGGTTGTTATTAAACTTAGACATAGCTCTGTGCCTCTGTCGAAGGGAGCTTTGGCCGTCTATTCGCTCATAGGAATAACCGCTTTGTCGGAAGGCGATCTGAACAAGGTCAAGCATCTTGGTCCAGTAACTGAACACTACGCTGTGAAACATTAGTGCGGGGTCAATGGAATCGAGAGCAGGGTCGTTCTTTACCTCTTCACAGGTCTTGCCTCAGATCCGTTCTGGTTTTCCACTTGCTCGTTACCTAGATTTCGAATCAACGCCTCCACCTTGGCGGATGGATGGTGAGGGGAAGTAGGAGTCTCGCCTTGGGGGCTTTCGACACGAGAAGAGCCAGGCGTCTCTGTAGGTTCAGAGCCCTGTCTAGCCAAAAGGCAGATGGCGCACAAGAGGCTCCCCGAGGCCGAATGTAAGTCGCCGTGGCATAGGGCACAGCTGTCTCCAGGGAACTGAGCCATCTGTGAATCCATCAAACCACTTTGCTTTAGTTTCCATGCTTCCGCGGCAGAAGCCGGCAGGAGATCCTCTCCATGGTTGCAAATGCGTCGTAGGAAGTTGATGATGGGCAAAACATTCTTGTTGCCGTTCTTATCTGTTGAGCGCACATTGCTCTCGTCCTCCGATGATCCGGACGCAATCCGAGTGGCAATGGCACTAAAGAACTTGTAGAGCTCACGGTCATTTGGATTTAGATCAACCCTTTCAATCTTTTCCGTGCGGTTAGGAAGTTTGTGCGAGTGGCTGATGCTCCGCTTCGTCCGGCGGAGACATGTTGCTTGAACAAGAATGCGGAGTTTTGTGAGGCCATGAGGTCGCTCGTCCCGTACGGGATTGGAGATCCAATGATCAAATTTGGACTTTTCAACAAAAAGTGGTATTCGGAGGAAGCTCAACAAAGCTCCGTAGTTGTCCAGGGTGTTCTGTATTGGAGTGCCAGTGAGACACCAGCGTCTCAAACAGTTCAGGTCACATGCTGCACGAAATATTTGAGTAGATCGGTTGCCAATGTGATGTGCTATGGTTACACACATTAGTAGAGGAAAAAAACATGCCACATGGATACTCCTCACCTTCGTCAAGGACGACGCGAAACCATTCTTCAGAGAATAGTGGCCCCTTAGCAGCCCAGTCAGATCTGAGAGTCTGATAAGTCGTCAAGATAATGTCGTGGTTACGGAAATGTTTCGCGAGACGACCTCGATCGGCACCGTGGTAGATAGCCACAGATAATTGACTGGGATGAATGTGCCTGATGATAAAATTAAGGGAATTCATTACACATGGACAAAGTTGGACTCACTTCTCAATGTCATTTTGCCATCCAGTGATTGCTACGAAAGGTAAGTGACTCGATTCAGAACTTTTATGAAGCTTCATACTTGACTTGGTGGTTACCACCAACGTCGTCAAAGACGTTGGTCTTTCTCGTGTGTTTTCGAGGTCACTGAATGTATCCAGAGACCAACAGATGAGTGATAGAACGCTCAAGGTTTTCCCAAGCCCCATTTCCTGTCATAATGGTCAGTCTATGCAAGAGGAGAGAAAAGGGAACATCATGCTGACATCGGCGAGGATTCCTCCTGCGACCAAAGGCGGCTCACTGGTTTCCTGTCCTGTAATTCTGTGACGATATCTGCCCATAACATCCATCAGCACCCCTTTGACACCAGATTCCACACTTTGGGAATTTACCTAGTCCCGTCACTGCATACTTCGGACTCTTCCCAAAGAGAAGCGCATTGCCCCATGTCAAGGGAGAAACATTCCTTCTCGCTGAGCATAGCAAGAGCGGTTAGCTGATGCCTATATCTGTTAGCTTCAGCTAGGTCAGAGATGGGGGAGATCGGGTTCACTGCTTTAACTGAGACCGGAGTCGTGGGCTTGGTGTTGTTGTCGGCTTGATGCCTAAGTCCCCCGCCATGTCAAAGATTCCCATCAGTTGACCCTTGGCCGCCTCGTCAAGGCATGTAGTTGTCGTCGCATCATCACTAGCTATGGCCAGATCCTCCAGGCGGGGCATTTGAGAGCCAGGTCGAACAAGGTAGTGTGGATTGAAGTATTCAGCGTCTAGATCGAGTTGCTGAACATCGCGAGGAGATGGCTGCTGGAAACAGAGGCCGGCGTTGGATAGCAGATTTCCGACGTTGGTACTGTTTCTCATTGTACCATAAACTACCATGCGGAGAGTGGGTGTTGGTTCAAGGCCGCTTGAGTCCTGTGTTTCGGCTTTGCTTTTCGATGAGCGAGATTCTGGTGCAACCAGCGATGCATTGACCTTCACCGAAGGTTCTGACAACAGTGTGAGCAGTGCAGGCTCCGTAACGATCCCCGCATATTTGCTCGAGTCTAGAGTATACAACTTGATGAAACTCCCACATGGCCGCATATCAACTGCAGCTGTGGTCGCTTGGCTCTCCTGGCGACCTCGGAAGAATAACGAGTTCGCACTAACCGCGATCTTTTAAACGTGGTTCTTATTAGTCTCGGATCAGTTGCTCGAATCTGTCCAGGAACTCACCACGCCAAAACATGTGTCAGGCAGCGTGTCAGGTGCAGGTGACTCGGCACGACTAAACACGAGTTCTGTGTCGTTGCCCTCATCCAGCTCCATGTAACTCTCGTCCAATGATACATCGTTAGAAGTTGGAGTAAAAGACGGAAGATGGTGGGATTCGAAAAGACCGAGGAAGTCCTGATCAAAATCAGGCTCCACTGCCTGAAGGCGGCTCTTTTTGTCACATCGAGTGTCACCTTCGAAGCTCGGAGATGCAGGTCGCTTGTCAGGGAATTGCGCGAGCAGAGAGTGGTCGCTTTCAGCAAACATGTTGTCGCTAGACACGCATCATTTGATAGGGCTGGAGATGATGAAAGTGTTAGGTTGTCTCTCTGAGCCGACAGCTGAGAAAAAACAACAGGGTTGCCTCGCGAGACGCCTTATCTCGCACAGCCACAGATTCGCCTTGCTTCGCCCGCTCTCCTGCATCATTTACCCCCAATCACATCACGTAGTTACGCGATCAGGCTGGCAAGCCACAACACGGGCCAGTACTTATATTACGCCTACAGAAATGGCTACGTGTACAAGTCGTGTCGTTGTCAATCATGACGGGTCGGCAAAAGAAACAACACAGTACTTGGAGGTTGGAACAGCTTGGCCGCTTTATGGCAAACTTAACTCTCAGAGGGGACGAAAAAAAGCCAAAGACATAAAACTGCGACTAAAGAATCATATCTGGCGAGAAGGCCATATGTTATATAAGCTTTGTGGTAGTATCACTAATCAGCAATATGCTCCACAGACAGCTGAATTCTCTGCCATAATTGCCACACCATTGAAAGCATTCAGCCTCATTATATAGGTACTCAAGGGCGGAGGTCAAGGAAACCCTGCAACAGGCATTTACTTATCAACACAATCAAGTCATCATGCCTTACCCTGTAGCAGTCATTTTGGTCTACTTTTTGCCTGTAGCGGAGCGGCCTAGTCGCCTGCAACTATTACTTCAGTAGATTCAGGCGTCTTATTACGTCTCACACGTCTAGAAATTTTATCTCTCTGAGATTGGGAAGGTTTTCCAGTCTCGTACAGTTTGCGACCAAAATGTGCTTTTGGAAGGAGGGCTGCAGGCCAAGATGGACGAGTTATAGAGTGTGATAAGCGTGTTCTCAAGCGATCTCATTCTAAGGGAGAAATAAGATGAGCATTGTAAATTTGCGTCCTGCTCACTCTATCATAGATGCCATGTTGTCAGTCACACAAACTTTCGAGAACTACACCGAGAACCCCAGCTGGGAGCGTATTCAGTTTCATGGCGGTGAAGACAATGTTGGAGAATCCTTACAGGGCTGGTGCCTGCCGGGTTAACGTTAGTAATGAGCTAATTTCGACTTCTTCCGACGAAGCGGGCCACACGATAGGGCTTCAGTTCCCTAAAATGGCAGTCTATTTCCACAGGTCCTACGGAGTACTCCGTACGCATGGCATAAGTTAACCTCACATCAGTTGGGATTGGCCCGATCCGCGGATCAGGCCGACGGGCCGAATGAACCCCTAATTCTCCGTCCAGATTTCCCTTCGCTACTGGTGGAAGGTTGCACTGGGGAATCCTTCGGCTACATCGGCTGGTGGGAACGCATTCACAACCGGGGTCAGATTGACTTAGCGTCGTATATGTCCGGATTAGGTTGTTGGACCTATCGAAAGCGTATCGACTTTAGCCTATAACCCTCTTAGTCTCGGAGATATTGCCGTGGGCGTGATCGATAGTAGCGTTGCATAACTGGACACGCTCTAAGAATGATTGGACCCGAATGATCTGACAACGTAAAAGGAAGGCGTTGAACTTTAATTTGGAGAATGAGACATGAACTTCCAGGCCTCCCTTGCGTTGTGGATGCTTCGTGTGATGCGTTGTGGGCAGACACGATGAATCGACTTTTCTCAAGAGTGGGCTCTTGTGTTAAGACGGAAGGTATAAAATGAAGGTGAAGCAAGGCAATTAGTTCACAAGTAGAAGAGTCCAACCTCACATTCAATTTCACCTCTTCTTTCAATATGCCTAGCCAACGTCGAGGGCTCGGGCACCTCACCAAGACGCTCCTCGGGGCGCTCTTGTTGACCCCCGAAGGCACACTTGCATCACCTTCGTCCACGGGCAAGAAAGTCTTCGCCCATTACATGGTTGGAGACTCGACCGCCCAGCATCGCCAACAGGACATCAAGGATGCCAAAGCCATTGGCCTCGATGGCTTCTCTCTCAACATCGCCAAGCCCGACAGGGCCTTTGTGCGGGAAACCATGAACGACATGTTCGACTTCGCGGCTGGTCAAGGTTTTGGTCTGCACATCAGTATGGACCTTTGGGCCGCCGGCACCCCCCCAGACCGGAAATCTATACCTGATTATAAGTCATTGTTCGTTGACTTCTTTGGTCACGCTGCATACGAGCGAGGTGCCAATGGCTTCCCAATGGTCACGACATTCTCTTCCGGAGGCAGCAACAACATGACTTGGGTGGACTGGCGCAACCAGTTTGCTCAGCAAGTGTTTGTGCTTCCAAACCTGGATGCCATCCCTGGATACTGGGAGTTTCATCCGGGCTTTTGGGAGCATTGGGGACAAGTTGTTGATGGCCTCTTCTCCTGGGAGTCTGCTTGGCCTCTTCGCGAGGGCAAGGGCGGCGCTTTCCCGGGAGACATCGGGCCTGATAAGCCGCTCATGGCAGGTATGAAGAAGTACAACAAGAAATACATGATCGGTCTCAGCCCGCTGCAGTACAAGGATGCCTACGACACCAACATCTACCGAGCCGGCGATCTGAACTTGCCTACCCGCATGCAGAACATCCTGGCAAACCGAGACGACATTTACTACGTCAACGTTTTGACTTGGAACGACGGCCCCGAGTCTCACTACGTCGGTAGTATCTGGCCAGAGCAGAACACTGATCCTGAACCTGCCCACTACATGAAGTTACCGCACAAGGGCTGGCAGCGTGTCCTTGGCTCCTTCATCGCAGCATTCAAGGGAGATGGAGTCATGAGACCCTTTGGCAGCGACACGGTCACTGGCGCGTTTTGGTACAAGAGTATCTTGTCGGACACGAAATGCAGTGCTACTCCCAAGGATGTTGGCATTGAGCAACAGTATCTGAACAAGCCCGAATCTTACGAGACTGCCACTGACAAGGGTGCATATGCCGTCGTACTGCCCCAGGGTGCATCGGGTTGGTCCATGAGAGTACACAGCGGAGGAAAGACGGATACCATCACCGGTCTCAAGGGTGGCTTGAACTCTGGAAACACTCAACTCAACGCGGGAGCTCAGAGCGTCGAGATCCTCAACTTGGCTGGTCAAGTCGTCGCTGTTGCTGGAGGAGGCCGTTGCGTCTATGGAGGCGACGCATGCCCCGACTGCACATACAACATCAACCCCAACGTTGTCGAGTTCACCAGCGGTAGCAACCTGCCTGCTTCTTCCAAGTGCGACGAGAAGTGTACGGCCAAGGCAGGCAGCGACTGGGGTGATGTCTCCAAGGATGGAAAATGCGGCCCCGACCATGGCAACGCCAACTGCATTGGCTCCACGTTTGGGTCTTGCTGTTCCCTCAACGGCGAATGCGGCATGTCCACAGCCCATTGCGGTACGGGTTGCCATAAGTCTGCTGGTATGTGCTATGGCGGCAAGAAGGAGGTGGATGATCCCGACGAGGACCAGGACGAGATCGACAGGAACTGGCCCGACTCTCTTACCAATGAGATCTGCAGCCTCAAATTCGATACGGATGATCCCAAAACTTTGACGAGCCGATGGATCCAGAGCGGTGCTGCCACTTGGTTCCTCAACTTCCTGAATGAGCGTGGCGCCGGGAACTGGACTGACAAGTTCTTCATGAAAGTTATGGGCCAGAATACCTTGAATTTCGACTGCCTCGAGATACTCACGAGCTCGTGCGACGGACCCAAAGGCAGGAATTGCACAGACTATATCCCGCCACCGTCATACTATGTGCATCTTCAGATGGGGAACCTTCACGCGGCCATCGATCAGCTATGGGGTCAGATGGTCACCAAAGGTATCGAAAACCTGTCCAAGCGCATCGACAACCTCGTCAAGGAATACGGCACGCCCCCGGAGTCTAAGAATTCCCTCATTCTCAACATGTTTGTCGGTGTCTTGACATCCCTGGCCGGTATGTCGGGACACATCAGCGATATTTCCCCGGGCAGTACTCTGGGAAAGTTCGCCAACCCGCTGACAATCTTCTCCGGTATCTTTGCACAGGCTTCTGCAGCTGACGGTGCCGTCAAGCGCGTCTCGCCTGAGGACCTGAAAGATAGCCTAGAGAATGTCTACGGAACCATGTTCATAGCCGTCATGGGGCAGCTCAACGAGACTCTCAAAACCGTCTTTGGCGGCAGGCTTCCGGAAGGCTGGTCAGAGGATGATATCCGCCCTGAAGACTACGTATGGATGCATTTTGCAAAGGGTGAATGGTTGAACTATCATCTGAAGGATCAGGCAGTCAACTTGTATGCCGAGAACACGCAGCAGAGATTTGTAAGTCTACCACATGTTTTCGATATGTATTGGCACCCTGAACACTCTACTAATCTTAAATTATGGGAAATAGATCGAGTTTGCGACTGTCACCGCCATGAAGACAGGCGGTAAAAGTCGCTACCGCCTACTGGCATCTCCCTCAAAGTGCATCAGCGAGGAGGAGTGCAAAAAGACCGATGGAGCCTATTTCTACAAGGATGTAAGCAACAGCCCCTCTCACAACCTATTCTTTTCTCTTCTTTCTGACCATTTCTCAGTACTGTCTTGCCTTTGGCTACATAGTCGGAGGAGGACTAGCCCCCACGATACCCTACCCTCTCAAGGGCAAAGACCTCACTACCCTACGCAGTTTCCTCCCCGACTTGAACGGAGCGCTTGTCAACAACTTTGACTGCTATCCGTACCAGACGATGAACCGCGATAAGTGTCCACCCTTTTACGCGATGCCCCTTCCCAAGGAGTGCAATGACATCCCGGAACCGACCATCCCGTCAGGCAAGGACTTGGACTTTACGAACCCCATGATATATCCCAAGTGTTACGTCAACTTTCCCTCTGTACCATGGGAGAAGTGCATCGGTAAAGAGTAGTCAATGGTGTTTCGTCAGTGGTTGGAGGAAAGTAGATTGCCATGGAGCTGCCTATAATCTATTCTTGTTGATCTTCATGGCATATAGAAAAGAAGATTGGGGGTACAATACAGGGCTGAATAGCTAATAACACTTGGTATTGAAGTGAAAGCTCTATAGGTCAAACTGAACCAACACGCTTAGCCATTCTTCTAACATCAGGTTTAATGCCTTCCAGCAGGTATCGAGGCGAATTATGACTTTGAGTTATGCACTGTCCAAACACCCTGGTGCTTGTTCGCCAGTTTACGTAAAGCGGAGTATCGTAATAAACGCAATAGCATTTTACCGAAGAATCATAAAAGAGGTGACATTGCCAACACGGACAACAAAGGCCCTCTCTCCTTTTTTGCTCACACACGCAACCCGACGTACTCCTTCATAGCCCGGGGAGCTTCACCAAACCGTTTTTTTACTGAAAATCTCTTCAGATACAAGTATGACAACGGTTGCAGAAATGATTGACCTCGTATGGCAGCCTCCTCGCCCGGAGCGAGGGGTTAAAAGACAACAGATCGATCGGACGCTCTCAGAGAACTTCAAACACTACGGTCACTGGGGATATGCTATCCACCGCACATACTACAGCCCCGAATCTGACGAACACTGGGACATGTTGCTCGACGCTTTGACACGGCAAATCTATCTTGCACTTGGATACGTCGGCACTGATGAGATGTATGACCACGAAGTGAGTCAGGGAAGCCGGAGAAGCCCTTACCGGGAAAGTCGAGAAGCATACACGAAGGATTTGGAGCGACTCAAGAAGCTATTTCATCTTGATCCCCACGAGGATCCGGCGCTGCTCAATGGCCTGGATGTTGGTCAGCTTCGAGAGGTGTGTTCCAAGGAGCACGCTGAGGCGGAAAAGACGATGTCGGGGGGGCGATTCAAATTCGCCCTTTTCGCTGATGAGACGGTTCTCAAGGATATTGCAAGAGGAGAGTTCGTCGTGAAGGTGGTCCAATACGACTGGCGAGAGGGTTTCGGAGACTGGGGTTGGATGAGGATCCCGACGGGCTATTTGCCGGAGCTTTGGCATGCGCTTATGATGTCGGACTTCAATCTCCACTGGGTATTGCGATTTGACGGCCCAGAGAAGGATCTTGACGATCATATTTGGTCCGGATATGCCCCGGCCGACCCAACTAGTTGCGCCTCTGAGATACGGCCTATGTCCAAACACTACAATACCCAAAGGCCTCGGTTTGGACGCAGAAACTGATTTGTAGCCATGGGTGTCGGGTGGGTGCGACTGAGATTAGCTAAAACTAGCATGCCTAAGCAATACGATGATACAAAACCATCAACTTCACCCTGACGTCTCCGTATCCTCATCCAGAGGAAGGGTCAGGCGCAGGATCATCATCCATCAAAAAATCGATTTTCCAGTCAGTGTTGATGGAAAGGACGCCATCATTAAGCTGAGGCTCAAACTTTTGAACCGCCTCCATCACCTGTCTCGCCAGATCGCCCGTCTGTGACTCCCAATGCGACCTTAGCAGCGATATCACACCATTAAGGAATTCCAGAGTCTTCTTTTCCACCTCTCCGTAATAGTCTTTGAGCCATTCTATCATGAACTGGGCAAACTCGGCATGCCTACCAGGAAAGGTGGTTATGTCGTCCCAGAGACCCTCAGCAAATATAATTTGCTGCACGATGTGTTGAGGATCTTTTCTGTTTTCCCAAAGACGTTGGGACCATCCTTATCGTTGAGATTCATGTAGTCGATAAAGACGATAGCTGCCCGTACTAGTCCCACGACGTACAGTGGATCGTCTTCTACCTGGTCTGCCCAGCGGTCTTTGGCTATGGGAAACTTGACACCCATGAGCTATAGGTAAAAAGATACCAAAGGTCAGCTTGAGTGTACTCCCCATGTGCTGTCCTGAGTGTCTCAATCATGTACGTACCTGGCCTTTTATCCAGTTGATTTCTCGATAGGTGATGACGAAGTTTGCGTCGTTTTCCCGGCTGCCCAAACAGTCCATGATACGGTTGAACAAGTTGCCGTCCTCGAGCTCTTCTGACCTTCCCGGTATATCTGGTCAGTTCAGGTTCTCACGACTTATTTGCATTAGGAACATTTAAGCTTAATAAAGCTTTTATACTTAAAGAGTAATTTTTCTATTAATTATTAAAAATAATATCTAAATAGCCTTATTAAATATTTTAAAATTAATTACTTATTAAATAATTATTATAGCTATAACTTCTTAAATTATAAAAAGCTAAGTAAATAAAATAGTTATATTAGACTAAAGCTTACTAGATCTAAGATAATAAAAGCTATAGCGAAAAATAAAAGTTTCTTTTATAAAGCCCCTTTAAAAAGCTAAGGGTATATAAGTTAATTATTATACTAGTTTATATAAAATAATATAATAATTATTTCCCCCTCTTAGGCTAAATATTTTAGCTAGAAATAAGTCTATATTAAAACTCTATTAATATTATTAAATAATTAATAATTATTAATAAAAATAATTTTTTTTATTAATAATAAAGCTTATTTTTATTTTATTTTTTATAATAATAAAAAAGGGATTTATTATTATCTTTATAATATTTTATCTTATTTTTAAAATAATAATAATAAAAGTTTTCCTTAATTATATTTTTTTTCTATTTAATTATATCTTTATAATACTTATTTAAGTATTTTTTTTATAATATCCCTTTAATTCCCTTTTATTTCTTAATTAATATATTATTTATTTATAAAAAGATTAATTATATTAATCATATAGCTCTTATTAATATTAGTTCTTAATATATAAAGTATTTTTATTTTATTATAAAATAAAAGGCTAAATTTATTAACTTTAAAAACCCTTATATATACCCCTTTAAATATATCTTAATTAAATATAAATATTAAGATATTATCTTCTTTATTATATTAAATACAATAAAAATAATAATAATTATATTAAATAAATATATTTATTTTTACTTTTTATTTTATTTTCTTTAAATAAACCTTAGCTAATCTTTAATAAAGCCCTTTTATAATCCTTTAAAATAATATTTATAAGCTTTATTATATACTTATATATATTAATAAAGTCTATATTAAGCTTATTATATTAAGTATTAATAAGAATATTCTTAATAATTATTTTTTTAATATTATTATTTTTTATTATTTTATAATAGCTTTTAATTATTTTTATTAAGCTTTTAATACCCTTAAGATTACTTCTTATTCTAAGTATAACCTTATTAAAATAAAAAAATCTAGCTATATAAGTTATATTTTCTTTAGTTTTTTATTATTATATATTAATCTTTTTTTAATTTTAAAAATCTCTTATTATATATAAGTCTATTATTATTACTTATTATATTTTGTTTATTATTTTCTTTTTAGCTCTTTATATAATTATAATAAATTTAGCTTTTCCCTAAGGTTTTCTTATATTTTTATTAATATATTCTTAGCTTAATATTATTTAGACTTATTAGTACTATTCTTAGACTTTTTATATATATTTTTTTAATATTAAGTATATTACTTAGATTATTATATAGGCTACCTTTTATTATAAGATTAAGGCTATTATTTACCTTAATAATAATATTAGGTCTTATATTATTTTTAGGCTAGCCTCTCTAAATAAAAATAAAAGCTCTTTAACCCTTATAGCCCTTAAATTCCTTACTTATATAATATAATTTTATTAATATTTTAAAGGTTTAATTTAATAATTTAATTAGGTTTATAGATACTTATAATAATTATTATTTATTTTAATTTAATTAATTTTTATTATATTTTTTATTATATTTACCTTATATTTTTATTCCTTTTTTATTATCTTTTTCTTAAGGTCTTTTATTATTTATAAATAATTTATTATATATTTTTTATATTATTTATATTAATTTATTAATTAAATTTTATTAATTATCCCTTTTACTTAATAAAATAATATATTTAGCCTTTAATTCTTTTTTTATTTAACCCTTTTAATCTTATATTTTTTTTTCCCTCGAGGTTAAATATTAATAGACTTTTTATATTTATTTTTTAATATTATACCTAAGGCTTATAGAGGCTAATATAAAAGATATTATATAATTAAGAGTATTTATTTAAGAGTATAAGGTAATATATTTATTTATTAATTTTCTTAAGGATTTTAAATAATTTAATATATTTTAATAATAATTTCTTTTTTTTTAATTTAAGGTTATTAATAAATATTATTATTAAGTCTTTTTATTTAAATTCTATAGGTTTATAATAAAAATTATATTATTTTAT